CTGCTTCTGGTGAGCGGGGTCGCTGGCTATAAGCCATGGCGACCATGGAGCCACGTAAACTCTGAAGATCTTGCCTTGGAACTGACGAGTGAGAGCTAGTACAGAGTCAACCCTGCCTGGTCCAAACTGCAGTGGATCAATTCAGCACAGTCAATAGTCATAAACAAGAGGTTATAGGAACGCCACCATTGCATTGGGTAGCAAACAACTGTTTGTGATGAAACACACATATGGCATGAACGAAACGCGCGAGCAACCCCCCTCCCCCCCACACACACACACAAAGACACACACAAACACTCACCCACACCCACATACATGTTGAGCGTGAGGATGCACTGGGGCCTCCCCTTGAGAGAACACCATGACCACTCACCTGGTGAAGGTTAACTAGCCATCTTCTCGTTGGCCCAGCAAACTTTTCAATCTTGTGCATGACAAGAAGCATCTTCATGAGGGAGTACACGGCTGAGGCAATGATAGCCGTTGCAATGAGAAAGGCCAGCATGGTGGAAGCAGGTTGGTGTGGACGGATACCTGAAGTTGTGCAACAGCAACCAGCACAAAGCATGCTCAGGTTTTGTGCTTAATTGAGACGCTCCCTTTCTCCCTTATTCCCAATTGAACTCGCGCACTTCTACCGAAACTGGGTGACTGCGCCCTACTAGATGGGGATTTGTATGCAAAATGTCACTAAAAGCGCAGTTTCGTTCTTATAAAAGGACAGATGACCGCGATTAGCCCATATTTTGTAGTCTTTTGGACGCTGAGTCGACTGATTTTGGTCCGAAAAGGCTGCGATGCAGCGTTCGGCCCTTATTCCCAATCGAACACGGGTGAGTACCGTATTTTTCCGGTTGTAAGTCGACCTTTTACGACTAAACATAGAAGGAGAAAGGGTGGGGGTCGACTTACAACCGGGATTCGACTTATAACCGGGAACTATCAGAATCTTACAAAAAATGACCTGCCCTGCATGCATGAGTGCACCATGTGTACACATGTTTGCCAGTTTATTGGCCTTTTTCAAGGATTGGGACGTTATACCCTCCAATAAGGAATGTTTACATGATTTGTTGATGTGTTAGTTGCAGGGAGTGGTTGGTAGTGCTTCGTTGGGTGAAAACTTTAAACGCAGAATCGAGACCTCCGGCTACGGGGGTCGACCTATAACCGGGGTCGACTTACAACCGGTAAAATACGGTATGTAGCATGCGTGCTAATGCATGCGTCACCTTCACCAGATACAGCTCTTACTTTTAGCACTCTCGCCTAATGTGGTATATGCACTCTTGGCACTCTGTACAATTGCACGCTCTTTCTTCTCACACCCTTGTATTTCACGCCGTCAGCTTCCATTGCTTATCTTCAGTTGATTTCATCCATTCTGGTGATAGATTCGAGTCAAGAAAGATTGACTTCTGTAGTGCCTACCGTGTGCGCTTCAAGTAAGCGGTCACGTGCTCATGCGTACACCAGTCACCTGGTCACCGTGCCCGCAGGCTACAACTTTTACAGCATTCATGTCACTCGAGTTGAACCTTTGAACCTTTGAGCTGAACCTTGGTGTGAAAGTTGTAGCCTGCAGGCACGGTGACCAGGCGACTGGTGTACGCATGAGCAAGTGACCGCTACTCAATCGGGTTCGATTGGGAATACGGGGCGAACGATCGCAGCTTTCTCGGATCAAAGCAGGGTATGCGCGAATTGCACACTCTTGGGGGGGGGGGGGGGTATGTACTCTAGCGACCGCTCAAGGGCCTTCAATGTGTGGTTGCTAAGCACAAGGTTAGTGGTCCTCTTATCCAATGTCATAACACGCCTTGGTCCTATGTAGTTGTAGTGGTCCTTTTGAACAGCGCGTCGCATTATCCGAGTGTTCGTGTTGACAAGTTTTACTGTACATGCCATGATCCAATGACCAAGCTGATTCTGCCTGCAGCTCTTGGCTAGCATGTCAGGCGTGTACGCAGGGGGGGGTTCCCGTTGCCCGGAAACCTCCCAAATGTTCCAAACGAGCAACGTTTTTGGGCTTTTTTTTGGTAGGGCGCACGATCGATCTGGCAAGAATGCGAAACTTCAACAGATCGTAACTCAGTCAAATCTCGCTCAAATCCAACGATCCAAATATCCAGGTCGAATAGAAAACTCAGCTGTCGGTTGAAAGCGACGCGTTGCGAGCTATGTCTCTTGAGATAAATCATTCGTAAGTTGAGCCGCGATCTCGGCAATTTCAAAATCGCGCAGTGCGACTTGAGTATCGAGAATTTGAGACTTTTCGTCACCCTGACTTGCTCAAATTTCCAGGGGCTTCACTTGTGATATTTTCAAGAGTACACAGCAAAAAAATCAAAACTCTGCGATCAAGAAAAACGAAATCGCTGGAGCAGGACGCGCCCCAAATGCCCAAAGTTTGGGCATTTGGGGCATTTTTCGCACCGTCGCTGCACTTCACCGCTATCGCTGGATATGTATATGATTGTTCTGTGTCCTGGCTATCATGGTCGACCTCATTCTCTCCCGGGTACCTTTCCACTTCCAGAAAGCCCAAGATGATGAAGATTGAGTGAGTAGAACTGAAGTTATGATGAAAAGAACACAAAAATATGCATAATTTTTCAAAATTTCCTAGGGCTCTTTAGAAAGGGTTAAAACTTAAAACTCATTGTTAGGGATTCGGTTGGAACCCCCCCCCCCCCCCCCCCCAGAGGTGACCCTGCGTACGCGCCTGCATGTGTTCCGTAATACGGGCAGGGCGCCACCGTGCCGCCACGCCAGAGTCTGTCATGCATCCACTATGCATGCATACCGGATACATGCCCAGGGATTAATCTTACAGTGTATGCACACGCGTAATCCACATGATGTTGATCTCGTACTGTGATCTGGGTATGAGGGTCACCCAGTGGAAATCTCCGATTCGTGTCCTGCACTTTTATTCATCAATTACCGTAAAATCCCGTCAACAAAGCCCGCCGGATTTATACTTCATTTTGTGCACGGGAAATACATCACGCGACGGTCGCGCGAAGGGCCAAACTATGAACTCGAGTCAACTTTTTGGCGAAGCGACGCAATTCCCATACGCGAAATGAAGTAGGAATCAGGCTTATTAGTACTTATTTTTGAATTCGGTGGTCACACCCGTACTAACTTTCTGACCCGACTTGCGTGTAGCGGAGAAGTCGTTTTTCTCCAGTGCAGATCGTAGCATGCACATGCGCATGCTTGTGCATGCTACGTTTTGCATGTGCACACCACGCTGGTACTAGTCAGTGGTTTATTTCGGGCAGGATGTTTATCAGGATAAATTTGACTGACTACAACAATAGCGAAAATGAAGGGGGTGTACTTTTCTCGGGCACGTCCTAATTTGATGGACTTTTACGGTATTTCTTCAAAAAAATGTGTTTGTGGACTCACGCACGAATGTACGAACCTGCATATTATCATTCAACTATTTGCCCACAACCAACTGCGCTGGTACATGGTACTTACCAGGTCGAGCTTCAGGCAATCCTTGCCTTGTCTTGGAGAGTCGTACTGGCCAGGAATCTTTGCCCAGGAGCAATAGGGAGAATCGACTTCTTGCCTGCCTGAACCACCAACAGATGAAGACAACGACGCTGGGTTTGGATTTGAAATGATTTATCCAGCCATAAATTTAGTTCATGTAGACGGTACGGAGATGACGGAGTTCGCAACGTTGCACTTGCAGATTTCACAATCAGGACAGGGGTCGTGACTGTCATCTTGTCAGCTCTAGCTCTAGCTCTACTCTAGTCTAGAGCTCTCCTGATCAAAACAGTTTTCATGGTTTTGGCAGTTGAAGTAGTTGAACAAGGCTCATTGCTCCTGTGCACGTGCGACGAAATGTCAGCAAGTGTGATGTGACATCAGCTGCTAGCGCTGGAGGTGTGATCGATCACGACAGTAAAGAAAAGGTCGGACCGCGTACCGGACAGTTTTCGACATTATTTTGTGGCTGTGCCACAACTTACTTGAAGTAAGTAATTTTAGTTGTGCTCCCTGTACTGCCCTGGTCTAGCCTACATATACAGCACCAGCAGGCCCTGATCTCACCGCCATCCACACATGACCGTCACTGAAATGGTCCTATTGCGTACTCTATTACCAAGAGTATAATTATAACCATAACTGCTTTTTAAAAAAAAGCATACGGTAATACTCAGTCTTGCTATGACCCATAGGTAATAATACGAACATGCATGCGAATATGCAGAGGCATAGCCAGCTGTAATAAAAATAATTGTAAATTTGCACATCAATTTAAAAAATTAAAATGAAGTCCAAGTGCCGGTAAATGAAACAGTCAAGGAAATTCTAAAATGCAGCTATCGGTCATATCAGACCCCAAAAAGAAAAGAAGGGGGGGGGGCATAGAAAAGGATCACTTGAAGTACGATTTAAAAAAACATGGAAACAGTCCTTTTTGGCCTTTGTCTGTACAGTACCTATTGTTTGAGTTAGCAAGGGTGATGCACTATGGTCCGCGGAGTCCCTGTTCGCCGGTGGATGTGTCAGCTTAGGATCGAATAGCCACGGTTTCCAATGTTGTGATATTCATGACAATTATACCGCGTATTCAAAGTCAACAATAGTTATGCCGATACAAGCACAGCATCAAAGTCCAAACAATTTAAAACAGTGTACAAAAAAACATGCAAGAATACATAAATCTCCAAACATAACAATATCGGCATGTTTGAAGACGTATTATGTACAAGAAGGATGCACCAGTGTGACTGCGGCGGGAAATCCCCATTCAAACATGGAGCAAACTCCAGTAACCAGACTCAACATATTTTCTTGGCAGCAGACAAATTCGATAGCGACAAAACATACCCGAATACTGAGTTGCGTATGTACGGTGAAACCATGCACCGATTCATGCAATTAACTTGCAGCCTGTGGATACATGTACTCATACATCATGTGCAGGCACACATTCTTGGCAGAGGCTGCCTGACTTGCTAGATTGGGTTTCACGGCATTACACACACGTGTGCGCCCATCATCCATAGATGTGTTTGCTGAGCCGGTTGCATCAGATCCCAATACAGTGATCTGACAGTCAGAGTGTGCCACCATACAGTATAGCCGATGATCACGTGACCATCGGCTGCAGGCACACTTGTCCAGCTCAACTTACTGCCGTCTTTGACTTTGACCTCAAGCTGTGCTGACTTGCTGTCACTGACGGTTTGGATGCACTGCGCAACGACGATTTACTTCCAGTGCTGCGTAGACTCCCCTTCGAGCTGGACCTCTTTTTGGAGGCAGTCTTGAGCGGCTGACCCATAGCCGCTGCCTTAGAGATGTTGGATGCTGATCCACCAACAATGGCTGCTTCTTTCAGATCCATTGGTTTGCCTTCATCATCGCTGTCTTCGCCGGTAGACTTGGCCATTGCCGACATGGATTTCGATGCAATCTTGACCTCTGCAGTTTGCAGCTCGCCCACTCTGGATTTCTTCGGCTTCTTGTCAGCATTGATGGCAGTAGAGCTTGTTGATACCAGTGGCTTGCTGGCATTGTCTTCATCCTTGTCCTTGCTGGCCTTAGTAGGGGTAGCGACCTGTGGCTCAGCTATTGGCTTGCACGCTTCACTATCCGCAGGTGGTTGCTCAGGGAAGTTATCTGCACTTCTGGAGGTGATAGCGATGTCTGGCTTTTCTCCTGCCTCCGACCCTTCTGATGGTGCTACTGCTGTATCTTCAACTTTGGGGCAATCTTCTTGCTGTTGTGGCTCTTCAGACTTGATTTCGTCTGCAGCGTTACTTGGACTTGTGTGGTTACCTAACCAAGAGATGTCGGTAGCGCTGGACTGAGCCTCAACAGTCTGTGTTACTGTTGCTGTCTTTTCATCGGTGCTAGCTGGTGCAGCTGCTTTGGGTGAGCTGGTTTCTTCTCCCGCAACTGAGGGTGATTTGGTTCCAGGTTCTTCACATTGTTTAGCTGCAGTGGTCCGGTGCTTTGCCAGTGTTGTTGCTGCTTGCTCCGGATCTACCATTCCCGTACGGCTAGCTGATTTTGATTGCAGCGCGCATTGCTGTGCCTCAAGTGCAATCTGTTTGAGTAGTGCCGCAGACGACTTGGAGATCAGAGGCATTGAAACCGTCGGCGCCGCTTCCTGGGGTTGTTCTGCTGTCTCAGGAACTTCAGCTGTTGATGGCGATGTTCCTTCAGTCACAGGCTCATCACAAGCTACTGCTGGTGTACTTGCATTGTCCTCCACCTGACATTGAGATGCCTCGACCGGTGCCACAGGCTCGGCATCACTGTTACCAGTTTGTTCCACTGGGGCAGGTTTATCATCGCTTGCTGCTGACACGGTTTCGTGACGTGCCTCATCTGCAGCTTGTGGCGCAGGAGGACTTTGTTCCTGTTTGTTCATTCTGAGATCCTGGCGAGAAGAGCAGGCACTTGGCGCTTGGACAGCAATCATTGGGATGCTAGAAACCAATTGTGGCGGCACTGCGCTCAGTGCCTGGGCGGATGTGCTCTGTAGCTGTGCTGCGGTAGTCTTGGGAATGGCTGTGTGCGTGCTGGATGTACTAGCCAGCAGTGATTGCGGCGGATCAAGTGACGGAATAAACGCTGTTGCCACCGACTCAGCAGTAGATGTCCCATCCGGTCCAGATGGCGCTTGAGTGGGCTCGTCTTGCGTGACAACTGCAACCGGGGGAATGCTCTCTCCGGCAGGACTGTCCTCTGGCGGCTGAGTCCTTGCGCTCTCGACTGGTGCTTCTGTGCTGGTGATCTCATTTGCTGTGGTCTCATCAGTTCGACTTGGCTTGGTGAGTACGTCCACAGCAGCAACACTGGACTTGGTGAGGCGATCATCTACAAGCGGAGCCTTGCCTTTCACTTGTACTGTGGATGTACTGCTTAGCAAAACCTCTGGTGAATCCAATTCTCGAGTTGCGCTTGACGTCACGCCAGCTTCAGGCGGCGGTTGCTCAGTGTTGGTGCATGCAGCCACAGGTGCTACTCCTGCTGTTTCTACATTGCTTGGGCTTGGCATGGATGAGAATGCAGGGCCACTGGATCGAGAGTGCGGATCACTTCCAGAGAGGCCAGCCTTCGGTGTCTGTGCAGTGGACTGGCTACTGAGAAGGATTTCTGGTGGATCCAGTTGCCTGCTGGAAGAGACTGGCTTGCTGCCACTGCTACACGCTGTTGATTCGCTGCCACCTGGTGGTGTTGACTCATGAGCCGGCTCATCAGCGCATGATTCTGCAGTGCCGCTAACCTCCGGTGGAGCGGCTGTTTCGCCCTGTGCAGCTGCAGTTGACGGTGCCCCGGTTTTGACTTCACTAAGCGCTGCATGCCCTGATTGTGTACTGCGCTTATCTGCAGTACTCGAGAGCCCCACAACTCTAGTAGACTGGCTGGCGTGCAGATCCTCAGCCGGACCAAGATGCTTGCCTATATGCACTTTGCCGGTCGTGGAATCTTGTTCAGGCTGTGATGGTGATGGTGTAGCGCTTACATCCTCAGCTGGCTCTGTGTTCCCACTGTATGGAGCAGCTTCACCGTCGACTGGCAGCGGATCTGTGCTCTTGCTGAGGGCTGGCTCGGCGGCAAGTGATCGGCCTGATTTGCCAGGTGTTGTATCTAGAAACGCACTGCTTGAGGCCGTGCTGCGATCTCCTGCCAGTGGCGACTGGGCATGTTGCATCACAACTGCAGATCGACTTGCTAAGAGCGTCTCTGCTGGACCGAGGTTCAACGTAGCTGTCCCCACAGGTTCAGCTGGAGTCTCCTCCGCTTTAACTGGCTCTGCCTCTGTTTGTTCCACCGAGGTACTTGGAGGTGCCACCTTGGAGCTGTCAATGATAGCTACACTGGACACAGTGCCTCTGTTTGCAGCACTGGCCTCCTGGGAGCCCATTGCGGCCGTGGACCGGCTCGAATCTAGCTTTTCAGCTGGCGCAAGCTTGATTGAAGGTGCTGCTATTTCAGTAGAGTGCACATTAGCGACTGTCTCTTCTGCCTCAGTGCTGCCTTCTTTTGCTGGTTGCTCTTGTGACTGAGAATCATTCATAGAACTGCTTGATGCAGCCTGTTTCTTGGTAGTGCTGCTCATGTCTACAAGAGCATGTGACGACTGGGTGCTACGGTCCCCTGTGCTCGGCTGTGCAATAACGTGAACCGCTGACCGCGTGCCAGTTAATTGTTCGGGAGCACCGAGTGATGGTGTAAATTTGTTGGAAGGTACAGTGCTTGACTGGGGTTCATCCACGCTGACCACCGCCAGCTCTGCACCCTGTGCCGTGCTTGACTGGGGTTCATCCACGCTGACCACCGCCAGCTCTGCACCCTGTGCCGTGTCAGATGACTTTGCTGCTGGATCAACGCTTCCAGGGTTCTTCGTGAAATCCACAAGTGCATGGCCTGATTGTGTACTACGACCACCGGAGAGCTTCTCGGCAGACACATTCTGTGTGGATTGTGTTGCTGCAAGCTGCTCTGGTGCTCCAAGTGTCGCCTTGAACAAGGGAGCGGGTTCTGTAGCCTTCTCTTCGGCTACGGTGGGCTCCGCAGTATCAGCACTGGGTGAAGCCGTCTGATCTTCAGTCGATGACTTGCAAGAGTTTCGATCAGGTGCCATACTTTTTGACAAATCGACAATCGCGTGGCCAGATCGAGTGCTGCGACTTCCAGAGAGCTTCTCTGCAGATATATGCCGTGTGGATTGCGTTGCTGCCAGTTGTTCTGGTGTGCCAAGTGTTGCCTTAAATCCCGGAGCAGGATCTGTGGCTTTCTCTTCACCCACAATATGTTCTGAAGTAGCTACGTTTGGTGCTGCTGTCTGAATATGAGTTGATGACTCCGATTGCTTTTGACCAGATGCTGCGCATCTTGTCACGTCGACAATTGCGTGGCCAGATCGAGTACTGCGACTTCCAGAGAGCTTCTCTGCAGATGCATGCCGTGTAGATTGTGTCGCCACCAGTTGTTCCGGCGCTCCGAGTGCCGCCTTGAACAGTGGCGGAGGAGCCTTGGTCTGCTCCACGACCATAGTAGCCAATGCTGCATCTTCATTCGGTTCCACTGACTGTGCTTCGGTTGGCGACTCCGATGGCTTTTGTTCAGTCCTTGCATTCTTTGATAAATCAACTATGGCATGTCCAGACCGGGTACTGCGATTGCCCGCCAGTTTCTCAGGCGACGTCAGGCGTGTGGACTGTGTTGCTTCCAGTTGCTGTGGTGCTCCCAGTGCAACAGGAGATCTTTTAGGTGCACTCTCACTTGTTGGCGGTTCAGCCGGCGCTACTTTGCTGTCTTGGTCCAGATTTGTGGTGGACACAGCCATAGTGCTTTCATCACCTACACCTATCTCATCATCATCCACTGTCAATGCCGCTACTGCTGTTACGGCTGCTGAAGTGGTGTCCTGTGTGGCTGCTGATGGCTTTGAGCATGTTGTCTCGGGTGAGATGACAGCATGGCTAGACCTGGTGGCTTGTTTGTCCGTCGTCTGTTTGCCACCCATAGTGTGCGTTGACCTACTGGTGTCCAGTGCCACGGCTGGACCCAGCTTCAGAGCAGGATTGGGTTTCTCCCGTTCTTGCGGAGGCGGTGGCATCACTTCAGAAGGCTGATCAATTGAAGCTGAAGCTGCAGTGTCTTCCGAGTGATTCTGTTGGTCTTCTGCTGTTGGCGGTTGGCTTTCACTCTGCATTGGAGCGGCATCGGCAGTTCCATCCTTTGGGTCGAGATCTTCTGGTACTGGCACAACTGCGGTGTTTTCTGCAGCACTTGCAGAGGATTTTGCTTGCTCTGTAGCTGTAGAAGCCTTACACACAGGTTGGCCTTCGATCTCCGATGTATCACCAATTTGCTGGATAGTACTCATCATTCCTCCATCTAGCTCATCATTGCTTTTCTCAGCAGTATTGGATGGTATCTCCCCTTGCGGATGAGCAATATCGGTTTGAGTTAGGGTTGCACCAACCACAACTCCGGCAGTTCCTGATGCCGAACTGTGCTTTGATTTACGACTGGAAGCTGAACTAGAGCGACTTCTAGGCTTTGATGCATGCTTGGAGTGTGAGTCACCTCGGCTGCTCGTTGTTTGTATTGCTTCGCCCTGACGCTTCTCCTCCGGGGGATCTAGTGGCTTGGATTGTCTTGGGCGGTCGTCAGTCTTGCGGGACTTGGGTCTTGTAGTCAGCGACGACTTTGACGCACGTTTCTGCAGCTGTATCTGGCTCTGGCGCCGAGTTATAGCCGTTGGGTTCTTGGTAGCCGATGGTGAAAAGTCACTTGCTGAGATGATCTTAGCTGCAGTGGACAAGGAACAAGCACATTAGAAGGAAACAACAAGCATTTTTAGTGGTATCTCTATCTATATGCACGCGGTAAAACAAAGAGCGTTGGCCTAGCGTGCATCCATCCAAATGTGGCACCCTAAAAGCTTTGTTACGGTTCACACTGGGTCAGTCCGACTGACTTTTCCACATCCGCAGGAACACCATCACTACTATCAAGGCCGCGTATGCAGCTCATACTCGTATAGCGGTGGGAGATGAGTAAATTAGACCCACCACAAAATGGCTGCCGAGACCAGAAATCCCTTTCACTGCGGCATCCATGTTACCCACGTGCTAGGACACGAGTTCCCAAGTAACAGTGCACAGCATGGCTGTAAAACTCCTAGCACTTCCAGGCAGGGCTTGCATGAACCTCAGTGGCAGGCTCTGTTTCTCAGCTGTGGTCTTAGACCATTCCACTATGCCTGCCGATGTGCTAACTTTTTAGCATCTTGAACGTACATGTATGAGTATTTTTTTTTTTTTTTTTTCTACAAAATCCACATATCTCCAGACACTGGGGTGAATGATGGAGTGTGGTGGTGGGGCCCATTAAGCTCCGCCGACCAGAGGTCTCGGCTTCATAGCTCCATGGACGCACCAAAGGGATATTGGGTGGGGAGGATTAAATTGAAAAAGAAAACAGAAGAAAGAAAATGGAAACATTGTATTGCTCAGTGAGCAAAAGAATAAGTTGAATATTGATGTGAACGCTGTTAGACTTTTAAATTCAAGAGGAGACTGTCCGTGAGGAGAGATTACATGTATGTCCAAGCAGGGTAGGACACTGTACCCTCTTACTCGCGTATGCTATGAGTGGCCCAGTACCAGTTCGTTCTGAGGCTGAGATGGTGATAAGCTGCTGTCTTGAACTTTTGGATGTTCTTTGGGTGAAATGGGTGGGGAATGATAGAGGTAGGCAGCTGGTTCCAAATTGGGATGACGGAGTGGGGAAAGGCTCGGCTCACATTGTTCCGGGAATTGGCAGGAAGAACATTCTGTAACTGATGGGGATGCGCGGTGGACAGTCGTACAGCCTGGCGGGTGAGGCGTGTGGTCCTGGGTTGGTGTGTCGGGGGTGGAGCCATTCTCGAGAGAAGAGCGGGAGAATTATCGCAAAGGGCTTTATACAGGAGGCAGAGGGCAGCGATGGTGCGGCGAATTATGAGGCTAGGAAGCCAGCATTGCGGATGTATTGCCTTGATGGCTCGCTCCTGCACCCAGTCCAGCCGATTCAAGTGGGAAGGAGCTGCCCCCATCCAGACGATTGGGCAGTACTCCATAACCGGCCGGACAAAGGCTTTGTAGGCTCGAAGCCGGGCAGGAATAGTCAGCAAGTGAAATGCCTTGCGCAAGGCTCCAAGTCTCTGCGTTGCTCGGACTACAACAGTTCGGATATGCTGGCTGAATTTTAGCTGATGGTCAAACGTGACGCCGAGTACTTTGATGGAGGGCTGCTCCTCGACAGGAGTTCCATTGAAGACAATGGGGGGTATTGGCCAGTCCCGACGATGGTGGGAAATTGTAAGGGCCTGAGATTTGGCTGGCTCGAACTGCACTTTCCAATCCGAGCCCCAACTGGATACTAGGTCGACAGCAGCCTGGAGTACTCTAGCGTTGTCAGGAACAGCAGCGAGCGTTGCAATTTCGGCGTATAGGGTTGTGTCATCGGCGAATGAGGCAAGGTTGGAGCCGATTGGGAGGTGGTCTTCAAGGTCGTTGACGTAGACCAAGAATAAGGTGGGCCCCAGGATACTGCCCTGTGGCACCCCAGCCTTAACTGGGCGTCTGGCTGATGTCTGGCCGGAGATGAGGACTTGAAGTGTGCGGTTGCAGAGGTAGTCTTGGAGCCACCGATGCAGGTCTCCCGAGATGCCATACACTCTAGCCTTGTGCAACACACCAGTGTGAGACACCCGGTCAAATGCTCCAGCAATGTCGATGGCCAGCACTCGAGAAGCTCCTTTATCTCCGGCGGTGTGCACCCACTGGTGGTGGAGAGCAGTCAGCAGGTCTGCTGCACTGTGGCCGCGACGGAATCCAAATTGCCGTTCTGACAGGACGTGATTCGTCTCCATGAAGTTGCTCATTGCCCTGTTGACTATGGTCTCCATGACCTTGGAGAGGATGCTCAGTAACGACACTGGTCGATAGTTTGATGGCGACGATTTAGCCTTGCGCTTGTGGACTGGAACTACGTTTGCAACCTTCCACTGTTGTGGCTGGATACCGGAGCGAAGACAGCATGTAAATAGTTTTGAAAGCGGCCGTGCCAATTCTGCAGCGCAAGCTTTCAATACGCGGGCAGGTATCCCATCTGGACCAGTGGCCTTGGTGGGGTTGAGCTGGCGGAGAGTTCGCTCGACTGTGGTTTCGCGAAACCGGACGGTGCAGAGGTTGCGGTCAGTACGTGGTCGGACGTAAGGAAATGGAGCGGATAGGTCGTCTGCCCCTAGACTGCATTTGTTGGCGAAGTGTTCGGCCATGCACTCTGCTTTGCTTCGGTTGGTGTCGTGCTCCGTACCATCGGTGCTGCGGAGAGTAGGTATGGATGGGCTGTTTCCGTGGCCAGAGGCCTTCTTGATGGTTCGCCACCATTCACCAGACGCCATACACCCAGAGGCTAACTTCTGCGCCAGGCTTGCTGTGAATGCCTGCTTGGCAGTTGCCAGGCAATGGTTAGCCACGTGCTTGGCGACATTGTAACGGGCTTGCAGCTGGGCACTTGACCGGTCGGCGCAGAGTCTCCTCCATGCTCTTTGTTTCCGAGGCTGTGCTACAGCCTCAGTGCATTCCGGTGTCCACCAAGAGGGGTTAGATGGTTTCATGCACAACTGCTTAGACGGTATGTATCGGCGCATTCCTTCCAGAATATTCTGGGTCAAGTGCATACACATTGCATCAGGATCATCACTGACAGTGGACTGCCAATCTGTTGTTCTAAAGAAGTGGCGGAGTCTGTCCCAGTCTGCGCGTTGGTAACGCCAGACAGTTCTGGTCACTGGTGGTTCCTCTGCTGTACTTACATGAAAGTCAGCTAGGACACAGGCATGGTCAGAGTTTCCCAGAGGTGCTAAGGTATTGACGGTCGCATCTCCCGGTAGGTCAGTCATTATTAAGTCGAGTGGGTTAAGGCCCCTGGTGGGCTCATGCACGTGCTGCTCCAAGCAGTGAAAAGCACACATGTCTTCAGTGTACACACCTGCATGAGTTGTCTTGGTGCTGCCGAGCCAATCCACGTTGTGTACGTTAAAATCTCCAGCCAATACCACATATTGACAAGATTTACGGGCCAGGTCAATGCCAGCACTGATGGCTTCAAGGGTACTGATGTCATAGTGGTAGATATGGTGAAAGAATGGTACGACCTCGTACACCCCACATTGCAATAACCGGCGTATGTGAGTTGAATGGCCTGGATTTTGGTGAAAATGAGAGAGGGAAAGGGAGGGAAAGGAGGGAAAGGGAGGGTATGGAGGGAAAGGGAGGGTATGGAGGGAAAGGGAGGGTATGGAGGGAAAGGGAGGGTATGGAGGGAAAGGGAGGGTATGGAGGGAAAGGGAGGGAAAGGGAGGGTATGGAGTACTTTTCTCAAATGTACATTATGTATACATTCCGACCAATATCACGAGTACTCAAGCCAGAACATGGGAAATTGTGGGCACAAGTTATGCGATCGAGTCCACCAACTAACCAGATTTTGAACAGTCAGACGTGCTCAATCTAGCACAAAACTGACAAGGAGTACTGAGACACATTTTTTTCCTTGGCTAACCGTCTGAGTACTCAAGAGAACCCTGGTGTTTTCTTGACAGTGTATAACTAATCAGCGTATAGTACTTGAGCAAACCCGTAGCCGACCCATTGCTCCATTCCAGCCACAGTGTGTCCCTTGCCGTCCTCTCGAAAGTCTGCAGACATGTCATTGTAAGCTCATGAAAAGAGGTTGTGCAAATGAGGCCGTCATGGTGGTGAACTAGCGGATTCACTTGTTGGTGCTATGTGTACCATGCGAGTTGATGGATTTGCTTAGCTTAGCTAAGCATACAGCGTCAGACAGCAGATTCAGTTGGGATAGTGTATTGTTACTGTGACGTTGAGGCTTTGCTAAAGCATCTCAACTGTTGATGTAATTGCATAAGCTCTATATGCTTTGCAGTTCCCTGCCAGCCAGTCGAATTAGTGCTACTGGACATGAAGATGTTTATGTGCATCAGTGACCGGCGGCTTGCTGCTTTGGAAACATGTGTCATTGTTGCACAGGGTAGTCCAGCAGCTCAGCACTCAAACACATGTACTTTAGTGGCCTGTACATCAGTTGTCTGATGATTGCCTATGGGCATGAAACTATTTGTTACCGCCGAATGATGCGTGGTGTTCTGTGCCGTGTGTAAGATAACTCTATTCGAATGAATATTGAGCACTCTACTGAGCCGGAGGACTCTCATTTGCCACTGTAGATCTACTGTAGTCATCAGCATTGCATGTACATGTAGAGCGTGGAACCATGAACAAACACTGCAGCACTAAAGTCCATTCATTGGAAACTGGCACCCTAACTTATTGGTGTCTTGCACGTATAGCTGTAGCTATCGTGAAAACAACAGTGCATCCTGCATTGTGCGACCCGTGCCCTTAATCCGTGCCACATTTGAGGCCAGAAAAGTCCAAGGACAGGGAGTTGGAATTTCAGCCAGGTTTTACAAAATTAGGACAGGTATGCCATGGAAAAATGTATGGAGAAGCATATCCTAAATCCAGATTTTTCTAGATGAAAGTGGGTTTTGAGCCTCAATTCGTCCAAAAACCAGGCTTTCAAAAGCCATTGGGACTGTTTTGGATGAATGGACCTTAGTATGACTACTGCTGACAAAACACAAGCCCACCCTCGAATGCACAATTCCAGCAAGTGGATCGGAATGGATCTACAAACCACATTTTTTCACCATGTTATTTGGCTTCTTGTGTACCCATGTTGAACATCCTAACACCCTACAGATCCTGAGCTAAGCAAGGCCCCAATGCCATGCAAAAGTCAGCGAGTTCTGCCAGCCCATAAGATGTGCATCAGGGTTGTACATTCTGGGGACGAGCTGATAATCTCCTGCTGCTACAACGAATACAAGCCACGTAGCCTTCAAACGAATTCAAGCCATCTACTCTCCATGCACGTGAACATCGATCTTATATCGTGGTCTCCATAGTTCATTCCCTCAAACAGATGACTATCCATGACTGTGCACCTCTTCTTTTCTTCTATTTTATTTGCAAGGCCATTCATGTAGATCTACATCTACAGGGGCATCGTCGCACACGGTATGGTCACTACAGTATTGACCGTACCACTTTTGCCCCAGGTACCCCGTGAACCAATAAAATACTCATCTGGATTCTAAATTTCCAAAATTTTCGGCTCACCCACCCCTCCCCCACGAGTAACGTGTACTTCAGGTGGCTGTCTATGCCACACTAGAATACTTTCCGACGCCCCTGATCTACCTTATTATGCTGTAGAGAGTAAGCTACATCCACATACTCATTTATGTTGATGCTAGCAGCAGCCTAGTAGTAGTACCCGTGATCGCAAGGGGACGATGGCTTATGGCTGCACTGAGATTCCCAGTTATCTGATCGTCCACATGACAGCAAGCACGGCGGGTGACTGCATATCAGTCACCCAGCCTTCAGCACACTGAGACTGTTATGGTGTCCACTGAGTCTGTGATCACATTCGGCTAGTGTTGCAGCCTTGACAACCGGCTAACGTAATACTTCGTCTCCATGAGCAGACTGTGTATGATAATATTGAAGGGCGACGAAGCAAAGACAACATCTCTGTTGAAATGCCCAACGGGACAGCAATTGGTCAATCAAACGTATAATTATTGTTACGAAGACTCACCGGAGCTTGAGGAACCGCAACCCATTGTTCAGCTTGGGGCTCAGTCCGAAGTACTGTAGGGTATATCTTGGTAGCGTGTCACTCGATGAGTCGGAAACCGGACGAGCCACATCCACACGTTCTTTAGCAAATTTTTGAGTCCAATCATCTACGAGATCTTTCCACAAGAATCAGCAGTCTGGTCTATCCAGGCCAAAGGCAGAGCAAGTTAGTTAGTTTGGCGGGGTGGCGGACTGACAATCTGTGGGGACGTTGAATGGCCAGCCCTTGTTCCAGGGTCACATCCGCCTTCCACGATTGCTGCTAACGGGTCGGCTTGCCCTATAGCTCTATGCACAAGGGCGAGCGGGGACGCTACAAACAATACGTTGTTTCCATCGCTTGCTTCGGTTCAGGAAAGCAGTCTGAAACAAGCAGCATGATAACGCCCAGCGCAGTCTCCAGTCTACAAGGTCTAGTCCAGGTCTCGCTCGGCGACTGCACAGCGGGCACGACGACAGACTACTGGGGCGCGTGCACGGACCCAAGTCGTGTGCCGCGCCTGTCAAATGTCAGTCCGTGCATGTGCATGTGTGTGAGTATCCACAACACACGCGACACGTCGACACGGCTCGTTGCTGTGATTATGCATGTGATTGTTTTGTGTCACAGAAACAGTACAAGCTCTTCTTGGCAGCCGGCAGTGCATGCACAGTGACCATCGATCACCGTGACAACGCTCATGCCAGTCATGGCGAGGAATGTCCGAATGAGGGCCAAGACGACGAAGAAGACAACAGCATTTTTTTCAGGGCTCGCTGCCTAGACATGATGTGGTGCTGCTGCAACACAGTATATTGAAAGGCAAGCTTCACAGCGTAACCGCAGAGTAAACCCTTCGACTTGTCCGCCAAGAACTGGCAAGACTAGCTTCTACTAGCCTAAAACAACCTTCTTCTTGGCTGTTTTCACACGGAGCTTGAATTTCACTGAGCTCTTTGATTTTATCACAAAATAATAGGACTCTAGAACTTCACTAACGAGTTTTCATGCTTTTTCCCATAAAGTGAGTTACAAGCTTTCAGAACCAACGCCAGATATGGTTAATAGCATCACAAGTGTGCTAACCATTACAACTATGCGACGAATTTGACGAAGAAATACTATGGAAAACCGGAGAGAAACGGAGAAGGTGAGAGGTGAGACTAGAGTGGCCCCAATACGTCATAGTGTGAGGATTAACACCCAATGGACGCTAGCTACATAATGACTATTTAGGAGGGTGGCAGTAAAGAGTTGGTATGCCAGTGATGGAGCGCTATGAAATGTTCCATTCTCCTTGGAGCATAGACTTCATTAGCCTATCCAAGGTCCATTGGTGAGAGGTGAGTTTCCCCGAAACACTGTGGACTGAGTAGAGATTGAGCCGAGTGGTGCTTTCTTGCCGACCGGTACGGACTGGAAGGTTTGACATCCTACGGCCTGAGGACCCCGTGTGCTCCAAATGCACCAGTCAACAGAGTATCAAGTAATTCGGCAGGAAACGTGATCTAGCCCTTGGTGCCTAATCATGATAATGCCGACAGAAAACCCGGCAGGATTTTGATACATTTCTGGTATGTGTCATGCATGCTTCTCTTCTGATGGATAAGGAAGAGGAGCAGAATTTGAGGATTTGCCCGCCACATGTATGGTCCCGCCAATTTCAATGCTTTTCGAGCAGAATCTAAGAGAGTGGAAGGGTTCGACATCACATCATCCTGAACCGAAGATCTCATATTCTCCTAGTAGAAACCCGTGCGTCAGTCAACTGAGTATCAAGTAATTCACAGGACTCGGTCGCGTGAGCTAGCTCAGCGGATAATGCTGACAGAACACCCGACAGAATTGCGGTGCTTTTTAGTATGTTTCATGCATGTTTGGATAAAGGAGAGGAGCACAATTCGAGGATTTGCCCGCGACATAATTTGTATGATTCTGCAAATTTCAATGCTTTTCGAGCAGAATTTGCCAAAATGGTTCGAATAATTATTATCCGCCGAGAGCTAGTGTGAAACCGCCTCTCCGCAAGTACAGCTCGCCCGGCTCCACTCTTTGTCTACATAAAAGCCTAGGATCCTTACCAAGCTTTAGATAAGGACGTGAGGAGAGCGAGTCTTATTGCTGAATACTGATACATGTGCTGTCAACTGAAACATCACTTTATAGCTATCTGCATAGACAACTGCTTTTTTTAAGTACACAATAAACATGGCGGTTTTCTGTAGTTCGCAGAATGTAACTTAGACTCGGATGGAGAGCCAAATGATTTATAGGGAAAAAGGACCAATGAACGTAACTTAGCAGCAACAAACATTCTTCGAAGCAGTTGTGAAAGCCTCCATTTTGCATTTCACAAAGTATTTTGAGAAAAATAATAAACCGATTCTACATAAAAGAAGGCACTGATTAATGAGCCATTGTGCAAGACGTATGTATTGTTAACAATTTGACTTATTGCATTCGCATACTGTCCATCAAGCTCATCGTCCGTAGTACTATCACCCAGTCGGCCATACGGCGTGGGAGAAAACTCAGTGCCAGCTGTTCGAATGGAGGCAACCTCGGTGCCTTCTTCCTCATTGTCTGACTCAGACTCAGAGTCTGAAGAGCTCGGTTTCTTGCTGTGCATGGCTAGAGACGTCGGTGCTCCATTCTGCGCTGTCATGGCAGTGCGGGTTGGTGGTGGCACAAAACTGTCGTCAAAGCCAACCAAGGGGTTGGTACCTGATGATGCTGCCGCACCTTCAGATGTGAGAATGTGCCTCTTGGTTGGAGGAAGCTCTGGTGCGGCCCCGGCCTGCGGTTTCACCTCACGGCTGCACTAACCAGGTTATGTATACGGCGAGCTCTTTGTTCTGCTGTAGAAGATGCTCACACTTGGCCTGCAGTCACCAGGTCATAGCAAATCAAGTTAATCAACACATGCACATGTAGGAATTTACATGATATACCGTAAAGTACCGTCGATCCGCCCCCTCTATAATTGCCGCCCCCTGTCGATTTTCTGCCTGTGAAGCGACTTCGGCATTTACAGCGGAATACGATGTTGAATCGACGCATGCAATGCTATACACAATACGTGCCAGTGCAGGATGAAAATGTGTACAATTCAGCACATCGAGTCCGAACTTCCGCGTTGTTGTGCATTGAACTGCACTTGGCAGTCTTTATCTACTTCCCGCCCCGTGCCGAAAACCCAGCGGGGAAGCGACATGGCGTGGGGCGGATCAACGGTACTTTACGGTACATGCAGAACAAGAATACTAGTCATGCTACTGCAACAAAGGAAAGAGTATGGCTTTAAAGAATGACAAAATGTTCCGAGTTATGACTAACTGTCCACCAACGTGACCAGATCATAATCATTCAGTCAGCGAGTGCCGCAAAAAGGCACAAACTAACAAGAAAAACTGAGACATTCGACAACCTGACACCTAGCTCTAACACTTCCATGGGGCGCAAACCAACAACGATCCAACTTGGAAGGCTCGGGTTAGGAAAGGTCCAAGAGGGGAAGGAAAGCGCAACGAAGAAGAGCACGAGCTAAGTCCCACGGCAACAAAGAATGCCGAAAGTTACTGGATGATGACGAAACTAAGCTAGTAAGACAATTGGACATACCGCTCTAACTACAACTCGACGACGCAAAGTGTCACAGAAGTGCTGGAGATAGGCGTCAGGTCCTCGAATTTCTCAGTACACACACACACACATACACGCGCGCACGCGCGCACGCACGCATGCACACACACACACACACACACACACACACACACACACACACATGCATGCATACACACACACACCGGCACACACACACACACGCATGCATGCACACACACACACACACACACACACACACACACACACACACACACACACACACACACACACACACACACCTTCTGACCTTTTGACGCCCATCACTAGAGGCGATGATAACGATGCTATAGCAGAAGCTATAGCAACTTGTGCTTGGTCGCACCATTTAACAGCTTTCAAGGCCGAAGATTTGACCACCACTATTCAGCCTGGTCTACACCTCACAGCTATTTGAAGTTTTATTTCTCTTGCCAGTGAATCCCTACTTTTCCGTTTTTCCCACACACACATCACACCACATACTCCGGCATGCACTGGTTTTAGTAATGGCCCAGGAGAATGAAAACACACACACACGCACACGCACACACACACACACACACACACACACACACACACACACACACACACACACACACACACACACATACACACATACACACACACATACACACACACACACACACACACACACACACACACACACATCAGTGATGTTATCAGCAGGCCTACCTGCTTCCACATCAGACGCAATGATGGACGCATTTCCTAAACTTTCAGCGGTATGCGCAACTGCTGCCCTTATACTCGGTGGTAACACGAGGCGTGAAAGAGACTGCAGTCCATTCTCCTCGTCCACTAGTATCAAGCCACGTTCTAGATTTCGCAGCTGACAATGCTGTTGTTCGTAGGCCTCTCTCCTTCGAAACCTGGGGATGTGAGCAAACAATAACATGACAATGTACAGGCGTGCAGATTTCCCCAGTTCACCAATCTTCAGCTCTCTTTTTTGTAAATTATCATGAATATACTATTACGCTACACAGAGGCAGCATTCTTTTAAAGCTCTGTTACAAAGATGCATCCCCGTGAAGAGATACGGCCATTTGAATTTCAAGATACAGAAAAATCTGTTAGGTCCTCATCCGAAACTTAAAACAAAATTGAAAATTGGCGACACATGAACTGTCATCCTACTGATCGTCGAACGCGTGCTTCGTGCACTATGCCATGTACTGTACCGGTTGCCTGCTGCGTGCATGCAGCACAAAGGTGCACAACATGCTTCACTTTAACAACGCAGGTAGGAGGCGTGCCAAGAAAGCTGAGCGTGATGACCTGCTGCACTTCAGTGCAATTTCAGGCACCTTGGCTTTCGTTCACCTCCGAAGAAACTCAAGTTTCATCATCATGATCAGCAGCCTCCAAACCATGAAGTAAGCCAATACAGTGGAACTATTATCCGGACGTCAACTATCCGCATGATCGATTTTCCGGATCGTCTAGTCGGGCTGGACAATGAGAGAGTTTGAAAGCTCAGTGCCCTACGCTATCCTTTTTATTTGCCTAGCTCATCATGCATGTTATTAGAACTGATTGGCTTCATCATTGTATTGAAAAGCGCTTCCATTATGTTATTTGATTCCACAGCCATTATTCGGACCTTGTGTCCACGTGTCATACACAACAGTATTCCACATTCAGCGCATACTGTTTCTTTTTGTATACCGTACTGGCAATATACATGGTCGCAGTGAGGCCATGAAGCGTTACATTGGCACATGTTTACCGCACGCAGGGCGTTACATGCAAAGTCGCACAGGAGCCGTTACACAGGTTTCTATATTGCCGCAGTCCTTTTTTTTGCTATTGCAGGACTTCCTGCTGCGTCCAGTTTTGAACTTTTCACCACGCGGTACACGTGCTTTCACAGTTTTCAGCCTTTTTTGCAATGAAAAGATCGCCGCACCCCGCCGGACGCGCGTTACGAACGCAACGAAAATTTGTCGCACTAGCCTGGTCGCGCGTTACGCCGCACCCCCTGCGTTACGCGTTACGCGGCAACATATATTGCCAGTACGGTAGTTTCTTTCCCGTCTTTCCGCTTTGTACACTTCGCTCACTCTTTCTTTTCCTTTCCAAGATCTTTTCCGTTTGGCGTTCTTCAGCAACTGCTCTGGGCTTCATCTCTGCTGCGGGTGTAAGGACATGCGTTCGGTATATGTAAATCATTATTTGTAAAGATCAAGATCCGTCCTCCTCTGTCATGCATGTTTCCTCTTTCCCTTTCCTGCATTTTTCTACCTTGTCACACACAACGGTACTCCACATTCAGTGCATAATTTTTTCTCTTTGTAGAGTTTCTTTCCCGTTCTCTTTGCACAAAAGCATAGCGATGTTATAATTTTTCTTTTCTCCTATACGCTTCGATCACTCTTTCTTTTCCTAAAAAGCAGAGTGATTTTTATCATTTCTCCTATTTTTAACAATACAATAGCATCAAGAGTACATAACCAAGAATGTGCAACTCTTATCTTGCGCTGCGATGAGTTCACCTGTGGCAGAATTTTTTTTATTCCGCTTATTTTGTAGATACCGTGAGAGTTCATCAGGTTCAATACACATCGATCTTTCGTCCGTTGTTCTGCTTGGACTACCGTAGCTGTACTGTACAAATTATTTGTACTTTGATCTCTGGCTGCGCATGATGGCATCAGTGAGCCAAACCGCCACCAAAGACTGATGTCATAAAAAAATTGGGGGATCGTCGAGTTGCACACTCCTGGCTATGTACTCTTGATACATGTAACATGGGATTCGAGCCCGCACTATCGTCCTGCATGCATTCCCCCGATACACTTCGCATACATACACATTCTTCCAAGTTGCTTCACGTTGACGCTTCGTTCACTCTTTCTTTTCCAAAAAATCATAGCAATGTTTTTTTCATTTCTCCTATTTTTCAACACATAACATGGGATTCGAACCCGCACTATCGCCCTGCATGCATTCCCCGATACACTTCGGATACATACACATTGTTGTATTTGAAAGCCCTATTTGAATAGCGTGGCCAGCTGTCTTTGATGGTACGGTCCGGGATAGGTACGGGATAGTGCCAAACAAAAAACAAAGAAGTACGGAATTAAAGCTGTGTGGACCCTGGGAAGCGCCAGACGTTACTCAAGTAATGTCTTTTGCATAGCTACGGGAATAGCCAAATTACAGTCGACTCCTGATTATAAAGAACACCATTGTGCAGGAGAATTAGTTCTTTATAGCCAAAGTTTGTTATACAGGTGAAATCCTGATAATGCGAACCTCCAAATGCCATCAAAAACTTCTAATAATCCGGACATTCTAATTATCCAAACATGAACCCACAACACAATATGTACAGTCAACTTCGCTTACAACGACACTCGGTGGGGCGTCAAAAAGGTGTCCTTATTCGCGAAGTGTTGTTATACCCGAAGTCTCATTATATGTATTACAGTGGGATGGGACTTTGCTCTGGGCATGGAAATTCTGTCGTTATATCCGCAGTCGTTATTAGCGAAGTTGACTGTATGTCAAAATGCTCCCATGGTCACGCAGAGTTCACACCATACAAGCAGCAAGTCATGACTGGCAAGTGGCCCATGACAGCATGAGTGCACTTGTTTTACATGCAGCCCTACAAGATTTGGTTTGTTATAAACGAAAACTGTGTGCTACAAAGGGTCGATTTTGAATGGGTTCAAACAGGGACATGGACAGGGGTTCGCTACACCCGTGACAAAATTCCCTGCTTCAAGTATAATTATGCTAATTCGTTATAAGCGGAGTACTCTGTGGCAGCTTTTCGATGTTTTTCAATTTTCCCCACTCGCAGCACCATTCAAGCGATGCACAAAATGTATTACAACAGATTGGAGTCAAAATGTACAACGATAGTGTCATTTTTGGAGCTGGAGTGCGCCTAGTTCCTGTTGTACTGCCGAGGGGAATGTAAAGTAATGAAAACATGCGGGAATATTCATGTTTTAGATAGATGTGTGACTGCTCCCTTATCTGACCATTCTTCTCATTCGAAACTGATCCTAGGAGACAGGCTGCGCCCGAGGGGTGCGGATAATCGGCACTCTACTGTACAGATTTAATGGAAGTTTCCGGAGGAGGAAGCTGTAGTTATCACCGACCGTCACCGTGCCCAGCTCATGCCGCTGCCGCGTGCAACCTGAGCTGGGCGCCCTGCTTGCCCTCAGGCCAGCGACATATTCGGCAGCCCTGTGTGCCGCCTACGGGATCCCAGCTACGACAAGCGCTCAAGGCGACATCGTCACCCCCAGGCTGGCCGAACCCCGGGTGACATCAGGGAAGCCTCTGGGGCTCAGGCAGCTCGGTAGGCGTACCGCATACAGGCATGCGTAAGCGTAGCAGCAGGGAAAGTTGCATGCTGGAAGCACAGCATCATCCGGAAGGCCTCATGGGCGAGTGGTCTTACACAACTGGCACTTCTTACTGTTGTAGCTTGCAGAACGCCAAGTTTTTTCTTGCTTCTTCTTCTCTTTCCCTGCTCGGAGGCATGGCTTCATGTTAGAGCAGTAATTAGTAGTTTTAAAAGGACTCAGCCGAGTCAAGCTGGACTCAGCGTGTCATGCTTGGCATAATACAAGAAGCACGCTATCCCCAAACGGTTGAGTGGTGAATTAATGTGTGAGGATACATGTGGACACTCGTGGTCACGTGAGAGGGGGGGGGGGGGGGAGTGATAAGTGAATGTTCAGTTTTAAGTTTTCACCTAACTTACCAGAGGAAATACATCAGGTACACCATCATGACTACAGGTATATACATGCAGACCTGAAGCCACCAGATTGCCTTCTCTGCACATTGAATCACCACCAGAAACAGAACGCCAGGCAAGATGCAGCAGATTAGTACATACCGGTAATGTATCATCCCGCTGACGACACACGGGTCTACTCAAAGATCAAGTATGCCTGCATTAGGGTCCAGTGGCTTAATTAAAGCATTTGGATATATCCTGTGTTGGAAGAACACAGCATGGTGTGTGATTGCTCTGAAAAGCTAGGAAACTGAGAAAGAGAAGAAAGACAGATGCGACCATAATCGTCGGGAATGGAACCCACAACCTCTCGATTGGAAATCGACTACACATACCACGGCAAGGTATGGTACACCCACACATACATTCACCCCCCCCCCCCCCCATACACAGACCCACACATACATCCCCCCCCCCCCCAATACACCCACCCACACATACATTCAGCCCCCCCCCCACACACACACATACTTTCAAAGATCAGCTGCACTGTCCAGTGCCAGTAATGGTAACCTTCTAACTGGTCAGTGAGTGCTGGACCAAAAACGTTTTCGTAATCACCATGATCACAGGAAGCTGGGTCTCACTGTGTGCATACATATACATGCAGTGGCGAGTGCGCGCGCACACACACACACACACAAACACACGTGCCACACACACGCACGCACGCATACACACAGTACAGCATTTGGTGTTCTATGTCTGTCGGTCAGTTACAAGATAGCGCGGCAATAAAGTGCTCACGGATATACAGCACGTCATGCTTACTTTTCGAAGCAGAGACAGCGAAGACAATCTCGACGGAAAAGACGCACACCGTCAAGAGGAAAAAGAGCACCAAGCATATCGTTTTACATGTCTCCGAAGAACAGGCACGTCGGATACGCGCTTGGGTGCGCCTTGGGGACTGTCCTTCTGTGCGGAGGTGATCCATCATGGGTGCTTCGAAGATTGGACGGAGACTGGACGGAGACTGGACGGAGACTGGACAGAGACTGGACGGAGATTGGACGGAGACTGGAGTCCGAACAACAAACTAGGTAGGTATATGACTAGGTAGCCGCTAGCTGAACGGAAATTGCAAAGTTAGTTACTTTTGACTGTCGGATAGAAAAAATATTGAAGCTCGCTGACCTGCGCTGGGCGCTGCGCATGTGGCCTCTGCACCAAAGTCAAGAACAGTTACGGACTGTACCTCTGCGGATCTCATCACCGGACGCGCGCGGAGGTTGCATTGCACACACTCTAAAGCGAAAACAAAATGGTAAAGCCTAAAGGCCTGGTACTACTGGTAGCATAAACCACGGCCCCCCAGCAGAGAATGATGACGAGTTTGGAATACCGTATTTTCCCGATTATGGCGCACTCGATTATAAGTCGCATCCCTACAGTTTGAGGTTTGAACCACATTGTTTCAATACTGTATCCATGCGTATAAGTAGGATGTCACTCTCGATTGTAAATAAGTCGCATCGCCTTCTTTGGAGTTGAACTCTCAAAACGTCCAACACACAGAAGTCTCAGCTGAGAGCACGGTGGCTCGGCGAAGTGAAACACTAATCCATCCTGATTAGCAGGGATCCTGCTGGACTTACCAGCAGCCAGCAGTCGCTCTATCACGTCGGTCTTACGGCCACTGACCTCCAGCTGCCTTTCCTGCAGCAGGAGTCGCAATTCGGGGACAGTTCTCTTTGACAGCGAACTCTTGTCCATCTTGCATTCTTGGCAAAAAAGGCCGATACTCCCAAAAACAAAACAAAAAAAACTGAACGGAAGAAAGGCCACTGCGAAGCAAGGAGTAGTAAAATAATAATATTTTACTACTCCCTGCTGCGAAGTGACGGAAATGCGGTCAAGACTCAAGGACGACCGCATCTTGTACAATACGGTACCGGTAGTACTTGTAGTTGAAGGTACTGTACCACATTCTGTGGAATGAAATCCGAAATCGGAGCGATTTTGCAGCGTCTTAGCGCAAATTATTTCGAGTTATCCACAAAGGCACAAGCTTTCCAACTCTCTTCGCGTTTCGGCCGTTGGAAAGCGCACCAACCAGGGAGTTTTATACCATGGATACGACTTGCTGTTACCAACCTGCGGAACTGTACCAGTGGCCATGCATACGGCATTACCGATACAGTAATGCCATCAGTGTATGCATGCCCACAAATGATTCACAGTCTCCCATAGGGCCATACTATGATAGCAACAATAGCCGACGTCGACAAGATCTGAATGAAGCAGATAAAGACGCACCAAAATAGATTCACAAGCAAATCAATGAGCTAGGCGTTAGAGCTACTGTTAGCTCAAAGTAGAGCTGCCGGTATCCGTGACCAGTTGTGAGAGTAGACCAGGTCAATGTGTCCATAATGATGGATAGGTACTAGGTAGGGATTGTGCAGGGGTGTAACGGCCGGTCCACGGGTCCGGCTCTGGCCGCATCACTTTTTCAACACAATGCCAAATGTGCCCAGAATGCAGGATTTTGCACCCTAATTTCAAAGTTTTCCAGGGGGAGACCCCCCCCCCCCCGCACTCAGTGGGCCCGCACCCCCTCCGGCCGGACCATCTTCAACGGTGGTGCAACGCGCCTGTGGTGGGAAAAGAAATGCTGCTGCAAAAAGACCTGTTGTCCGGAAAGACACAGCAGAGCAAGCAATATCAGCTTACTCACTTTTCACCGACAATAAGCAGGGCGCCATTTTGTGATTACACAGCAAGAAAGCAAGTGACGTCAGTCTTGAATGCAGTACAGCACAATGCAGCGCAGCGCGTATGTAACATTGTTAGCTCGGATTTTTGCTAACAAGTACTATAACACAGCCAGTACCCCTTATAACTGTAATAATTATTTATCTCTGCGCAACCCACATAACAGTTAGCTGACAGAGTAATCTGAACTTACTCCGAATGCACACCTCGTCTACCAAATGGAACACATCAGACTACTTGTACTGAGAACGGCTATGCACACCCTATACTGTAGACTTGCTAGGGCAACCTGTATTGACAGCATGCTGCTGGAGACCGTAAGTGAGGAGATGGAGAGACAAACACACATTATGTACCCACGTGTGTACACACCACACACACACACACACACACACACACACACACACACACACACACACACACACACACAGACACACATGCACGCACGCGCGCACACACACACACACACACACATGCACACGTGGCCATCAAAGCTCATTCAGGCACATCACCAATGGACAATGATAATCAGATCAAACCTGGCACAGATATTGCATGTGACAAAATATGGCGTTGGTGCTTCTTAGATTGATTGTATCAAAGAAAGACATCACATGAAAGCTGTGAAGCAACCTCTCAGCAGAGCTGGCTTGTGCTTGTTACTAAAAAACGCTCCACCGTAGTAGCCAGCTATTTCAAAAGACTGTTCTTCCCAAGAAAACGGGATGAAAACTATATCAGTATATGATTTCGCTGACATGAGCACGAAACAAAACAAACAAAAACCAAAACACTGCTGTCAACTGAAAAATATCATTTTCATAGCTATGCATGTATATGTAGCCAAGTACTTCTTGAAGTAAACGATTGACATGGCAGTTTTCTGTAGCCTGTAGCATGTAAGGTAAGCGCAAAGAAATATTATTCGAAGGAGTTCTGGAAAGTCCATTGTCCATTTCCCTACCACATTTTTAGGGAAAAATAAAATTAATGCTACAACACAAGGGAGAGAATGATTACTGAATCATTGGGCAAGACCTATGCATCGCTATGTTGCGACTATTTTCAAAAATTATTTGGAGCAAACAGCACAGCAGGAAAACTCTAAGACTGACATGGTTAGCGGTGACATTACGCAAGTCTTCTCCTATTTCTGTACAGACAGGACAGGTGTGAACATCGCATTGTTTTAGCTCATATCAAACGTGAGCCGTTGCGTCTCGGCGCCTCCACCGACCTCCTTGCCAGGGAAGTCGCCGAGTTCAGAGATTGATGCGACAGGGGCCGCTGAATTATTCGCCGCTGGTGTGCTTGTTGCATTCGCATGCTGTCCATCAAGCTCATCGTCCGTAGTACTATCACCCAGTCGGCCATACGGCGTGGGAGAAACCTCAGTGCCAGCTGTTCGAACGGAGGCAACCTCGGTGCCTTCTTCCTCATTGTCTGAGTCAGACTCAGAGTCTGAAGAGCTCGGTTTCTTGCTGTGCATGGCTAGAGACGTCGGTACTCCATTGTGCACTGTCATGGCAGTGGTTGGTGGTGGCACAAAACTGTCGTCAAAGCCAACCAAGGGGTTGGTATCTGATGATGCTGCCGCGCCTTCAGATGTGGGGATGTGCCTCTTGGTAGGAGGAAGCTCCGGTGCGGACCCAGCCTGTGTTTTCACCTGCTGCACTAGCCAGGTGACGTGATCGGCGAGTTCTTTGTTCTGCTGTAGAAGATGCTCAACCTTAGCCTGCAGTCACCAGGTCATAGGAAATCAACACATGCAGAGATTTCCATCATGTACAAAACCATACAAAACAGGAATGCTAGCCATGTTACTGCAACAGAGTAAAGACCACATGGATCTACTAAAAGGGTGAGTGTGCAATTGACAGAGTTGTGCATCCAATCATCATCTACATGTTATGCTTAGCTTGGTTACTCGTGACACACAAAATCCACTCCATCACTGGATAGCTGTCGGAGTGTCAGCGGCAGAGCATTTATTTATTTATCGTCTCCACTTCATGGCACATAATAATACATAGCCAATACAAGAAAGGGAGGGTGAATCCAACCACGGCATGCCATGAGTGTTTAATACAATCATGTGCATTGGACACTAGTAAGCATGAAAGCTTCCAGTTGAACGTGTCCTCTTCTCACACAGTACTCATACCCCTCTTCTCACACAGTACTCATACCCGGAGCTTCCTAAACTAGAAGTACAAAATCAGAGCACGCATGGCAATGGGAGCATACCTCAGCAACCACACGTTGCCTCGTCTCGGCAGAAAGCTGATCTTGCAGGAGCTGTAGCTGTGCAGACTGAGCGCGTTGCACGGCAAAGAGGCGCGGGAGTAACCGCTTGGACTCATCCGGAGAGAAATTGTTTGGATCGGAGTAGACATCTATTGGGGAGCCGGAGTCGAGCAGCTCCCGCGAAGTGTCACCGCCATCAGTCTGGTCAAGGTTCATCATCAATGAGTCATCGGGCATATTATTCGAGGTGACACTTAGCTGCACAACAAGACCGAGAGAGAAAGAGAGAGAGAGAGGGGGGGGGGGGGAGGCATAGAGAAAATAAAAGTAAAGTGATTCGTTGCAGAATGTAATGAGTTCTTGGCTACTGCTAATGTTACCTTTGCCATCAATAGATGGAAATAATGATCCAATTTGAGTCTCTATTCTAAGAACTGCCCGGGGATTGAGTATTGCAGAGCATGTGCACACACTGTATATTGCAGAGCACGTACACACATTCTATATTGCAGAGTACACACACACACACACACACACACACACACACACACACACACACACACACACACACACACACACACACACACACACACACACACACACACACACACACACACACACACACACACACACACACACACACACACACACACACACACACACACACACACACACACACACACACACACACACACACACACACACACACACACACACACACACACACACACACACACACACACACACACACACACACACACACACACACACACACACACACACACACACACACACACACACACACACACACACACACACACACACACACACACACACACACACACACACACACACACACACACACACACACACACACACACACACACACACACACACACACACACACACACACACACACACACACACACACACACACACACACACACACACACACACACACACACACACACACACACACACACACACACACACACACACACACACACACACACACACACACACACACACATTCTATATTGCAGAGTACACACACATTGCATATTGCAGAGTACATCCACACGTTCTATATAAGTTGCAGAGTATACACACACGTTCATGCAGAGTACATACACACATTGTACATTGCAGAGTGCTTACTTGTGTTCTCTGAAGTGGTGGTAGAATACCACGACTACCAGCAGGAGGTGGCGACGGCAGTCCACTGCCAGCAGCAGCAGCAGTACCTGCGCCGGCCCTGGCGGCATTCGGCTGACCAGGCACCGTGTAGTTGTTGAGGAGGAAGCGCTGCTGGTCCACGCTCAGACCAAACTCTCGCATCAGGTCGGCTGATTCCGTCTTGTGCACTTGGTTGGCATTTGCTAACCTGGCCGCTTGCTGTGCATTGTATTGCTCGGATGTCTGCTGCTCCTCAAATGATTTCACCTGGTTTTTTTTTAGCAGAACAAGTAATTCAGCAAGAATACAGCAATGAGAACGAGAAAGAGCACTCCGCAATCATTACATTTTAACAGTGCGGTCCAATCAATGCACGGCCAATGGAGCAAGTGCACAACTACGCCAGTGGTGGACTGACTCGCTACCACATCGATAACTGGTGTGCCCAACTGAAGGTCCTGAGGTGTTGACACGTTCATCCCCTGTGACACTTGTGTAATCCACTCCTCACGGTGAGCCACACGTTCACAGATTTCCACTACTAGGATGAAACAGCAGGTAAATGGACAGAGATGAAAATATATATTTAAAAATAGGGACTACAAAGATACTTAGTGAGGGTGAATTCTTATTGATAACCTTTCTAGCCAAAAGTATAGCTAATTTTTGCGAATCCATCAGTTGAGCGTACCAATAGTCTTCCCAAAACACGCTCAAATGAAAGGACACTAACCCGAAATCATGCATAGTTTCTCCCTCTCACCTGCATCTCATAGTTGTCATCAAACTGGATGAGTGGCTCTGAATTAGCCTGTGTGCTCGGTGCTGCAGCCGCAGCATCATGGTCCTGAAATACAGGCACAGAACATTTTAATGACAGAATTTAGTACCAAAGTCACTGGAGACAGAAAAGAGCAAATCGTGAACGAAGATCACATCCGTGTATCAGGAGCCAATCCCACCGACCATTGTGCATAAACGTCTTGATGATGGACAGAAGCAGGGAGTAGTAAAAAAATGTATTTTACTACTCCCTGGACAGAAGCATAAAACGCCATCAGCCATGTCAACCCCCTTATCTCATGTGCAATATCAACTTTTAATTTGGACAGATGCGGGTTCACCCTTTGAGCTGTACCATAAAATGCATGGCTTTCTACAGGGTTTGCGCAGAGTGTCCCCATGCATTTAGGAAAGCTGTCTCGATGTCTTTCTTTGTTTCCACTGCCAGATATTCATAATGCATCTGAGCCTTGCTAGGTTCAGACACGTAACTAAGCTCAGGGTGAATGTCATAACAAACTTACGTCATGCTCCACAGCATGGTAGACCCAACAACCCGCAAGAATCAGCCACCATAGGCATAGCTGAGAAACTCCTCAGCATCTAGACAACTACTGACTGAAGTAGTAAAGAACGCTTGTCACTCGACATGTGTGTGGGAGGTGGACTCGAGATGTTTGATCAAACTCGAACAACTGGTGGTTGGCTAGGGCCGAATATTGGATTTTGGAGGTTCCCTAGTTTGTCCATGGATTCAAATGAACACTACTAACTATAAGTCCATGAGCTGGTATCGGAGCTGCCCCCTGGGATGGGTATAGCTATCTCCAGGGGGAAAGAACCTAGATGCAGTACGATTCACTTCCGACAGTGGAGACAGTTATTGGAACTGTTGGCTGAGACCAGACATGCATCTATGCTGCACCTACTCACAATCACTTAAGAGCACGTATTGTCGATTGGCTATATACCCATGAAGTTGAAACGTGGCCCTGTGCGTGGCCCTGTGCTGCCACGAATGACACCATTATAAGAACGGTGATTACACTCCACTCCACAAGGAATTGCGATGCTCCAAGATAGTCGACTAGATGGAAAATCATTGAATCAAGGCTATCAGTGACATGTGTTGCATGGATACTACACACACTACCTGTCAAATCTGTGGACAGCAACTGTTTCGCACACTACCTGTCATGAGAATTCAGTCGACGGTCGCCACGGCTAACCCGATCCCGGATCTACTTGCCTTGACGTGGGATGGTAATGGCATGTCGTTTGTCTTAGCGATGACATTAGCTTCACACGCTGCATAACTTATGAGCACAAGCTTAGAACGCACAGCGGCATTCCACACGTGATGTGGCCCAAACGACATGTGGGGTAAATTAGACGCGTTCCAGGCATTGTTCTACATACATTTAGGTGAAGCTGGTAAACCCTTCAAAAGAGTTCTGCATTAAAACAAATCTTACGGCTGTGGATTCATCAAGAGCCCTGGAGGCATCCTCGGCTTCTTGGAGCGCTTCCAGAGCCTTGGCTTCAGCCTCAGTCGTCTCACTTGCCTCCTTCTGTTCTTTGAGCTTGGCAAGTTTCTCCGGTGGTAGTAGCCCTGGAATGTTCTTCGCTTCATCCGTGTCTTGAAGGCGGCATACAGCGTCGAAGACTTGACCCACGGTTCTCACAATACGCAGGGCATGTGACTGCAAGTACACCCACCCACACAGCAAACAGCAGACCGTGACAAAAATATGTTATGGTGCGCCAGTACTCCCATGTGACTGAAAGCTTACAGATGCCATGATAGAACTAAATCATGAAAATGTAGAAAGACTACGTGCAGGAGCTGTACTCGCATGTGACAACAAGCATAGAAGCATCCTGAGAGAGAGGGGGGGGGGGGGGGAGAGAGGCTACTGCAAACACAAGGATATTACACAGCACCTGTAACCCAATGTGACTACAACATAGAGGCACTATCGCGAACATTCACACAATTCAAGATCAGATGCAGGACTCGTACACAGCTGCAGAACTAATAGAATATGGCACTAGTAAACAGAATAGGACAGGTGTATGTGTAGGCGCGTGGGCACGCGCTTGTTTTAGTTCCTACCTTCTTGTAAGCCTTGAACACCGCACAGACGAAGCACTTCTTTCCGCCCTCAAGCTCAGCCCGACACACCAAACTGAATATCTGGCGATCCAATGAGTCATGTGAGACGAAGAACACTCTGTCCATGTAAACATGTGTGACAAATCAGGCACGCACGCACACACACACATACACACACACACACATACTTCGAAGTACACACACACACACACACACACACACACACACACACAGATGTGACATATTCGTGTTAAACTGGGCATGCGTTGTTCCAAGGACATGCAAGAGAGAGAGAGAGAGAGAGAGAGAGAGAGAGTGTGTGTGTGTGTGTGTGTGTGTGTGTGTGTGTGTATGTGTGTGTGTGTGTGAGAGAGAGAGTGAGTGCGTGTAAGAGAGAGGGGGGGGGAGAGTGAGAGAGAGAGAGAGAGAGAGAGAGAGAGAGAGAGAGAGAGAGAGAGAGAGAGAGAGAGAGAGAGAGAGAGAGAGAGAGAGAGAGAGAGAGAGAGAGAGAGAGGAGAGGGGAGAGAGAGAGGGAGAGAGATGGATAGATAGATAGATAGAGAGAGAGAGAGAGAGAGAGAGAGAGAGAGAGAGAGAGAGAGAGAGAGAGAGAGAGGAGAGGGAAGAGAGAGAAGGAGAGATAGAGAGATAGATAGATAGATAGAGAGAGAGAGAGAGAGAGAGAGAGAGAGGGGAGATATATAGATAGATAGAGAGAGAGAGAGGGGGGGGGGGGGGAGAGAGAGGGGGGGGGAGAGAGAGAGAGGGGCCAATGCCCCTTTGACTAGAAATACATTGCACACACATATCAAGCACAAGTAGGGGTTTGGAGAAGTAATCAACCTAAAAGTAATAACCGGCACACATTTCTTGGAGGGCTCAATGGCAGATCTGCAGGCTTTTAACCTGTTCCTTTATGGGATAACTGGAAGACAAACATGCTGGGGCTATTCAAGGAAACAATGAGAATAACCCAATGGAAGTTAACGAACAAACTGGAGAATCATGAATCAGGTCACCACTTACCGATAAATGGGACTCTCTAGAATGACCTCAGGTTGTGTGTCGGTGAGCAGTGTGCTACGTCTCTGTCAGGATCAGAAGACAGAACACACACATATAGCGTGTGATTTGCTATCATTTCAATCAACACCAAATACATACGCTTCTAGGGAATTTCAACCTAGTGCAGTCTAAGAGGTAGAGATAGATAGATATGGAGAGAGAGAGATACGGAGAGAGAGAGAGAGAGAAAGAGAGAGAGAGATATGGAGAGAGATAGAGAGAGAGAGAGATAGAGAGAGAGAGAGATATGCAGGGAGATAGATTGATAGATAGATACAGAGAGAGAGAGAGAGAGAGAGAGAGAGAGAGAGAGAGAGAGAGAAGAGAGAGAGAGAGAGAGAGAGAGAGAGTGAGAGTGAGAGAGAGAGTGAGAGAGAGAGAGAAAGAAAGGAAGAACACAAATGGGAGAGAGATTCAATTTTTCTCCTGGTTTGAAATGCTTTCCCGTGGGCTTTTATCTGTTGGTATCTCTACTATGATAGTGCTCTTTTTCTTCTTGTCATTCTTGTGCTCACTTCTAACTAAATACATCCTTTTGTAGCTCGCAAGCTGTTGCAATCTCGCTCATAAGTTGTTTTGTTATCGCAATTATTTTATAGTAGAGAAGTTTTGATTCAGTAACCAAGCTAACCACTCTATGAGCTACATTGTATTGTGTTTGGTTGCCGAGGTTGTTATGGTATCTAAGCCTGCAGTGTACCCTCTCAAGATTTTATGCATAGTTTAGTTTCCCTCTCACAGGCTCTTACTCAGTGGCCATCATTCAGTCCGTTGTCTATCTGTCTCTCGCTCTCGCTGTGTTCCTACAATATCACTGTCTTTCTAACCTCACATGTCCTCATCTTGTGTCTAGGCAAAAAAAGGGTTCTAGAAGCTCAACATTTGGTTGAACCGGTTCACCTCATTGAAACAGCTACTCTGTAGGTTCCATCAGCATTTTCATTGTCCTTTAATGGACCTTTATGTAAGGGGTACACACTCTGTCAAGTAGAAAGATCCTGAGAGGGGTTTCATTGACCAGTACGATACTCGGGAATAGTCAGGAAATTGCCCACTTACACGTCTCTTCTTCTTTTGCCGTTTTGTCACTGACAGTCCGCTCACCGAGATGCGAATCTTGACTTTGACCTTGACAACATTGCGGGCTTTATACTCGTACTGCACACATGTAGAGTTGGGGAACAAATAATGCGGACACGTGAAGACAAACAAACCAACCAACAAACAAACCAACAGTGATTAGTACATTACATCACTACGCTGCATCCACTGAAGAAAATAATAGAGTTTGACATGCTACACTATTGCAGGAGAGAGTCAAGACTGCGCTTGAATTTTGGGATCTAGATAATTATGATCATTGTATGCAAGCACACGTGTTTGGAGCAGTCTTTCACTATCCACCAGCCGTGACTAGACTGAGCCTTGGGGATTGAGCGGAAGACTCGAGGTACAGACAAAGACACACCGGCAGGCGTACTGGGGTCCTACCTCCAATTACCCAGCAAAACTATGGACTGGATTCGGCAGATCTTTTTTTAAACTACCGAAGTGTCAGTACAAACAATTCAGGTCAGTGTAAGCTCTGCCACGTGCAATACACATGACTGTAAATTCTGCAATAGTCTTTGAAGTACATCCATACGCAGTGCTTACACGAATAGGTACATGTTGGAAATGATCTCGGGTATTGCAATGGTATCTACATTGGCAATCATCATCAAAGCCACTGAAAAATATCATTTTTTGATCTATGATTCCAAGAAAGACACTATCTTTCACGAAACTTACCCATTCATTTTAATGCAGCTTTTTCAAGCACTGTTTCCAACAGAAAATGATGGTATAATACAAGGCACAAGTGGAAATGGATAAGAATACAATTGATAATACTCAGCCTTATGCAAACAGATAGCCAGTCTTTGAAGGAGATCCATATGTAGTGCTTACACGAATGCGGCGCATGTTGGAAATGATCTCGGGTCTGCTCTTAGGGCGTGGGATTTCCATGCTGCCAATAAACTGTACGAAAGCACACGGCATCAATCATTCAACACAAATACACGTTAAAGGTATACTACCGTAAAAGCTCGCAAATAAGTACGTATTTACTTTCAAATTTAGTGGCCACACCCGTACTAACTTTCGGGCAGGTACTGACTTTTGGCAGGCAGGCACAGTGGGTTGGTCAAAGACCATGATTGAGATACGAAAGGTACCTGGTTCAAGTCCTGCCTGGGAGCGGTTTTTCCAACCGTCCTGCTACCCACAGTCAACTGGGAACGTGTGGCCAGGCACAAGGGGTACATGGACGCAGCTAATGGGGTCGTTCTCGGCACTTGTGCCAGTGGTTGTGAGACTTATCCGCTCACCCCCACCGTTAGGCGCTGCATCTGCCGCTAGGGTTTACTGGGTGTTAGCGACCGTCAGGAGTTCCCTTCGGGAACGGACACGACAATTTACTTTTTGCTTTATTTACTGACTTTCGGACACGAACTAAATTTCGGACCTAACTTGTGTGTACTCAAGTAGTGGAGAAGTCATTTTCATGTCGATGTACATGCTACGTTCTGCATGTGCGCACCGTACCGGTACTTATTTCGGGCAGTATGTTTATCGGGCTTGACTTGACGGCAACAGGCAGAATCAAAAAGAATGAAGGGGGTATTTCTTTCGGGCAGGTACATATTTACGGACGTTTACGGTAGTGCTGTAAAGACAAGCCGCTACGACGACTTCCGAGTTAAATATTTCCTAAAATTCGCAGGATTACGAAACGATGAGTTGCAGATGTTAGGATTTTCAGGTATTTCCGAGCATAACACGTTCGTCCCTGGTTGAATTACTGACTCTCAGAATCCATCCTTCATAGCTTCAGTCTTTTTATTCTATTTTACTCAGTGTGCAGTGTTGAACAGTCCAAAAAGGACGAAACTGTACTGTCCCCAACACATAAACCTGCACCTCTCTAACAGTGAGAGGCAAAAGCAGGATATTGGTGATGGATAATTCCTGCAGCCGCTGAGCCTTGCAATTAGACTGTTGAATGGTGACGTTCCAGCACAAGTTGCTAATCCCAGCATAATTAAGCTTTTCACTCACAAAGCGACTATTCAGTACATGGGGTAGTGGTCTACCAGAGCAATCACACTCACCACCGTGGTGGTTTTCCAGAAATGAGTAGAAGCAAAAAACCACACTCGCAGCCACAGAATAGATAAATAGCCGAAAAACATCTAAATCCATCAAAGAACCGCCAGCAAGCGGGAGAAAAGGCCGTGAAATCAAGTGAAACAGCATGGCCAGTGGTGAGCATGGGTGACTGGGCAGCAGGGGAGCGCCTGAAAAACAATGACTCCCTACATTCCTAGCCGCGACCGCTCAACCGGGCTAGAGGAAAAACACGCCTTTCGGCCAAAAAACCTTTCTATTTTCATTAATTCCTGCCCCGCTGCCAGTCAGACCCAAGAATAGAGATAGCAAGAAATGGTATGTAATAACCGGTGTATGTCATAATCATAAGCCACACACATAGGCATAGATTGTCAAGAAGAACAGCGGACGACTCCCATGAAACCAGGGTGGGTGGGCGGGCAACTTCAACTACCACGAGGAAAAACAAAGACCACGATGGCAGGTTCAACGGAGTTGCGCAGAACAAGAGCAAATGCACGAAAATAGTTGTGAGTGAAAAATACGTTTTTTGCACTCTTTCGCTACGCTCAGCCGTGAAAAAACAAAACTATAATTGCCCTTGGCAATTGGCAAGCCCTGTGGTCTCGGGCATCAACCACCCTTGGTGCTGACCGCTTTAATGCACTTCTCACATCAATCATCATTTTTTAATGCCCCAACTCATTCCGTCAGGAACTCACTGCACACCTTAGGCAACCAGAAAGAAGACCTTAGGGTCTGTTGGGAATGCCAAAGGCAAATAATAAGAATACAATGCAATACAAGGGACCCTGCGCCTGGCAGATGGATGGGTGCATCATAAGCTGCAGGAGTCATTCCGGATGCCCAAGTCTCCTAAATAGTATTGCCATTCTCATGGTGTTGTATCAACTCTTTTTATGTTGTTGGTAACCTACGCAACTATGCTGTGTCTGGTACTCATCAGCGTTTGGAATATGCCCTTTCCCATGATGAGCGAATCGAACGAAAGTATATTTACAGATATACCCATAGTCATCTTACACTGGTCTTCCTTGAAACCATCATCGGTCTTGTCAAATTTCGACTGATTTGTGCAATCCCATTGTTTGGAAGTCAACTTCTACTGCGACCCGTTTCTGGATACAGAATCATTCGCACACGCTCCGCCTACTGTCTTCTGGTACCGCCGAACGTACTCTACTGAACTGTTGCAAGTGGCCGCAAACAAACGCACACTGGACACACATCCGTTGCCACGAGGAACATGGTTGACGGGCACGATAACAGTACACGCAGGGGCGGCACTAGGGCCCATGATCCAGCACAGGTTCGTGCTGACTAGTGACTAGTACGTGTAGACGTGTATGCTCACAGAGTCAGACACCATGGATACGGTCAAGTCACAAACTCATAAAGTCTACAAATAATTACATTGGTTTGGGGGAGGCGATTTTTTTTGCGATTGTGACACATACTTTACCTTGGCCTTGCACACCACGCCATGCATGAAAGCGTCGTCATTCTGCACCGGCGCTTTTCCGAACTGATCGCTTTTGGCCACGTCCTCGAAGTCTTGATACTTGACGTTATTGGGACGACCTGTGCGTACAACAGGAAAGAGGACACAGTCACACAGTGAAGGCAACACGACGCACCGGAAGCCCTGCATGCACTGTGCCTAATCCGTAATCGATTATCTCTACCGCTTGAAAATGTGACACAAACTCAGCTTTCCAGACCAGAGGCGCTAGGCACCATGCTCTTACTCAAACTGGTGTTGTACTGCTAGCATGCTACACGTACAAACCGCTCTGCAGAAATGTCGTCCACTTGATTAGAATAATACTGTAATTGTGTTGTGTCAGAGAAGTAGAACAGGGCACTGGAACATTTCCATCTGTGCGGACAAGAACATCTGCAAATCTGTACGGATTTTCCTGAAAGCCATTTCAAAGCTTCTCCCGAGTCAGTGTCACAGGAGCAGTGAACACACGTTCAAGGACTTACCTCCTCCGCCGCCTCGGAACATTTCGCTTCCCTTGCGCGCTCCCGCGTACACACCAATCGATTGTTCAAGAGTCAGCCGTCACCGTCCGTTGGCCGCCGGTGAAATCGATCCCAACTCGGATCGCCAGCGAACGATTCTGGTTTGGTCGAACGCGGGAGTGCCGCCGGTGTCGTACACGGTCTTCGGGTCTTTCTTTCTGCAAGCGAGCTGCAGACTTTCTCGCCCGTACAGGAGACCAGTGAGAGGACTAGTGCTAGTGGTAGTAATATACAGTAGTGGAAGTTAGTACGGGGTTAGCCTATCAACAGATCATATTCGCTCAACCCGTCCACACGTCCTGAGCGCTTGCACACACTCGGCAGATCTACTCCGATCAAAAGACTGTTGCTGCTTTGCAGTACAGCCTACAGGCACAGGGCCGGTCTCCAGCTCAGTTGTCGTCAGCTTGCTACCAGACGCTCAATGGCACACTGCAAACGCCAAAGAGGAGCTGCTTGCGAGGTCAGCAAAAGCTAGCTGAACTGCTCCGCAAACTCAACTCGAGAGTCGAGTATCCAATTATCTGTGGTACGTCGGCGGTGCTACAAAAACAAGGAGTCCTAGATCCAAGCCACTCGGAACTCTACCGATCAGGTGTCGTGTAGTGTTTTTTCTCAAAGCACACATCCGCCGATGATCCGGGCCCAACAAAGCACAGGAGTCTGGAGTAAGCCCAAAAAGAATCTTGGCTTTATTGTGTGTGCGTGTGTGTGTGACCCCGTGTTGCGCAGCTCGGTATGCGATCATCTAGACTACAGCGTTGTACTTGTCAATCGGCCGGTCATAAATTTTTCAGTCAGTTCGTTACAAACAAACAAGGCCCATGGGCCATGATCATGATGCCTGCTCAGAGCTGCGTGTCGGTGCTACTGGCTGCCAACCAAGTATGAAGTAACTTAGTTGCTCCGCAGGGACATATCGCTGCGCAGAAACTACTATACCTGGCGCATACGGAGCAAAGGTGTGACAGGTCTGAAATTATGGCAGCCAAAGACAAGTAGACAGCCGACTGCAAGGTTATGCGGCAGATCGCTAGGGATTGACGCGATGAGTGGAGGAAGGAGCAGGGACACAACGAACTAACTCACAAGGACACAGAATGAGCGGGAGCTGTCGACATGTCACCACTGACATCAGCTAGTTGCGCTTCCCCGCAACGCGTATGCACCTGTCACCTTCCTCCGGAGGACCGGACGGGTCGCAGGCGCTCGACGCCCTCTGGAAGGCTGGATACCTGCTCGCCACAATGACAGGAAAATACATGACTGAGAATGCAGTGTGCATGTGAAAGGCCAGACATTGTAAAACATACTGCTGTGCTGTCTGTTTCAGACGACAGCATTACATTTTGTTGTTCAATCCCCGTTGTAAAAACTGCTCCCGGATCATTTCGGGTGATAATAAAGTTGGAGCATGTTAAATTGAAATCATGCTCCTGACAAGGTACCAAAGGAGGGAACTAAGAAAGAGAGAGTTGCTGGATGAGCATTACAGAAAAGGAAAGAGAGTGGGCAGAAACCCCAGCACAGTTGGACATGTAAAGGATGAGGATCAAGCAGGTGTGATACTGATACTGATACTGATACATGTACTGTGATAGTGTGCAAGTGTGAAAACAGCAACAGAGGAAAATTAAATTTTAAATACCTACATAAAGTGTCTAGAGTCCTTGCTGCAAATAGTGCTCAACACCTCAAAATGGGCAGAGCGTACTACTACTACGTCGTCTGATGAGTGTTTATGACACGAAACTCCGAGTTACGAGAAAGATTTTTGGTCCCTGTTGTTCTGCCTTTGTGTACATGTACAGCGGAACATGCAATTGCGAGCACAGCGGAACGAGTAACGCACTGAGCGAAGGGAAGAGTGATCGAAAAGGCAAAAGTGGAAGAAGGATAGAAGTAGATTTGGGGAGACATCTACGCCTACGGCCCTCGACCCTAACCTAGGCCTATGGCTATGCTAGTAGCAATATATTCAGCCCTGGGGCATCAATGCTCTGACCATCCCCCCCCCCCCACACACACATGGATGGGCCACATCCAGTCCAGGGCATGCCTTACTAGTAGTACAATGTAGTCTGTTCATATCATATGGGCACAGTACTAGTGCACAGTACTGTATCCAGTAACATAAATAAATTCAATAGTGAATACCATGAATATTGCCACTGGCATCATGTCAATGCTCTGTCCATGCCCGGCGCCCCATCCAGGACAGGCCATCAACTGTCCAGGCATGGGGATTCATGACCAGGATGGATGTACAGTACGTTGCATTTTATGAAGTATACAGCTGTCATGTGTCAGGCCACTCCTTTCCATTCCCAGCTGATCTCAGCTCATACATTGTACTCAGTCCAGTGCTTCAAAATACATGTACATGTAAATTTTAAAAATACATGATTGTACAGTGTATCATGTGCAGTGTACATGTACATGTACACTGCACATTGCTACAGTCCAGTACTTCAGGTTTCGTAGTCTAGAATCATATCAGGCCAGGGCCGGCCCAGGGGAGATGGACGAAATTTCCACTACGTGACGTCATGTACATGTACATGTATGTGCGCAAACATGCATTGGCCACGCGATCATCATTCATTTTCTGTTGGCTTTTTATTTAAAAAAATCCTCCTCCTTCGCTTTCTTGTTTATACATGTATTGGGCAACCTGCGAGTTAGAATTTCCAAAGTAAAAATAACAACATTTGTATGCACCAAAATTTAGCAGATTGACCTGCCCACACTTTGAATCAGGCTGCACACAGACACACAGACACACACACACATAGACGCAGACACACAGACACATGCACACTAGCAATCAGGTAAATGTCCATACACACACATGCACGCACACTTGTACTTGCTCACTGCCAACACTGGCCACGTGGGTCTCCCCTTGGGAGAGGGAAGAGAGATTCAAAAGAAACGCACACACAAACACACACATACAGGTACATGTACATGTACACACACAGCGTTAGGGACCGGCGGATTCTGCTCGAAAATGTGGCAGATTCTGCTCGAAAAGCAGTGAAATTGGCAGAACCACACAAACAAAGGTGGGCAATTCCTCGAATTCTTCTCCATTTTTTATCCACATACCAAACATGCATGAAACTTACCAGAAAAAGTACCGAATTCTGCCAATTTTTCTGCCGGGAGAATCCGCTGGACTCTACACAGCGTGCGAAGGCGTGCACACAAATCACAAAGTGCCCTTTGCTGATGTCGCAATTTGCTACAGATGTACATTTTGTACGGTAGTTTCAACAATGGGAATGTGAGATACAACAACGTAGCTGTACATGTAGGTCACTACACTTCACGTATACATGTACATGTACAAACCTCAGGCTAGTGGAAGAGACTTCCTGGGCCAGCTCCAGTGTGCATACAAATGATACAGTGTGATAGGCAGGGGTAAGCGCAGATGCTGTATCAGGGGCGTCGGAAGGTATTTTCGTGTGGTACGGTCAGTCATCTGAAGTACGATTTACTCGTGGGTGAGGGGTTACTGATGCGAACATTTTGGAAATCAGTGTATTTTATTGATTCACAGGTGCCTAGCGCCCGAGACACAAAGTGGTACGGTCTAGTACAGTGACCGTAGACTACCGTGTCCGACGCCCCTGTGTATGATACCTGCAGAGCGCTAGAAAGTCTACTACATTGTACATGTACATGTACATCAGTACGTATGCATAGGGTCTGTTGGGAATGCCCAAGTAAAATAATAAAATACAATACAAAAAAATACAATGCATGTCATATCTTGACATGAGTAGATCAGTACTCAATCTGCTCCAGTACATCAGTGTGTAACTCTATGGAAATGAACAGGCATGACTTATCAGACATGCTGCACAAACAGAACCCACCATTTAGCTTTTCTGGTTTACGCCACACCGTTTTTTATCTATGTTTCGCGTCCCCCCGCGTGCATGTATTTCACAGCCGGAGTTAAAAAAAACCGGAACAAAAATATATTTTTTTGGAAAATGCAATACAAATTTAATGCAAACGCAGAAAACCGGAAAATGTAACCCAAAAGGGAAAAAACCGAACATGATTGTTACACGTAACTATTAAAAAATAAAAAATAAAAAAAATTCACGGTTCACGTGAGACTCAGCTGGAAGCCGAGTTTTCCGCATCCGTCGTGGGAACGCCACCACCCTCTAGGATCAAAGGCGCAGATGCAGCGCCTAAACGGTGGGAGGTGAGTAGATCAGACCCACCACCAATTGGTCAAAGACCAAAATCCCATTAGCTGCATCCATGTTACCCTCGTGCCAGGCCACGAGTTCCCAATTAACTGTGGGTCGCAGCACGGCTGGAAATAATCCTTCCGCTTCCAAGCAGGACTTGAACCTGGTACCCTCTGTTTCTCAATCATGGTGTTAGACCATCCCACTATGCCTGCACGTAACTATTATGTTGGCATCAATTAAATATTTGTTCTATTTATCGCATGATTGTACTCAGCTCACACACATGTACATGTACATGTACATGTGTGTGTAATAAGCAGGGCCGTAAGTCACACAATCATCATACCGCCTGTGTTTGGACCACAAGCATGGCAGAGGGGATATACTCATGTATTCATGTACATGTCAATGTACATGAACAGTGCCGCGTCGCTTCACTGTACACAAATGCAATGCACGTGCACTGTTTTTTTTGGATGGCTTTTTTATTTTTTTCGCCCTCCCTCATTGATTTCATCGAATAAGGTGATGCGAAACATAGAAAAAAACGGCGTGGCCTTAGCCTATTTTCAGTGTTTTACTCAGGGAGTCGTCAAATACTGACGACTCCCTGGTTTTACTGATCAGAATAATGCCCCCCCCCCCCCAGGGCCTTACCTTACCAGCCGTTTGTGTTCCAATCTGAGCCTGCTTGCAGTCAGCTACAGTCCATTAAAAAAAAGATGAGCGCTGGCTCTGGAGAGCTCCCGTGTTTGGCGATTTTGCGGTACTAGTACACTGTGCAGTGCCGCGCGATTCGAAACTTGAAAAAGGGTCCAAAAAGGCACCTCAACTGGGGTTCGAACCGCAAATGTACTGTTATGCAAGTGGAGTGAACGGCCTGGATTTTCATGGTTTTTACCCAGTTCAGTGCTTTGGGGGCAAAACCTGGCCGAAATCCTATTCTTGTTATGGCTTGCTTTTTGGAGAAATAGACTTCAAAAACACAATAATAATATTATTTGAAACACGGGTATTGAGCCAATAATAAAAGTAGAAAGGAAAAGGACATATGGAAACGAGTTAAGAGTCAGGACGTCGAATGTCTCAGTACTCTGTCAGTTTTGTGCCTAGTTGTTGCACTTTCTGACTGTATATACAAGTACATGTAGTATCTAGTTACAGTGGTGGAGAGTTACTCTTAAAGGGGAAGTTAAGGCAAAAATTAAAATTTCACCAGTTGTAGTCTTCGGGGTGCTGAGTCGAATGGTCTTGGTCCGAGAAAGCTGAGACGCTCCCTTCCTACTTGAATCCCAATCGAACTCGCGCACTTCCACCGAAACTGGGTGACTGCGCCCTACGAGATGGGGATTTGTATGCAAAATGTCACTAAAAGCGCCATTTCGTTCTTATAAAAGCACGGATGACCGCGATTGGCCCATATGTTGTAGTCTTTTGGACGCTGAGTCGACTGGTTTTGGTCCGAAAAGGCTGCGATGCAGCGTTCGCCCCTAATTCCCAATCGAACATGGTTGAACAAGCGGTCACGTGCTCCTGCGTACACCAGTCACCTGGTCACCGTGCCTGCAGGGTACAACTTACAGCCTGTTTTGACCTTTTTTGGGTGCAGTCCTGTCACTCGAGTTGAACCTTGGTGTGAAAGTTGTCGCCTGCTGGCGTGGTGACCAGGTGATTTTGGCACCCAGGAGCACGTGACCGCTTCTTCAACCATGTTCGATTGGGAATAAAGGAGGAACGCTGCATCGCAGCCTTTTCGGACCAAAACCAGTCGACTCAGCGTCCAAAAGACTACAACATATGGGCCAATCGCGGTCATCCGTGCTTTTATAAGAACGAAATGGCGCTTTTAGTGACATTTTGCATACAAATCCCCATCTCGTAGGGCGCAGTCACCCAGTTTCGGTGGAAGTGCGCGAGTTCGATTGGGATTCAAGTAGGAAGGGAGCGTCTCAGCTTTCTCGGACCAAGACCATTCGACTCAGCACCCCGAAGACTACAACTGGTGAAATTTTGATTTTTGCCTTAACTTCCCCTTTAACTCGTTTCCATATGTCCTTTTCCTTTCTAATAATATTATTGGAAGAGCATTCCATGGGGGATTGCCAAAAAAATTGTGACGAAAACTCAAAATTTGACCCGTTTATGGCCCAAAGCTAGGATATCATCTTTTTCTGAATGGACTGTAGCTGCTTGCGTCACCGACTCGAAGAAGTCAAAGCCCATTTTCGTAAATCAACGCCCGGACTATTGAGTGTTATTGCTGAAGCTTGTAAGCCGGAATAGAGCACCGCCGCTACGGACTGTAGTCTGTACTGATATCAACTAACGAACTTACTTACTTGACATCACGTTGTCATCCGCAGCCTCCCACGAGTGGAATAATCCTGCCCGCTGTGCAGTAGACCCACTGACTAAAGCCGTAAAGGCACCGTTCTGAACACCGAATTAGAGTCCACAAGGCACAACTTCACAAGCGGGTGAGCACGGAATGAATCGAGGCGATGTAGAATACTGTGCTGTTCACTGAGTGACGAGAGAGGTTCTAAGTTTCTGCTTCTGATAGTGATACAACACCGCAGAACTCCTCTCCGCCAACACGGTCTATTCCGTGACTCGGTGCATGCCGGCTACTCAGGATCAAGGCAGGTTGCGCACTATTGAATGTCGGATTCATTGATTGCAGATCACAGCGTTCTACACGACTCTACAGTCAGTCCAGGTAGACAGGCCGGGGCACTACTGATTTCATGGTTTTGCAGAGACTACCCGTCGGAACGAAAGAAGTGAATAATTATAACAGTTTGTCGATACATGTACTAGTATATTATGCTATCTTCACTACAATATTATGTAGTCATTTCTTAGTTCGAGATCCGATAGACAGATCCTTTTCCAGCATCTTATCTATGTGATAAGAGATAGCAGTCATTCAGCTTATTTTATACGGTAGCATGCAATGATGCATGTCTATGTACTAGCATTCAACTCATTCATTTTCGCTTCATTGCTGTCATTTTCCAGGGCAGTCCCCTCACTGGCCTCAGACTCAGACTACTAGTATTGCCTAGTATTGGTACACTGACCGTTCTAGTCTTATGTCCCATACTGTCTGTGTAGTACTTCCTGAACTGGCTGAAGCATTGTGCAGCATATACATAGGACAAACAGGCTCAGCCTTGGAGTTCAGATTTTGACTGCCTTTTCTCCCATCACACACAGAACTTGTGACAGAAGACAGATCCAGGTATCATGACCAGGACACCACATGTGCGCACATGAACACACATGCACCACACAGACAGAGACACACACATCATGTACCATGCACACGCACAATAAGCATACAAACAGGTACAATAAATACACACACACACACACACAGGAACAGATCAAGCATAGAAAGCCCGATATTAAATGTACATCAATGTTTTTTCTTCAGTGTTGTTCTAATTAGCAAATGCACATCATGGTGGCAGGAATTGACAGCGATAGCATGAGGAGGCGACATGTGCTTATTACCATCCTCAAAATTGATGTGTGTAAAAAGTGTGATACCATACGTTGCATTGAACAGTGAATATAAGGTGAAGCGGCAATACTGAGTGGGCCGCACAGCAGCAAGGATCGGGTGGCTTTACTGGTAGCTGCAAATACATGGCATGCATTGTATAGATCCAATCGTGTAGTGGAAATGCGCATTTGTTTCTGCAAAGTTTAGCATTCAGCTCGCCTGAAAATGTGATTGCTTACAATTGGGTGCTGTCCGGAGATAAATGTTTTAGCATGAGACAGTGGTGATAAAGGCCTGGCCAAGAGAGAGCGGAAGCCAATTAGCTTTTACGCGGAACGTCGTTGAGCAATCCAGCTTATGCAATAAATCAAGACGGCCAGGCATTTCTCCCAGCATGGCCCACATTGTAAATAGGATTCGACGCATGACCACTCGAATAAGCCCCGGTTTATCTCAGAAACGCTATGTGACCAAAGAAGAATGGCTGGTTCAACTTCAATAATAGAAAAGGCGAAATACAATGCATGCAAAAGGAAAATATGCCAAAATGGGATCAGGAGCACAGAGAAAGTAAATTTCGTGGAGTCGTATTACAGGGAGGATTCGTTTCACACACGAGTATTACAGTGCTGAGTTCTCTTCATCTTCAGTTTCGGGTGTCAGCGGAGGTGCTGGTGTGAAGCGATCGTCGTCCGTATCTTCGTACTCTTCATTGCGCATGGGTCTGGATGCTTGTGTTGTGCTGTAGGCGGATACAGTGCTACGTACGCTGGACTCACGAGTGACCAAGCCTCCTATAGGCGCAACGTGGTCCGCTCCTCGCTGCTGCAGACTCGAGCCACTGCTTCTGGCTACGGTGCCACGATGCATTGGACCAGGCGTGTGTGGTGCTGGCGAGGTGGTGCTGCGAACACTTGACTCACGCGTGACGGTGGCGGCACGCGGAGGCACCGCGTCGACCGAGATGGCGTCATCCTTCAGCTTGGCCGCCGCAGCCCGTTGGTCCTCTTCATTGAGGTTGCCATCGGGAGGAGTGTGCTGACCCGGCAAAGCCACTCTCAGTGGTTGTGGATTGGCTGTTGTGTAGACGTTGTCCTCATCCAACCTGCTGAGTCGCTTGTTTGCTGGCGTGTCCTCCACATCCGGTTCATTCAAAGGTACATTCACATAAACTGTGCTGTTGGTCACGGAGTCGCTGAGAGAGTTTGTTGAAATAGCTGCTTGCTTACGCAGTTTCTTCTCCTTTTTCGCCTCTTTCTTGTCTTGCTTTTCAAGCGTTTTGTCTTTCATCATGCGCTCCCTGCGTTTAGCAGCAGCCCTCTCGCCATACGTCATCTTCTTGGGCTCGGCGGCACCTTCCAGTGAAGATCGTCTGGGTTGCGCCATTGCCATGGCAGGAGCCAGCGATGATCTCCTTGGTTCATCAGCAAGAGATGATCGTCTTTGCTCGTTACCAAGAGAAGATCGCCTTGGCTCAAGATTTTCAGGCGTGAAAGAGCGGCCGTCTGCGCTATCAAAAGAGTCGTTTTTGACGACAGTCATCTGAAAGGCCGGTTGTGGCTTCTTCTTGCCACCCTCCATTGCCTTCCGTTCTCGCATCATCTTGGCCTTCTGACCAGGGGTCATTTTCACTGGTGGTAGGTCCCATGCACTTGTTGAGCTGGAGTCTTCGTCTAGAGAGCCTCCGCGTGAATCCAACGTAGATCTCTTGGAGTTCAGAGTGCTAATGCCACCGCTTGGAGTGAGGGATGGCCTGGGCCCACTAGAGCTGCTGAACTCCTGCGACGCGGATGACGTGCGTCGAAACACGTTGAGAAACGTGTACGCCGTACTGCGACGACGGCGGCCATCGTAGCTGCCGTCCATTTTGGCAGCAGCCGATCGGCTCTGCGAGTTACTACTGGCTGCACTCTTTGATTGCGTGTCGGAGGAGAAGAACTTTGTGCTGATCATGTTCTTCACAACACGGTTAGAAGCAAACTGGAACAGGAAGATGAAGAAGCCCTGGAAGGCGACGAGAATTGTGAATATCCATTGCGGAGCCGGGTGTGTGTTCTCCAGCACCAGCAGACCTGAGATCCAGGTGACGCCGAGCACCACGCTCAGGCTGATACTGATGCGGATACGCTGTCGACGCACCTTCTTCTCGTTTTTGTTCGTAGTCGGCTGCTTCCTAGAGAGTACGAGTGTGACCTTCACCAGAATGGCGATGTTCAGGATCATTGTTAGTATCATTGGAGCTACAAGACTGATGAAGAACGAAATGCCATAATCAATGCGACAGCTGCAGAAATACAAAGACAAGAATTGAAAACACATACAGTCCATTTTAAAACTATAGACGCGTACCTAGGCAAAAACCGGTATGCCAGCATCTATACCACATAAAATCTGTGATCACTTTGTGCATAAATTTTTCCAAATTGGGTGTCTGTTGTCCAATCGTTTAGAAGCTATATGAGAGTAATTGTGGAGCGGACCTGAGCAATATTCCGAATACTATTCTCAAAAAGTTCCAGCTAAATTTGAAATATTTCAAAAACACTGCACGTCTATAGTTTTGAAATGGACTGTAGCAGTATTCCTTTGTTTGAGGGAATGATAAGGGGAAAGGTCAGAAGAAAAGGTACGCTTTCCAACGGCCAAAGAGAGTTGGAAAGCTTGTGTCTTTGTGGGTAACCTGAACATTTGGGCTCATGCAAAATCGCACCGATTTTGGGATTTCCCCACAACTTTTTGCGTCCACAAAAATGTTGTGCTGGACCGCATTCCTGTCACTTCGCAGTGGCTTTTCGTTGGTGCAGTTTGTATCCCATCCTCCCACCCCTGGCTTCTGGGTGTGTGTTTATCGATATATTATTATCGTATTGGTTTTTCTTATTGGCCATGTGGCTGTTGCAGTTACGACTGCTTTTCTTTTTTAGTTAAAAAACGTAGGGGTGGTGTGTGCGTCGTGGGCCATTGTATGGTTACATACAGCTTCAGATTGTATGGCTAGTGACAGGGGGGTTGAGTCTGCAGGGGAAGAATACAGTGATTGAACTGAAGCTGGATGATGACCGTGTGGTGAGTGTGTGGGGGTTTCGAGATGCCGTCCTGGGGCAGGGATGTCGGTCCTTTAGCTTGGACGGGTGTTGTTACATTCATTGTAACATTTTGTCGTTTTCTGTGTGTTTTGCTGTGCAACTACAGTAGCAGCAGTGTCTTGTGCTAATTTTCCTTATGATATCAGGCCCTATGCGTACAATTATTCAAAAAAGAAAAAAAGAAAAAATATCAGGAAGGAGATATAATAATATCAATAATAAAGCCATTGCCGAGCCACCGTTCTCACAGCAGAGACTTCTGTGTGTGTTATTGTTGTGAAGTGGACCACAAAGACAAATCGGTGTTGCTTCTAGAAGTGGAACTAAGGGCTTTCACAATAGGCCAGTGATACAGAAAGAGACACGTTGAATTTTCGGATAATTGACATGAAAGCAAGGGCCCACATGCATTCAATTCCTTGCTCGATTCCCGGAGTAAAGTAAGTTCACGACATCAGTGTTCTATCCATGAAAAATTTTTACAGGCAGGGGAAACAAACAGCTAGCCCATTTTTTCATTCTGAAACTTTGCCGCGACACACAAAATTCAATACAGTGGCCCAGCACACACCCGGAGAGAAGGGGGGGGGGGGGGGGTGGCTGGGGCTGCACCCCTGTGACATTATTGTATGACATTTTGATAGTGATAAAGACCAATCTGAAACTCATCCAGAGTGTTGAGCGCTGACACTGATACGTAGATGCCCAGGCTCCACATTACTCTTAGAAATCATATACAGTGGAACCTGTCTGAGACGACTGCTCAAGGGACCTTCAAAATATGGTCTCTGTCTCCAGGTGGTCTCCTTATCCAGGGTCAATTGACTGGAGAAAGCATCCGCTGGTCCTGGTTCCAGTGATCTTTTAGGACAGGTGGTCGCCTTATCCGAGTGGTCGCCTTGACAGGTTTTACTGTGCGTAAATAGCGAGTGTCTGCTACTCATGAAGATACAAGGACCTGTGCCCCGAAGCATTATTATGCAGCTAAAGGTAGTGGGTCCGCAACACAAGTGAAAAGATGCCTGCTAAGAGCTGCCGTTGAACTCACAATTGCTGATTGCCGTATGCTCCCCAGTCTGCTGCAGCGGTCACTATCACAATCACTAGGGGAATACCTGAAAAAGAAACGAACAGATTCAGACAAAGAACAAGGACGGTTTTCAGTTTCTAATTCCTTACATTGTACACGTATGTCGATCTGCTACTAGAACACAGCCAGCATAATTATCATAATTGTAATGTCAATTGCATATTACGTGTATTAGGAGCTTCACCGTGTTGGCATCAATGCAATGTAGATATACACAGCATGTATAGCTTTCGCATAAGCCGAAGCGACAACAGCCAAACAGGATATTGATGGCGATATAAAACGCGTGCCGAAAATAGAATACAAATAGAACGTAGCTCCATAGCCAGAGCATATTTGCTGGCACGTACATATGCATCATCACACAGCGACCAGGAGCATAAAACTTGGACATCGGTAGGGCACGGCATCATGAGAGTGTTGGTGATTTTGAACAGCGCAGAAGTTACTTACCATGTGCAAAGATGATTGACTTGAGCAACAGGTTGCTGACTTTGCTGTCGAAGATCTTGATCAGGCCGGCGTAGAGGTTGTAAGCCTCGACAGCCATCCAGAAGAACGAGCACAGCATGAAGTAGTGAAGGAGCAGTGCAATGGCACGGCATGCGTCTGCATTCTCCGTCTTGTCAATGCCCAAGAGGAAGATGAGCAGGACAGCCACCAGAGATATTGACAGACCGACGATGATGTTCGATTGCTTGTTGTTACGGATCTCCCTGCACAGTGCCAGAGTGATTGAGCATAGTGAATTTTGGATGTCAGCTACTACTACTACAGTCAACTTCGCTTATATCGACACTCAGCGGGGCATCAGAAAAGTGTCCTTATTCGCGAAGTGTCGTTATACCCGAAGTCGCATTCTATGTATTACAGTTGGATGGGACTTTGCTCTGGGCATGGAAATTCTGTCGTTATTCGCGAATTGTCGTTATATCCGCAGTCGTTATTAGCGAAGTTGACTGTATCGTATTTGATGTCAGCTACTACTATCGTATTTGCACAGTTCACGGTATGCATGAGTAGTAGATACAAGTGTGTGTGTATAGTATACAATCATAATATCCACCAGAAATCAGGACAAAACACAGGCTAACAGCGGTCTGGTGCCACGAGCAAAGAACTCTTCACAAAAAAATATGCGCAATGTCCATGGCTACAGCATTACTTGAACCTTCAGTCATAGCTACCAATAAACACAACCTCAAGTGACACCCAGCGCACGTATGCACGCGCAGGCAAACACACACACGCACATACGCTCGCACACGCAAATACACACACACACACACACACACACACACACACACACACACACACACACTGCTACTACTCACACGCACACAGCACAGCACAGCACAGACACAAACTACTTACTTCTTCAGCAAAAAGAGAACAATGGTCAGCACTAGTCCAGCAATAGACAGGCTTGCACCGATTGTCGTAAACAACTCCAATGCCTACATGACCAGTGCAGATGACACAACACACGAATCACGGGGAAAGTAGCAGACATCAACACAACAGATTTGAAAACGTTACCTGGGTTGCAAAACGGTGCACGTAAAACTCAATATCCACCTGCAGTACGTCAACCTTAGCATGCCCTCCTCGATAAGATCAGGCTTCAAACAAACACAAGTGTGCTTCGCTGCTTGGATGACGACTATACCATAGTTTAGTGATAGAGTATTGCTGGCCATAGGCGCGGGACCCTGGTTCGAATTCTGGTGGCGAGAGTCATTTTTTTCTTCTTCACACTTTCTCGTTTGCAACTTTCCCTCAAACTAATGAGTGTGTTTCTTTACTTGTGTTTGTCCCTTGTCTCCCAGTACATGCTAGGAAAATATTAATGTCCCATTTCTGAAATGCTGGGCCAAAATCTGCTCCATTCAAATTAGCCAGCACTCACACAGTAGCACAGGGAGTGCTGCATCGATACTGGCTCCTGAAACATGGCCAAATACCTTGAGATACACCGACATTACAAGATTGATCATATCATATGAGAAGAAGAAAATGCCCAACAAGTTTAATATTCAGCGTCGTGAGCAGCCCCAGGAGGATTCAACCTACCTCGTTGGGTTCTGCTCCCGGCGCAAACAGCAGAGCAAAGTTGGTCAAATGAGTGCACTGACATGTGACGTGTGTTTCAGTGCTACCCATTACTGTGCATCCTTCTTGACTCCAGCCACCTCTACCACCTGCAGGGGCATGGACAAGGAGAGGAACTACATGCTAAAATATGGCCATGAAATTTTGAAATGTAGGTAGCATTGTTCAAGCTTGCCACAGGCCCATAAGATGCAACTCCGACAAACATAATTATTGTGCAAGTTACTGCAGTATGGACATGACAGGGGAGCAGCCCGTGAGAGACAGAGACAGAAGGGAGATGACTGTACAACCCTCCCCCCCCCCCCCCCACACACAATTTGTAGGGCTTCCAGATTGTCTGAGTTAGGCCTGGAAACCAGTTGGGCATTTGCCATTGCATGACCAGTTTACGTGACCACGAGTCTGGGAATATCTCTACATCCTGCCCCGGACATGTGCCTGGATTTCTTAAAAGGACAAAAGAGCACTGTCCGCAGCCTGAGAGGTGCCAAAGGACTTGTCAATTGTTATCCTCAGCAGATGATGTAGTACTGAATACAATTTCAGCAGAATGACAGCAGAGTTGTCTCAATTGTTTATCATTAGCAAGTATCAGATCATGTCCCATCGATACAGTGATTGACTGTTTGTTTGAAGTTTTATTTTACATCGCAAACCAAACGGGTCGTGATGCCAAATATTATGATGGCGATAGAATACAAAGCGTGGCTCGATAGTGGCTGCCCTAATTGAACATGGGGTAAGTATTAAACACCTCTACAGCAGACCTCTTGCTAACTAATGGTGCCAATCGCTGCTTACATCCAATCACAAATGCACTGTTATGATGCCTATTTCTGCAGTGCTAGAAAACACAATCACACTCGGCTCCTATCATTACAGCAGTGCACATGGCACTCGTCATTCCTTTCGCCACCCCCCCCCCCCCTCCCATGGTGCTTGCTGTGTACGCCGATACCGAAACCCTTGGTCGGAGGAGTCCACCGCACCTCGCCAGCGCAGCTCATGTAGCGCCTACACACCCATTGTTCTTTTTTTTGTTTTGCCTTTGTTTTGTTTCCCCTACTTTCGTAGGTATGTGCACTGTGACAAAAAAATAGAACACTCCCGATTACACTGCTCGTGCATTATACATGAACACCGCGGCTGGATTGGTGCACTTACTGTTGCGCTGGTAGTCCCAGAATGCGCACACCTGGTCCTGCGTCTGTACACCGTGCACATAGACAAAGAGAGCAAATTCTGAATGGCCGCCATTCCCGGAGTGAAAACGCAGTCATAGCGTAGTAGAACATGGCAACAAAAAACCCTGTGAATATTCTAACAACCTGTGTTTGTCAACATATTCCATCTTGCCACAACATTCTAAAATACCAGTGCTAGATCGCTGGTGGTCACATGCAGGCATCCAGGATTTAGCTCTTATTTTATTGGTAAGCAGAAACCCTGCAAATAGGAGCCCTCGACATTTTTCTGATTTCTTCTCCAGTGTATGATTTATTGCATTTTAATCCATTGTGTTAATTAGCCCTCGACTGGGTGTAAGAAAAGTGTTTTTACTCTCCGTTATCTACATTCTTGAGATTGAACGCATGCAGTGGGATGGTTACCATTTTGAAGTAAGCCAATATAATTATTGTGTTGCTATTGTGAGTTGTCGCTCACATGGTTTGATGTATTCACTTTCTGTTCTGAGTTTTTGGGTGTTCTGGGCTCAACAGATATGAGACAGGGGACTTGAATCACTTGCAAGAGTGCTAGTGAGTACATGTGCTGTGGATGTGTTTTCTTCAATCCAGTCACACATCCACCCTGTACTGGAATTGCACATCACCACTCTCTACGTAGTAATCTCTACAAAATGTCGGTTTCTGATGATCGCTTAGTGTGTGAAACTCGGAGTTCAAGCACTTTTTCATCCTCTTATTATTGTTAGTAATTTGTACGTATATAGTTATCAATGCAATGGCTTACATCACCCGAGACGGGCTGCAGTGAGATCTGGATTGGCTCGGGAAGTAGTCGCTGTCCACCAGGCAACGTTTCTACATCCGGTGACGTGTCGCGCTCAATTGAAATGCTAATAACCAAACTGTTTGGGCTGACGATCTCCCGTGTGGCTGCAGCGTCCTCAGTTTCTGCATCACCTGTTCCGGCTGTTTCTCTTATTTCCGTGAAGAAAAGTGTAGCAGTGAAGACGATGAAGTGAATTCGCCGCCTGCAATCTGGATTGGTTGGGTCTGCAGTGCCGTTGGGCAGCGTACATGTAGCCGCAGCTACAACGCTGTCGGGCAAGAATGCCGACACAGGCGCCACGGCTTGCTGGTCATTCAGCTGGTTGCCCGAGCCAATGGCTACGTCGGATGGGTTCAACATTGATGGAACAACGGGGTTATCGCCCTGACCTGGCACCAACGAGAATGTGGTGCTGAATACTTCCCGTCCAAAGTCGATGATCGTGGACGACACCGTTGGTGATGTGAGGACTTCATACACAGCCGTAGCGGTCTCGTTGTCATCACTCTGGGGATCAAGAGGCACAGCCACCTGCCGGGTCTGCATGATAATGGGTTTCTGTGCATTGGTGGCCACCAGGATTTGCACAATTCTAACAACAGATAAGAAAAGCAATGGTACAATCATCATGATCATAATCCATTTTCAGATAAAATGAGCAGGGACAGAGGTCAAACACTGATTGGGAAGAATTGTCCTTCTAGTCAACCCAGGTGTCACTCTAGGGCTAGTAGACTCCGCATAATAATCCCGGCCTCAGTGACCTAGTGAGGACCTGAGCTTGCAGCTCTCTTGCTTCGTGTATTTGTATGTCCTGCCGTGTGTACCGGTGGCTACAGTGAGGTGCATGGTGCCTATATACAGCACATACAGTGTATCCTATATGCAGCACATACAGTGTATCATGTATGCAGTACATACAGTGTATCATGTATGCAGCACATACAGTGTATCCTATATACAGCACATACAGTGTATCCTATATACAGCACATACAGTGTATCCTATATACAGCAGATACAGTGTATCATGTATGCAGTACATACAGTGTATCATGTATGCAGTACATACAGTGTATCATGTATGCAGCACATACAGTGTATCATGTATGCAGCACATACAGTGTATCATGTATGCAGCACATACAGGGTATCCTATATGCAGCAGATACAGTGTATCCTATATACAGCACATACAGGGTATCCTGTATACATGTAGAGCACATACAGTGTATCCTGTATATAGCACATACTGTAAAAGCCATATATATAACGAAGAGCTAACTCTAATGAATTAATGAGGAGAAATCTGACGTTAAAATAGAAAACGTTAGACAGAAATTTATACATATTGTTGCTATTGAGCGTTGAGAATGAGTGAGAATCGTTACCTTTGATACACGTAAACTGGTCAATTTTAGGGAATTGTTATATAATTTTATGCGCCTCGTTAGAATAATGGCTCTTACAGTACAGTGTATTCTGTATCAAAAAAGACATGGTTTACAGAATTGAAGAACACGATTTGCACACATGAACACACTGTCGTCGTATGTGTTAGGCTCTATGTGATGTGTGGATGTGTACCCACAGTAGATGCAAGCCTGGTATAGCCACTCACTCTGCACTGGTGTTTAGCGCTATCTGTGCTTCGAATAGAACAGCTGACGGGGAGGCCAGGACATTACTCACAACCTGCAAGACACCTGTCGTGATCTGCAGCAACATAGCACAAGACACAGGCGCTGTGGGAGCTGACAGGCTGTTGCAGTGAGTAATACACCTCTACATGAAATCATTGAAAAGCGTCACTAACAGTCTCCAGGGTTCTAGCCAGGTCAAAATAGTAGGGGGGGGGGGCATGGGAAACATATACCCTGTATCTCATTTTCCAATTTCCAAATATTGTCTCGCCACGCTAAATGGGCTGAATCCCCAACTTCGCCCCAGACAAATGTGCCTTTATGAACAATCTATAAGTAGTGACTTTCGGCTGCATTTTCGTTGAATTGCATGAAAAACACGAAAAGCGGAAAATGAGTAGGGGGTGTCGCGAACGTCGCCATGAACTACATGTACAAGAGTTCGGAATAACAATAATTTATATTTTCATTACATGACGATGATTTAGTACTCTTTTGCTTGCTTACACTGTGGCTGATTCCACGCTTGGGTTAGCCGAAGTCTAGTTCCCCATCGTCCTGTCTAGTGATTTCGTTTCACTTCGAAGTAGCTTCAAAGGAATTCTTCGTTTCTCTATTCTTTGCATTTTGTTCACAAACAAATTCTTCGTTATGTTTCGTCCCGTGAGTAGTTTCGCGCTCTTGATTTGTTTTGCTCACGTGTGACTTTCCTTTCCTTTCTTTTCGTGATGCATGACCATAATGTCGTATTGCTATGATGTTTATGTGTACGTGACCACGTGATTGCGTGTTCACTAACTACAGACAGTAGGCTAGTGCACTTTAGCGATTCGCCCTCCTTGCTGTTCACTTCTTCCATTTCTGTTTTGTCGATGCAGTAGTTCCTTTTTTTTCATCATGCCACGTCTATGAAAGTCGTGGTCGCCATTTTTTATGCATGATCTCTGTGCGCAGCTGCCTGTGGATGCAGCTGCCTTTTTCCGTTGAATTTTGGATCTTCTTTGAGAAAGAAACAAAGAAACAAACTTTCCACATGAAGAAACGTTGAAAGTCTTTCATGGTCGTTGAGTCGCGATTTTTATGATGTCGCGAGTCACGACAGGGGGCATTCCATGACATGTTGATTTAGCTGATACTGTTGATAGCGATCTTATAACAAATAATTATATATTCTATTTATCTACCGTTTATTCTTATTATCTTAGCAAGGGCACTGCATTTTTAAATCTGGAAAATGACGATCCTATGTCTTGTTACTTTCAAAAACAAGTAAACGTTTGTCCCAGAAGCAAGATACACATGTACAACCCCGCCGAAACGCCTAGTGCATAGTTCTCGTGATCTTACTGCATTGGTCTCGTCTCTCAGACCTTCCTCATCGTCAACCGGGTCGCTAATGATGCTGACTTCGATGATCGAGAGGACATTTGTCACGACTCCCACATCGGTGGGCTCCAGCATGGATGACACACTGGTCAAAAATTCCAGGTCGGCAGTCGTATCAACAGCAGCTTGCACGGTGTTAATTTCAACCTGGGAACAGAGGGAACAAAGACAACGCCAGAGTTGCACTATCAAGTCAAGGATACATACCATTAGTGATTTTGCGGCCCTTCGACCAAGCCCAGAACCTCCAAGCATGTAAGATCGGGGCGTAAAGTTCAGAGGTTTGAGTGAACGGAACTAAGGTGAGGGGCCAAGGGCAAGGGCAAAAAATTCACAGAACACCCTTTTAAAACTACTCATCATGCGTTAACTGGAAAATGAACCGCATCATTGAAGACTTTCTCACAATCATCCCAGTATCCAGTATGCAGCTACTCTGTTCTTCCATTGAAGCCGTGCCTACACAGCAGTTCTAGGGACTACCAGAGACAAATCTATTTCCCGGCCCAGGGTGAGACGGTTTCACTGTTTCTGAGATTTTCTACACTTACATTTTCCAAGATGGTCAACTGCTCGGTCAAATCTGCGGAGGAAAAAGAGACATGGATTGGCACAATTCGGCTGGAAGCACACCATTAAACATGTCTCAAGTATTGCTAGATTTTGACTACTCTCAGTTGGTTTCGATTGTTGATACAAGTACTCGCACAGTCGAGCTGAGTTTTAAAAGGTATTCTAGACATGATAGACATGGTAGACAAGTTCAGATTGCCCTTGCTTCCTCGCAAGCAGTCCGTTGAGATGTGAAGTAACCTACAAAACAGGGAGGTTCCAGGCTGTCCAAGAGAGTGCTCAATACCGAGAGGCAGAGCTAGTTAAGAGGAAAAATGAGTTTTTACTCCGAGTTTCACACACATTATTGTGTGAAGTAGCCTACTTCAGGTATCATTTTTAAACTTTTGAGTCCCATTTCTCTGTGTAATGGTAAGCTAGTGAACAACACTGTATTCCATTGTGGCAATAACCTGACACTCTGCAAAGAATATTACCGCAACTGCAGGGTGTAGCTGGTTCCCCTTTTAGTGGGGTGCACGGCCGGATATGTGTAGCATTGCTAGTGCGTGTCATTCATGGTCATTATGTGCAAGCTGAACCTTGGTCGAATTTTGGGGGGGGGGGGGTGCACGTTCCCCCTGTGCCCCATGCGGGCTACACGCCTGCAGATTACAGGATCACTTACTAAAGGCAGGCAGCACACCGATACTGCCTGGTTGAAGCGTGAACTCGGGAGCGAAGAACATAGGCCCATCGGTTTCAACTGTACGCGCAATCTCCTGGGCCATAGCTGAACTTTGGTTGCCACGATGAACCATGGCTGTGTTGAATGTTGTGATAATGCTACCTCCCCTGTAGACAGAATGGTCAGCCGTGAATGATGACACAGGTCATAATAAACGAGATTCATATTCTACATCCTCCTCCCCTCCTAATCACACATACACACACATGCACATGCACCCCCCCCCCCTCCCAGCACACACGCACACACACACACACACACGATTGCTTGTATCCTCTCTCCCACGCACACATGGACCTACATCACTCATACACCCTAAACACTAATACACGCGCACCATGTACCATGCACCATGTACCATGTACCATGTACCATGTATACGCCCGTCACAAGAGAAGCACGCAAATCTGCAAATGCACTGAATGTGCGTCAACAGATTTTTCTCTTATAGCAACGATAGCGGCCAAGATCTGAATGAGACTGAGCAAGACTAGCGCCAGATAACTGCCTAATCCACACAACTAGGACCCGTGGTTGGCTCTGGCCATCCCAGCAAGAAGGCAGATATGCATGCCTGTTCGATTGGTGAATAAAAATAAAAATACCTACTAGACACACACACACACACACACACACACACACACACACACACACACACATGCCCACACACGCCTACACACGCCCTCCCCCCCCCCCCACACACACATCAACACGTACAAGCACACAAAGGCAGGAGGACTATTTTACACCATATTTACACCATATTTACACCATATTTACACCATATTTACACCATATTTACACCATATGCATAAAGGATAATGCACTTCACACACAGGGTGGGGAGAAGTTCCAAAAATCCGCAACATACATAGTATGACACATGTGTGACCATTTTAAGTGTGTGCATACTGCTAGGTACCTCCTCCAGTACGTTGTACAACCTTTTCCAAGCTGGCCCGCATGCACCCCATACTACTTCGTACTCACCTTTTGTCTCCTTTTGTCACCTTTTGTTCCGTAGTCCTGGGTAGCTACTTGCGCGCCCATATTTGCCATAGCTACCCAGGCCCTTTATCTTGCCGCCCTCAATTGATATCTCTCTTCCACAATGTAGTCGTTCCGTTTGTCTTTGTCTGAGTCTCTTCGTCTTCCCTCATAAAAGTCGTTCCCACCTAACCTGTTCCCGTTGTCCCTAATGTCTTGGGAGTACTCGTCCTATTTCGAACTCAACAATACGGATATAATTTTGTATATGTGTGGTTGTGTGTATGTGTGTGTGTGTGTGTGTGTGTGTGTTTATTTGTGTGTATGTATGTATGTATGTATGTAGCAGTTCGAGACGGGCCAGGTTTGACATGCCTTGTATGCCAGCGAACCTTCACGTCCATCAGTGGAAGGACTCGACACAAGTGCAAACTGACTGACATCCAAACTACAGCGGCACCACCCCTGGAGTGCTCCGCCTGTCACCGGACCTTCCGCTCGACTAGCGGCCGGACACGGCAGCAGGATCAAGATCAAGATGTATGTATGTATGTGTGCGTGTGTGTGTGTGTGTGTTCGTGTGTATGTATGTACAGTCCTGGACATGGAAATCCGGTCGCATGTCTAGCGGCCCCAGGGTGCTGGCCATGGAGCCGTGGATAAGCGGTACACACTTGCATTTATGCGCTGCAGCGCCCTAGTCGCATCGGATCGATTAACATGTGTCCTGCACGCAGCGTTCTGTACGCGCTGAGGGCGCCGGCCCCGGTCAATCGACCGGATTTCCATGTCCACGACAGTATGTATATATATGTGTGTATGTACGTATGTGTGTGTATGTATGTGTGCATGTGTGTGTGCAGTGGTATGTGCAGTCGATTTCCAATCGAGAGGTTGCGGGTTCAACTCCCGACGATTATGGTCGCACACGTCTTTCTTGTCTTTCTCGGACTCTTCCTGACTTTTCTTTCATTCTCCTGGGTGGTTACCAACAGCCAGTGTATGCCGGAGTATGTGGTGTGGTGTGTGTGTGTGTAGAAAAAATGGAAAAATGAAAAATAGGGATTCACTGGCCAGAAAAAGTCACTTCAAAACAGCTGTGTGGTGGATACCAGGCTAAAAATAGTGGCGGTCAATTCATCAGCCTTGCAAGCTGTTGAATGGTGTAATCCCAGCACAAGTTGCTATGTCTAACATAGCTGTTCGCTATCATCGCTTCCGCGATGGGCATGTCTGAGGTCAGAGGTGTATGTGTGTGTGTATGTGTGTGTGTATGTATGTGTGTATGTATATGCGTTTGTATGCTTGTACCTTACCTGAACGTCGGTAGTGACATGTTGAGAACATCGAACAAATCTTGGTTAGTATCGAAGATTTGCTGGAGCTACGATTATCACAAAACAAAACAAAACACGGGCTTATTTTAATTGCAACTTCCATCTATAGCGGGGTTGTTCTTAAAGGGGAAGTTAAGGCAAAAATCAAAATTTCGCCAGTTGTAGTCTTCGGGGTGCTGAGTCGAATGGTCTTGGTCCGAGAAAGCTGAGACGCTCCCTTCCTACTTGAATCCTAATCGAACTCGCACACTTCCACCGAAACTGGGTGACTGCGCCCTACTAGATGGGGATTTGTATGCAAAATGTCACTAAAAGCGCCATTTCGTTCTTATACAAGCACGGATGACCGCGATTGGCCCATATGTTGTAGTCTTTTGGACGCTGAGTCGACTGGTTTTGGTCCGAAAGGGCTGCGATGCAGCGTTCCTCCTTTATTCCCATTCGAACATGGTTGAATAAGCGGTCACGTGCTCCTGGGTGCCCAAGTCACCTGGTCACAGCGCCAGCAGGCGACAACTTTCACACCAAGGTTCAACTCGAGTTCAACTCGAGTGACAGGAGTGCACCCAAAAAAGGTCAAACAGGCTAGTAAGTTGTACCCTGCAGGCACGGCGACCAGGTAACTGGTGTACGCAGGAGCACGTGACCGCTTGTTCAACAATGTTCGATTGGGAATAAAGGAGGAACGCTGCATCGCAGCCTTTTCGGACCAAAACCAGTCGACTCAGCGTCCAAAAGACTACAACATATGGGCCAATCGCGGTCATCCGTGCTTTTATAAGAACGAGATGGCGCTTTTAGTGACATTCTGCATACAAATCTCTATCTCGTAGGGCGCAGTCACCCAGTTTCGGTGGACGTGCGTGAGTTCGATTGGGATTAAAGTAGGAAGGGAGCGTCTCAGCTTCCTCGGACCACGACCATTCGACTCAGCACCCCGAAGACTACAACAGGTGAAATTTTGATGTTTGCCTTAACTTCCCCTTATGCAGGTGCATTGTCAGGCTAGGATACTGAGATTTAGTTGGTAATATACCAAATGGCAGCTTGACAGTACGTACCTGTATGAGTGTGTGTGTGTATGCGTGTATGTGTGTGTGTGTGTACGGGAGAGAGGGGGGGGGGCGGGCGAGAGAGAGAGAGAGAGAGAGAGAGAGAGAGAGAGAGAGAGAGAGAGAGAGAGAGAGAGAGAGAGAGAGAGAGAGAGAGAGAGAGGGAGAGAGAGAGAAAGAGAGAGAGAGAGATAGAGAGAGAGAGAGAGAGAGAGAGAGAAAGAGAGAGAGAGAGAGAGAGAGAGAGAGAGAGAGAGAGAGAGAGAGAGGATAGAGAGAGAGAGAGGGATGGAGAGAGAGAGAGAGAGAGAGAGAGAGAGAGAGAGAGAGAGAGAGAGAGAGGGAGAGGGAGAGAGGGGGGGGAGAAGAGAGAGAGAGAGAGAGAGAGAGAGGGGGATAGAGAGAGGGATGGAGAGAGAGAGAGAGGGGGGGGGGGGGAGAGGGAGGGGCAGAGCACACAGTTACGTACCTGCGGTGCACTATCGCACCTGTGTATACTTATTATGTGTTGTAAAATACCCGATACTACAGTAGTAATAATAGTCTTGAGATCAACTCTAAATCCATCCATGTGGCTATTGTAGACAAACACAGCTGTGCAACACACCCAGATCACCATACACTGTCACTTGCTTACAATGCTGGCCAGAACAGCAGCTCTTTCCTGGTAGACTACTGTGGACATATCCTCCAGACCATCTTCAAACTCGTTGGTAAATATCATCTGCCAGTTATAGGAGGCGACCGCTATCAGAGACATCAGAGACATCAAAGGAAGCCGGAAGTAGGAATAGGTTAATTTGTTGAATAATAGAGCTGACAAATTTACACACTTGCCCAGAACCTAGGAATCTGTATCCACACAAGCTCTACAAATAAATACTCTTCTCTGCGAAAAATATACTTATAATGCAACTCCTACACTTGCACCGAATTTCTTCAGAAATTTCCTTACTTGAGAAGACGACAGACACAGCACCGCTACCACTAGTCAAACTGTTGGTTGCATTGCACCTGGACAATACAAAAGTACATCAAACGGACAGACACACGTTGGGTAGGGGCTTGATTTTGCCCATACCGACAGGGCCAGCCCAGGTCTGGATATGGCTAGAAGATTCATCCTGCAGGACTCAGTAACAGTAAAGAGCTGAACTACACAACAGGAGCAAGACGGGAGACAGATGCTGATATAGTGACGGACACGGTCATAAAAATAAATAACGAGAGTGAATGGCATTGCGGACACAGAACTGTCTTTTAAAAGCCAGTCTTGTGTTGGAAAACTGCTTGAAGCTTTGGCTGTATGATTTTCAAGATGGACCCTGGCCTCAGCCCATAAATATTAGATACTGCATTGACACATACATGTACCAGTATATAGAAAGGCCAGGTGGTGTGTGTGTGTGTGTGTGTGTGTTAGGGGGGGGGGGGGTTGGACCAGGGACCTGGGATGAATACTTGCCTGATTTCAATAGGGGCCAAGACATCACATTGGCATACTCAGGAAGAAGCCCCGCTGTTTTATGCAACTTACTTTTTTTTACTGGAAAGAGAGCTTTTAAATCATATTCCGAATATGGAGAAGGGGATACTACCTCTTCTAACAGGAGAGCTACCAGTCAGCTTGGACCCCCCCCCCCCCCCAAAGGCCACTAAATAAAATCAAGATAAGCACAGCAGGTCCTATAGTACCAGTGGTCTTCTACATACAACCGGTTGAACAATCTAGCATGGATGTTTGATTGCATGTCACGCTACACTGACTACACTGATAACAAACTGAACCGCTGTACTCAGTTATTTTACAATACAACGTTCTACCTAAACAAACACAAAGAGAAGAACAAACAGTCACTGGTTTGAGGGAAAGACGCAAACGGGAAAAGTCTGAAGAAAAAATTCACGGTCACCACCAGGACTCAAACAGTTGCGATTTCGTAACTCTGAGTTTCATGCAGTGAATCTATCATCAGACGAAAATCGACATCCTACCTATAAATTCCAGAGTCGCTGAATGTCGGCGATGCAAACTCCAGCCGGTCTGTGCTGAGTGCATCCGCACTGTCCTGACCATACCACTGGCGATCAGTAGCAATGGGGAGGCCGGATGTGTTGCAGTAGAGGCTGTAGTCCATCTCGACGAGACTGAACACATGTTTAGGCAAGACCACTTCGATTTGTGCTGTCAGGATGTTCACGGGTAGGAACATGAAGAGTGAGAGAGAGAGAGAAAGAGAGAAATCATGAACTGAAGTCAAAACAAGACAGGTGGTGACTGGACAGCTTGGTTTAGTGCTACGGTTTATACGAGTGCTGCGGTGTATGTGAGTGCTGCGGTGTATGTGAGTGCTGCGGTGTATGTGAGTGCTATAGTGTATGTGAGTGCTATGGTGTATCTGAGTGCTATGGTGTATGTGAGTGCTACGGTGTTTGTGAGTGCTACGGCGTGTGTGAGTGCTACGGTGTATGTGAGTGCTATAGTGTATGTGAGTGCTATAGTGTATGTGAGTGCTACAGCGTATGTGAGTGCTACGGTGTTTGTGAGTGCGACGGCGTATGTGAGTGCTACGGTGTATGTGAGTGCTATAGTGTATGTGAGTGCTATAGTGTATGTGAGTGCTACAGTGTATGTGAGTGCTACGGTGTTTGTGAGTGCGACGGCGTATGTGAGTGCTACGGTGTATGTGAGTGCTATAGTGTATGTGAGTGCTATAGTGTAGGTGAGTGCTACGGTGTATGTGAGTGCTATGGTGTGTCGGAGTGCTACGGTGTATGTGAGTGCTACGGTGTATGTAAGTGCTACGGTGTATGTGAGTGCTAAGGTGCATGGGAGAGCTATGGCGTATGTGAGTGCTACAGTGTATGTGAGTGCTACAGTATATGTGAGCGCTACGGTGTATGTGAATGCTACGGTGTATGTGAGTGCTACGGTGCATGTGAGTGCTACGATGTATGTGGGTGCTATGGCGTATGTGAGTGCTACGGTATATGTGAGTTCTACGGTGTATGTGAGTGCTCCGGTGTATGTGAGCGCTACGGTGTATGTGAGCGCTACGGTGTATGTGAGTGCTACAGCGTATGTGAGTGCTACGGCGTATGTGAGTGCTATAGTGTATGTGAGTGCAACGGTGTAGGTGAGTGCTACGGTGTATGTGAGTGCTATGGTGTATGTGAGTGCTACAGTGTATGTGAATGCTACGGTGTATGTGAGTGCTACGGCGTATGTGAGTGCTATAGTGTATGTGAGTGCAACGGTGTAGGTGAGTGCTACGGTGTATGTGAATGCTATGGTGTATGTGAGTGCTACGGTGTATGTTAGTGCCATAGTGTAGATGAGTGCTACGGTGTATGTGAGTGCTATGGTGTATGTGAGTGCTATGGTGTATGTGAGTGCTACGGTGTATGTGAGTGCTACGGTGTATGTGAGTGCTACGGTGTATGTGAGTGCTAAGGTGTATGTGAGTGCTAAGGCGCATGGGAGAGCTAAGGCGTATGTGAGTGCTACAGTGTATGTGAGTGCTACAGTGTATGTGAGTGCTACAGTGTATGTGAGCGCTACGGTGTATGTGGGTTCTACGGTGTATGTGAGTGCTATGGCGTATGTGGGTTCTACGGGGTATGCGAGTGCTATGGTGTATGTGAGTGCCACCGTGTATGCAATTTCTATGGTGTAAGTGAGTGCAATGGTCTATGTGAGATCTTACAGTGGCAGAATGTTGCATTGCCGAAGAATCCTGGGAAGCATTGGCAGGCGAATGAACCAACGGTGTTTTCACAGTCGGAGTAGTCTTGACACTGGTGGACAGTCGCGCTTACACACTCATCCACATCCGTACAAACGTATCCATTGCCGGTAAATCCATCCATGCACCTGCAATTAAATGCTCCTATGCTATTGGCACAGGTGGCCCTCACGCTGCAGTTGTGAGTGGCTTGAAGGTCCTGTTCGTCATCCACAGAAAATTCCAAGTTTGTATCCATCAGACCGCATTCATTGACATCGCTACATTGCTGACCCATTCCCCGATAGCCCACGTTACACTCGCACATGAACGAGCCTAGGTTGTTTGTGCAAGTCGCCACTGGAGAACAGTCATGCGTGTTCAGCATGCACTCATCGAGATCGGGACAGTCTCCAGGCCTCCCTGACCCCGTGTATCCTCCCGGACAGCTGCACTGGAAGCTGCCAATGCTATTCGTGCACGTAGCTAGCCCGTCACATGGACTGCCAGCTGTACACTCATCCCGATCCACACAGCGACTCAACACGGCATCCAGCTCAAAGCCGGGCTCACACTCGCAGAGATACGAGCCTGCAGTATCAGTGCACAGGCTGCCGTCAATGCTCCGCGAGCAGATTGTTGGATCCAGCAGGCACTCATTCTGATTACTACAGACTATGCCGTTGCCCACGTAGCCTTGCCGGCACATGCATTGAGGATCACCTTCACCAAGGCTACTGCAGTCGGCGTTTGGATCGCAGGCAATGGTAGCACAGGTTGGCAGGTCTGAACAAGACACAATAAGCAACCAACATAATAGCAAATACAATGTTCTCATCTACAGTGAAGAAAACTGCTGATAACTTATTCGGAGGCTGAGATCCTCTGCTGATTAGGTTTATGCAGCAACATGACAATAAGACCTACCTGTGTAGGGCTTCCAAGATTACCAATGCATTGTGGCCTGCGGTTTTCTCTACATAATGTAGAACACAACTACGATAAAAAATACGCTCCCTCGCGGCCTGGCTTCATTAAGCACCCTTTCTGGTCAGTGTCAAAGCTGCTTGCCAGTGCAAAGCCTACTGTGTTTCTTGCAGACTGAGTATTCTGACTTTGATGATTTCTTAGAAACTCTTTCATGTTCACTAGCCTTCATTCGGATTAGTTTCACCAGTAACTCTGAGCTCTCGCAATGAGATCCGGCAAGGTTGAAACAATTAGCTTTCCAAACATTTAGTAAGTGTGAGGTTGCGTATGCAGTGTGTGATTCGTTCTGTATGCCATGGGATAGCCAGGCAAGGCTAGCCCCGCCGCTAGTGACATGATTCCCGTACCTTCACAGCGCCTCGCGGACTCGTCGAAGAATGTACCCGTGCGGCAGACACAGCGGAAACTGCCCACTTGGTTGGAGCAGAGTTGACCAATGTCCGCCTGGCAGTTGTGTGCCAGCGTGCTGCTCCCCTGGCACTGACCACTGCCATCGTCGGCCACCATGCATGTGCACTCATTCACGTCATCACAGAATGGCTGTTGTACTGTGTTGTTCGGCATGAAACCTGCCACACATCCACAGACAAACAAGTCTCAAACATGATGGCATTTTGCAACTCGGATGTTGAGCCAATAATAAATGTAGAAAGGAAAAGGACATGTGGATACGAGTTAAGAGTAACTCTCCATCACTGTAACCAGATACCTAGTTGTTGCACTTTCTGACTGTATATAGTATCTGGTTACAGTGGTGGAGAGTTACTCTTAACTCGTATCCATATGTCCTTTTCCTTTCTACATGATGGCATCTTCACTAATTACTGACTGCAGGGTTGTACCAACAGAAAATAGAGCAACTAGCTAGAGGATGCTCTCAGATGTGAACGTCTTTCCGACTAGCATGGCGGGAAGTGTTCCTGCATACTATCTACGTCTGCAAAAAAAAAGATTGCTTGGAATTCACTTTCATTTGACACTCTTCATTTGAACAAAAAATGTTTTTGAACAAACGCTGTTGTCCACCCCACATCTACTAGACGGAATAATGTTGCAATTCGTTGTTGAACTAAAATGTTTACAGAAGGTCTAGTACTGGTTTTGAACGAACTTTCTTCCCCTAAAACAGTTGTGTCCATGTGCTGGACAGCATGGACTGTGGAAGTCCAGGTCATGGTTGATGCCAGTTGACCACATTCAATCAGAGCTTGAATAAATTCTTAGCAGGCTGGCTCCTACAATTGCAATGCCTCCATCAAGATGACGTGATTATCGTGATGCATTATAGGGACTAAAAGGACATGGTGACCTGGGATGTTCAATGGTATCCCTACCTGGAGTACATGAACACCGGGATGATCCGGGGAAGTTCTCACACACGCTGTCCACCAGCCGCTGTGCGCAGGTTGCAGCCGCCCCACTCTGGGAGCACTCATCTATATCTTCACAGGTCTGTCCGGCACCTGTGAAGCCAGCGTTGCAGACACAGCGTGCGATTCCATCAGCAAATTCAGAGCAGCTGGCATCGTTACTGCAGCTAACTAGACCGTTGGTACAGCTCGGGTGCTCTGCAGTTGGAGTTGTACAGAATGCAGCGGCACATTCCAGAATGAGATGCTGTTAGTTCCTTAGATACACCACCGGTATTCGTTGTACCACCTACATGTATCTCAAGGGTGATACACTGGTCTTTACTACTTTACTAATAGCTAGCAAGGAAGATGCTTCACACCACAATTGTCTGATCTGCGTGCTTGCTTCTCTCTCTCGAAAACAAATATTGAAAGAAACTGGAAACTGCATCTCTTAGCTTGGGACTGAAGCAAACAAATACAGTACTGATCTTTCGTGGGTTGTTTGTGCTGATTTTGCTCTCAACAGTTCTTTTCCATGCTCTTCCCAAACTTGTCCTTGAGACAGTTGTGGTAGTTCTGTGTCGAGTAGACTACGCGAAAGCGCGCGTGGGGCTGTCTGGTTCTATAACAACAATCTATGTTCGGTGAATGCTGCTGCCCCCAGCTACTGCGGCCTATCAACTAGTACATTGACCCTAAGTCTACACATACATGTACCAGCAAGCACACTACCCAAAACAAGAGTTACTCTAAATAACATGAATAAGAGGAGGAAGATTTGCACTGAAAGCATTCAACTGGACAGCCTGGATCTTTTCTGTTTTAGTTACCCTCATCAGTTATACCTTCAAGTTTCATGTAATTTCAGCTACTGTAAAAGCAGAAATTCGGTGATGTTTTATATTCGGTAACTTCGGTGTCGACAATTTCGACCTATAATAGAACGCAACCTAATATTTAACACGAGCGATACTAGTACTAGTACGCTTACCTGGAAAACGGGTTTACCGAATATTTCACTCCACCGAACCGCCGATTTGGAGACAACCGAAAATATTACACCACCGAAAAATTCTGCTTGAACAGTATACTATCAGCAAGCATACATTTTAACAAGAATGTGCAACTCCACAGATGGCCAGACTAATGACGGATTTTATTGCTGATGTCGACGCTTCTAGCAATCTTGTGTTATCACGCACAAGTCAGTGGAATGTCTGCATTGTATGATTACATGCGATGCACATGGGCAGGCATTGCATGCGATGCACATGGGCAGGCATTGCATGCGATGCACATGGGCAGGCATTGCATCTGGGAAACTAGAAAACAAGGCCTTGTCATTCAAGCTTTCTGAACTAAGAGTGTACGGTTAAGTGCTCCAAAACGTCACGCCGCACCTGCATATGATAATGAAGCATCTCGTGATAAGTTGACATCAACAAAAATCCCCTGTAGGCCTAAACAATGCCGAACTGCACACTCGTGTGTATGCACTCCCGACATCGCAGAACTCACCACGACATGCATTCTGTGTGGCGTTAAAGAACGCTCCTGGCTGGCAGTCGCACACAAATCCACCCAGGGTGTTGTTGCACACCTGCAGTTCCTGGGCTGAGCAGTTGTGCACAGGAGTGGAAGTTCCGGCGCAGAACACATTGTCCTCAGTGCGTGCACACGAGCATTCGTCGACATCGGTGCAAGTGTCTGTGTCCATGGTTAGAGCATAACCCAGGGGAGCTACGCACCTGTATCCTCGCATCCTTGCACTATCCTGCACTCCACGCAGGTTTTGACACTGGCACACTCCGTCACAGGAATTCAGAGATGAGTTCAAACATTCGTTGATGTCCTGACACATAGTACCGTTGCCGGTAAATCCGTCATTGCATTCACACACAAACGAGCCAGGGTTGTCATTGCATGTGGCATCGTCATGGCAGTTGTCTCCGCTCTCCGAACACTCGTCAATGTTGACACAGGCTGGGAAGCCATTACGGTACCCCGGCAGGCAGGTACATTCAAATGATCCGATGGTGTTCGTGCAGTTTGCCTTGGTTCGCGGGCAGGACTCCATAGCACCGTCAGGATCACATTCGTCGTTGTCTTGGCATACACCACTGTCATCCGACGTGAAGCCGTCGCGGCATTGACACCTATACGAGCCGGCAGTGTTGACGCAATCTTCGCTGGTTCTGTTGCAGCTGTCTATGGCCAGAGTACACTCGGGTATATCACGGCAATCCTGGCCATCACTTGTATCACCTGTGTAGCCGGTCTGGCATGTACACATGTAACTTCCTCTAGTGTTATTGCACACAGTATTAGCACCGCATGGCATTTGCACCTGCAGACACTCATCCACGTCATCACAACTATCAACTGCATTTCCAGAATAGCCGGTTTCGCACATGCACATGAACGTACCGCGTGTATTTGTGCACACAGCGTTTGCGGCACACATACCTGGCATCAGGCATTCATCAATGTCAGTACAGTTGGTCCCACTACCCTCAAAACCCACGGCACACCGACACTGGAATGTACCAATCAAGTCCGTGCAGTTAGCATTGGCATCGCAGTTGTGCAGGTCCTCCGACAAGCATTCAATGATATTCTCGCATTCCCCCGTGTTTGCAGTTCTGTTATAGCCGTCAGTACAGGGACACAGGTAACTGCCTACGGTGTTCACACACCGACTAACTTCTTCAGGACAGATGTTGGCATTACTGTCACACTCGATGATATCTTGACATTCTGTCTCATCGGGATTATAAGCGAAACCAGGGTCGCAGAGGCACTGGTAACTTCCGATGGTATCGTTACATGTTGAGTTGCTTGGGCAAGTGACACTCCCCAGCATACATTCATCAATGTTAGAGCATTCCGTGCCGCTGCCACTGAAGCCAGTCTGGCAACTGCAGTTGAAGAGCGGTGTGGTATCGGTGCAGCTCGCATTCGCATGGCAGTTGTGTGAGGCCAGGCTACATTCATCGACATTAACACAGCTGAATCCATCACCGGTGAAGCCGACCAGGCACTTGCAACGCTCCGGTCCAGTCTGGTTGACGCAGCGCGCGTTCTCGCTGCAGTTGCGACCATCCACCATGCAGTCAAACACATCTGCAAGACGTGGGACAGGCAAACAAAGCGGAAGTGAGTGTGGGGCAGCGACCGGGCTGCTGAAACGCGCTGGATAAATGCCAGCTAAGACTAAGAGCTCCGTATGAACTCTGCATAGTTACCCAGTCAGTATTTGTGGATGTCAACTGCCCGCTTTTGAAAGTGCATTTTGTTGTCAGAGTGAGAATGGTTCATCTCACTAGTTAGTGCTTTTTCTTTATAACAGTTTATACATGTAGAAAATCTACAAAGTGCAATAATGCAATTGAAGCATGCAAATGGGTGAATTTTGCACGAGTTGAAGCAGCACTGAAGCCCTCCTAGAGCAAGCCAAGTCAGAATGTCAGTTTAACACTGGCGCTGCAATAGCACACAGACCGTGTAAGCCACGTAATCCTCATCCCGCGAATGAACACACACTTGTACACACACTCACGCACGCATACACATGCACACAAACACACACTTATACACACACTCGCGCACGTGCGCACGTACACACACAAACACACACATATGCACTCATACGCACAAGCACATCATAACATGTGAAGTTTAGTCCGAGCTCACCCATGCAGAACACGCCATCTCCGGTATATCCAGTCACACAGTTACACTGAAAACCTGGCGTGGAATCCCTACAGAAAGCATTGCGATGGCAGTTGTGACCATTGGTTGAACATTCATCAATGGGAATGCATTGCACTCCATCTCCCGTATAACCACTCAGACAGGTGCACTGGAAGCCTGGGAAGTCCTCAGTACACTCAGATCGCCCAGCACTGCAGTTGTTCAGCGTGGACCCGCTGCACTTGGGAACGTAGTTGCATACTTCACCATCCCCAGTGTAGCCCTGATCACACATACAGGAGAAGCCAAGAGGCAACTCTGTACATGTAGCGTTCACCGCACAGTTGTGAAGCGCAGGGTCTTGGCACTCGTCGATTGGCTCACACATGACTCCGTTGCCACTGGTGAATGGCACACAACTGCATTCATAGCTGCCCGGAATGTTCGTACAGCTACCAAATGGACGGTGACAGTTGTCCGTACTGCCACACTCATCCCTATCCATACATACCTGGCCCGGTGAGCTGCTTGGCGCCAAATCGTCATAGCCAGCCCTGCACTCGCATTCGTAGCTCCCATCCAGATTCACACAGTTGGCAAATGTCACGTTACACGAGTGCACCTGTCGATCGCATTCATTGATATCATCACACTCCATTGATTGACTATTGTCTTCGTATCCAGCAACACAGGGACATTCAAAGCTGCCTATCGTGTTCACACACATAGAGTTATCCCTGCAATTATCCACTGTGTTACCTATGCAGTTAAGAAGGATATCCCCACAGTGAGTAGCATTGCCACCCTCGAAGGCCTCGTAGCCATCTTGGCATGGGCAGTCGAATGTACCGGGCTGGTCTCGGCACATTGTGGACGCCATGTCACAGTTGTGCGTCCCCAGCATGCACTCATTGTCATTCATGCAAGGCCCAGAATCGATGCGGCTGTATCCCGGCTGGCAATCACATTGAAACGATCCAGGGGTGTTGTTGCAGATCGTGTTGACCCCACAGTTCGATGCAATGCTGCACTCATCAAAGTCCAAGCAGAAGGAGTTGTTTGCAGAGTTCTGGTTCGGCACATAGCCATCCAGACAGTTACACTGGTAGGAGCCGATATTATTTGCACACGTGGTTGTTGAGCTGATGCAATCATCCAGGCCTTGCTCGCACTCCTGGATGTCCATACACTGACTGCTGTCATCGAGTTCAAAGCCGGCCAGGCAGGGGCAGACATATGAGCCGGCGGTATTGCGACACATTGAGAATGGCATGCAGCTATGCGTGGCAAGATTACACTCATCAACATCCAAGCAGACCATGCCGTCACCGGTAAATCCCATACCACAGACGCAAGCAAACGATCCAATGCTGTTCTCGCATGAGGCGTTTGCCGAGCAGTTGTTGTCCACGCTCAGGATACACTCATCATGGTCTCGGCATAACAGCAGAGGAGACTCCTCGTCTGGCTGATAGCCTACATTGCACGGACATTCAAACGATCCTCTTGTGTTCATACATTGACTGCGGTCAAGAGCACAGGCAGACTCTGGAGAGCGGTCACATTCATCAACATCATTGCATGCTGTTCCATTGCCCTCAAAGCCGGTCGTGCAACGCAGGCAGACGAACGACCCGCGTGTGTTTGAGCATACACTGAGCATCTCGGCACAGCTGGATACACCGCTTCCGAGCAGGCATTCATCGACATCCACACAGGTGTAGCCATCACCTGTGTAACCGAGGCGGCATGAGCAGTTGAACGCACCGTCAGTATCCGTACACTGTGCCGTGCCGTTGGCACTGCAGTTGTGGGTGGGCTGACATTCGTTAATATTCTCACAGGACGTACCAGAGCCGGTGAATCCAGGCAGACAGGTGCAGCTGTGACCTGGCACTGTATTCGTACACAGTGCGTTAGCATCACATGCGTCCACGTCCTCCATACATTCATCTATATCCTCACAGACAAACCCGGACCCGTTGTAACCCATCAAGCACTCGCAGGAAAAGCTGCCAAAGGAGTTGAAGCATTCCGAGCGTCCTGCTGCGCACGGGGTTGGCTCGATTGAACATTCAGGAATGTCGTTGCATTGTCTTCCGTTGCCAGACAGTCCGGACTCGCAGGTGCATTCAAATGAGCCAATCGTATCATTGCAAGTGGCGTTGTCATGGCAGTCGGCCATGTCTATTTCACACTCGTTCAGATTAGCACAGTCCACTCCGTCACCACTGTACCCAGCATGACAAACACAAGCGAAGAACGGCGTGCGGTCCAGACATTCGGCATCCATGCTGCAATTGTGAGTAGTACGTTCGCATTCGTTGACGGGACTGCACTGCAGTTCAACGAGATCGCTGTCACTGGTGTTCAAGTCTCGCCGATCTTCAAAGCCAGGAGCACAGGCACACTGGAAGCCTCCATCGGTATTGAAACACTCCTGACTACCGATGCTGCAAGGGTTGCTCTGGGTACATTCATCAATATCCGAACAGTTCTCCGCCTCAGATCCAGTGTAACCAGGACCACAAGGGCACGCATACGAGCCAAGCTGATTTACGCACATGGAAATGTTTTCTGGACATGTAGCAATACCCAGTGTGCACTCATTGATGTCCATACAGGACATGCCAGCGCCTGTGAAGCCAGTGTCGCACTGACACGCGAATGATCCTACCGTGTCGTTACAGGTTGCGTTGGCGTGGCAGGCGTGCGTTCCCGAGTCACATTCGTTCACATTCTCGCACACGACACCATCTCCTGTGTAGCCCTGGCGACAGCTGCACATGAATCCCGGAACGGTGTTCATGCACACTGCTTCGTCGTCAACACGAGAGCAGTTGTGTGCACCGGTACTGCACTCGTCCTCATCATCACACTGCACTCGTCCATTACCCGTATACCCAGGCAAACATGTGCATAGGAAACTGCCGTTAGTGTTGTTGCATGTTGCTAGCTGAGCACAAACCGAAGAATTCCTACATTCGTCGATATCCCCGCAGGACAGGATGCGTCCGTCCGGCGCCATCGTCTCCGCCTCGTAGCCGACATTGCAAGGGCACCTGAATGATCCTATGCTGTTTGCGCACTGCGAGTTGACAGGGCACTGCATTGGCATATCACATTCGATGTTATCAGTACATGTCACACCGTTACCTGCACAGGTAAATAAACAGCAAAAAAAGAAATTGTTTTTGAGGATTGTGTCTGATACTAGTCACTTCAAATGCTCAGCAAAGTGATTAGAAAAGAAGTGCTATTATGCCAGATTGGACTCTGTGTGTTTCTGAATGCCATGGATCCAAACAGTATTGTCCTTGTATGCCATCTAGCTGTGCGAGGGAATGATGCATATGAAGTGAAAGCATGATCTCAATGCAGATCACATACACACTAAAAGCTGCACTCGGAGAAGTTGTCTAGCACCATTAGCCTGGCAGAAGCATAACACGCAGCATTGTGATTGAAAGTTCACCTGGTGCTGGTGCAAGGTCTTACCTGTAAATCCTGTATTACATGTGCACTGGAAGAGACCCGGGAGGTCATTACACGTTGCGTTTGAATGACAGTTGTGTGTGTTAGCGGAACACTGGTTGACGTTCATGCACACTGCGTTGTCGATGAGCTCAAAGCCATCTCTGCACACGCAGCGGAACGACCCGACCGTATTCCGGCAGTCTGAATTCTCCTGGCATACGCTTCCTTGAGCACACTCATCACGATCTGTGCAGGGAGAAGTAACACGTAACACAATACACCAGTGTTGCATCATTCCTAGCTTCACTATAGACTATAGAGGTCATCAGAGCCGCAGCATTTGATCCGGCCGGTAGGCATAGCCAGACCTTATTTTGAAAAAAAGGGGACCCGCTCAGCTCGTGCAAAACTGGGTTTTCGTCGGTAATTTTCATTTCCGGTCAAATATCCCAGACCAGACCTGAGACCGTCTGAAATCTCGGTGCTACGAGCCTACGGCCTTTGTCATGCCATTACATCATCATTCATGTGGTTTGTGTGGAATAAACATGACGAGAACCAGTTTGCCATTGCGTGCCAAACATACACAATGATGTTATATGCACGATTACTTTAGGACACAGATGCTCTAGCAACTCAGCATTGTGTATACACTATTGCAACCAAGAGCGACTATACAGGAACAAGATTTTACAAGGTGTGCTGTCCACCAGTAATATAATCAAGGCATAGGAGAGTCAGTGCGTGAAACAGATAGCACAGCACTGACAAGTGGTTCCGACTTTTGAAGACGTGATGCGACTCCTAGCTCCAATTATTGGATGGAATGGGGAAAAAGGCAAGAAGATAACACCCAGAAAAATATTAAAATGTTTTAGTGAGTATCGTTGGATGGGAACACAGTACAGAGGAACCCTGGCTATCAATACATTGTTTGCCGTATTGCTAGGAGTGGTTGGCAACTCGCGTTACCTACCTCTGCAAGTTGTGTCCTCTAGTAGCCCTTCGGTAATGAATCCTTCGCCGCATTCACATCGGAATGAATTGAACTGATCCATACACGTTGTGTTGACAGGACAGCTGGTTTGATTTATGCACTCATTGATTTCTAGAACATAGCAGCAGCAGCAGCAGCAGCAGCAACACAACAGTAGCATGACATTGTAGCTTCAACCACACAGAGCAGCAGCAGGTCCATCAATCAGACCATAAGTCCAAGACGCCAAGGATCATTTAAAAAATAGTAAGCAGTATCTTGTCCATGCCTGGGTAACATCAGGGCAATATAGGGACAATTCCTGAACAATACCTGGGCAGTACATGGGCAATACATGGCTTATACCTGGGCTAATCCACTCTACCCTCCTTCCAAGCACACCACTCTATGCTGAACATCCCATGCATGGTATCCAAAGGACAACAAGGACAACACTGGGTTTGGATAACTAGCTTAGTATGGATTCAGGCATCCATGATGGTTCCCTTGTTGGTCTGAGCATGACGTACTCATACCTTCACATGGCGCAGTAACCGTCCCAACTCCCGTATAGCCCGGCGTGCAACGGCACGCAGCCTCTTCCAGACTTTCCGGCACACAGAGTGCATTCGGTTCACACTCCACCAGGTTAGCTTCACAGGGCAGGAATGCTGCACACGACAAGGACCATGAAAAGTACAGTCACAGTACAGTCACGAGAAGAGAAGCATCCCAGAGCACAATCACGGTAATGTATGAAAGACCATGCAGACAAGTAAAGGGTCCAAGGACCAGGATCCAAGATCATATTATAATGCATATCTGTTTATCACCTACAATGGGAATGATACGAGTAGCGAGAGACATGGATATGTTATGAGCACAAGAGTAAAAGTAAGGAGTTTTTTAATTTTTTTTTATGTCTATGTGAATGCAGTCCAAGCAAACTTCACCCTTAATGAAATGATCAGTGTTTTAGATCGTAGGCAGAGCAGATGACCACAACCAAGCAGTCAGTCCACACATGCACATCACACTGCACTCTGGCACACTGTACTTACGCTGGCACATTAATCCGTTGCCTCGGAAACCAAGACTGCAGTTGCACTCAAAGCTCCCAGGCACATTAGTGCAGGTGGCATTGGCATCACACGGCGGAGGATCGCGTATGCACTCATTGTCATCTGGTGTGACCAGCAGAGAAAGTACATACATGGGTGAAAAGATAGGAATGCTGGCCAATATCAGTTCAAATGTTACCCAGTGTAAGTATTGCTTCAAAACCGCAACAATGAATTTCATGCCTTGTTAAGCCGATTATCAGGCAGAGAAATGTTTCCTTGCATGATGCTTATTTTCAGCTGAGCTCTGCGTTGCAGTTAGCGCTGTATTGGAGCTCTCGAGCACTCCCTGCTTATCAGATTAGCTGTATGTTGTCAGGTGAAACAACATCTATACTGATTGCATTATCGAGCATTTCGCCTCTTTCGTTCTTAAGATCAGTTCAATAATATGTCACTGTGCATATCTGAATGAAGAGCTGACAAGTTCAATTCCATACCAATCGCTAGTGTCCTACCATCATCAAAGTGAACAACTCTGTGTCGCCAAATCCCTCAGCCGAATGCTAGAAAAAAGTATCACCTACCTTGACACATGGTATTCGACACCGGTACGAATCCATCGATGCAATTGCAAAGGAAGGACCCGGCAGTGTCCTGACATATTGTCGTGGTATCGTCGCATGTGTCTACGTCCAGAGCACATTCATCAGTGTCTGTCAGGACAAGAATCCAAACATATGCATTAACACTTACAACGTAGTGCTTGGAGAGGGCCTAAGGGGATGATGGATACCCAATCGGTAGTTTCTTCTTTACTCTCCTTTTTCTCTGGTGTACACACTCACACCCTTGCAACCTCAGCCGCACTGCTGCATATAGCCATGCCACACTGCTCACAGGCAACACTCAACCACATACATTCACTCACAGTGATCACTAGCCTCTTCTGTGGGAATTTTAATGTGCTGATTTGCTTGTCAAAAGAAACAATGCCATGCCGCAACACAGTATAGTTTTGTTCTCATTCATATGCCACGCACATCACTGTGTGTACTCGCTAAGAAAAGAGGTGTGGACTCGCTGCACTTACTTCTACATTGGATGGGTGAAACGCGCTCAAATCCGCTCGCACATTCACATGTGTACGACCCAAAGTTGTTAGTGCAGAGTGTCCCCACTGCCATTACGCAGTCGTCTAAGTTCAGCCCACACTCATCAATGTCGTCACACTGAACACCAGATCCAGTGTAGCCATCATTGCAGGTACAAGCAAACGAGCCTGGACTATCTGAGCAGGTAGCATTGGCGTTGCAGTTGTCCAGCGCAAGTTGACATTCGTTGATATTATCACAGACTGTTGGACTGGTAGGACTGTAGCCAATGAAGCAGTCGCATTCAAATGACGGCGTCCTATCCAAGCAGTTAGCATTGGTGCACACAGGTTGGGGTAGATCACACTCATTGATATTCTGGCAGAATGTCCCGTTACCTTCAAAACCCTGTTGGCATTCACAGCGGAATGAGCCCTCCAGGTTCATGCAAACGGCGAACGGATGGCAGTCATTCAGGCTGGAATCAGCACAGTTATCAATGTCAGCGCATTGCTGGCCAGATCCAGTGAAGCCAGCGTCACACGCGCACAGCCATGAGCCGGGCACATTGCTGCAGGTGGCATTGGAATGGCAGTCATGAGTGTTGTCCGTACACTCGTTCACGTCATCACACTGCTGACCGTTTCCAAGGTAACCGGGGTTGCACGCACAGCTGAACGATCCGAGTTCGTTTGTGCAAGTGGCTTCCAGACCCGGTGCACAGTTATCCGTGCCCAGTACACACTCATTAAGATCTCTGCACGCCAGGCCGTCAACTTCAAACCCTTCCATGCATGTGCATCGGAAACTGCCCTGCAGTTCTGTGCAGAAAGCAAAGTTCGGGCATGGCGACTGCTCGCATTCTGGAATATCTGAGCATGTGACTCCATCCCCAGTGAAGCCGGGTTGACAGCTACAACTGAAAGCACCGAATGTATTCATGCAGTCGCCTCCTAGCGTAGAGCAGTTGTGTGAACCTAGTCCACATTCATCCACGTCTGTGCACTCAAAACCGCTCCCTTCGAAGCCGCTCAGACACTCGCACATGAAACTGGATGGAAGGTTGATGCAGCGGGCTTGGTCAGAGCAGCTCAGAATGATATTCTCCAGGAGCGGATCTATGGCAGGTGGTGCATCGCATTCATTCACATCCGTGCAGTTCGTGCCTGATCCCGTGTAGCCACTGTTGCAAAGGCAGCTAAACATGCCCGCACTGTTCATACAGGACGCGTCCGTGTGGCAGTTATGTGAACTATCAGTACATTCATCTATATCATCACAAGCTAAGAAGCCATTACCGGAGAATCCAGCAGCGCAGTCGCACGTGTAGCCAGGTACAAAGTTAGTACAGACAGTGTCGTCGACACAGCGGTCCTGCTGCTCGCTTATGTTTACGCACTCATTGATGTCCAAGCACGTCGAACCGGACCCGGTAAACCCATTGTTGCAGCTACACACAAATGAACCGACGCCATCTGTGCAGGTAGCATTGCTGTCACAGTTATGCATGTTTGTTGCGCACTCGTCTATGTTGGAGCAGACAAATCCATCGCCACTGTAGCCAGCTGGGCATGGACCGCAGTTAAAGCTTCCGACGGTGTTCGTGCACACTACAAGAGCATCACACACACTCTGCAGACATTCGTCGGTGTCGTTACACTGCCGTCCAGGCTCGGAACTCAGACCCGCGTCGTCATAACCTACGCTGCATGTGCACATGAACGATCCAATTGTGTCCGTGCAGTTGGCGTTTTCATCACACTGGTGTGTGCCAAGGGTACATTCATCGACATTGCTGCATTCCAAGCCATCACCACTGTACCCAATGTCACACTGACAGACAAAACTCCCGATTGTGTTATTGCAGATCGCCACACTGGAGCATGGAGATTGCAGGCGTTCACACTCGTCTTCGTCGACGCAGAATAGGCCCACAGGAAAGGTGTCGTTCTGGAACTGTTCGTCCAGGTAGCCGTTCTCGCATTGGCAACGGAATGAGCCAATCGTGTCTGAACATATTGCGTTCGGATCACAGTTGTGTGTTCCTGAAGTGCATTCATTAGCGTTGTCACAGTTCAAACCGGTACCTTCAAAACCCTCCTCACAGGTGCACGTGAAAGAACCGAATGTGTTGTTACAGCTGGCAAACTGTGAGCACATGTGCGTGTCTAGAACACACTCATCGTTGTCAAAGCAGAGACGACCGGGAGGCAACTGTATCTCGATCTGACCATCTCTGAAGCCGGATCGACACTGGCACTGGAAAGATCCGACCGTGTCGGTACAGTTGGCTTCTGGGTGGCAATCGTGCTGCTCAGAGATGCATTCATCAACGTTCTCACAGACATCACCGCTACCAGTATATCCAGGGATGCAAGTGCAGTTAAACGAACCCACCGTGTCAGCACACACCGCCAGTACAGAGCAGTTGTCTTGCAGTACGCCAGTTTCCATACACTCGTCCACATTTTCACATGAGAAGCCGTTACCACTGAATCCCAGCGGGCATGGCGGACACATGAAAGATCCGACGGTGTTCTGGCATGTTACGAGGCTGGAACATGGCATTGTTTCACATTCATCCAGGTCTTCACACACAGTCCCACTGCCCACGAAACCAGTGCTGCAGTTGCAGGAGAAGTTGCCAAAGCCGTTTGTACACACTCCACCCGTGGGTGCACAGTTGTGTAGATCTTGGGCACATTCGTCGACATCTTCACACACTAAGCCGGTGCCGCTGAAGCCTTGCGAACACGGCGAGCACGCAAACGACCCGACTGTGTTGCTGCAGTTGGACTGGACGGCGCACGGTGGCGACGCGGCCTGCTCACACTCGTTCCTGTCCGCGCAGAGAATGCCATCAACGCTCTGATAGCCTGCCAAGCATGTACATAAGAACGAGCCCACAGTGTTGGTACAATTGGACCGCGATGCATCGCAGCTGTCTACGTTGAGACACTCATTGACATCAGAGCACGTGAAGCCATCACCGGTGTACCCGACTTGACACGCCAGGCACACAAAAGACCCTACGGTGTTGTTGCAGCCGGCTAGCTGCGAGCATGGCTCAAACAGGCACTCGTCGTTGTCAGTACAGACTATACCGCTGTTCAGGGCTCCGCTGTTGTCAGTGAAGCCAGCCCGGCATCGACACACCGGCAGGGTCATGGGTGGCGTGTGCGTGCAGTTTGCGTTCACACTGCAGCTGTGCTGGCCGAGCAAACATTCATCCACGTTATCGCAGGTAAACCCATCTCCTACAGTTCCAGGCACGCACTCGCACGTGAAACTGCCTATGGTGTCGGTGCAGGTGGACTGATTGCTGCACGGCCCTGGGAAGCGCTCACATTCGTTATCATCTGAACACAGCACGCAAGCAGCAAAGAGACACCCAAAGAATTATCGCAGGCCCGAGAAGGAAAGCAAATGTTTTTGGTTTTCCAAATTTCACACACATTCTTCTTCTCATGGAGTATCATCGCAATCCACAGCTGACTGTCATATCTTGATTGCCAGAAGCAAAGAGCTAGCAGTAATTGTGTACAGTTTTCTTCACATAAAATGATTGGTCCACAGTATTCAGCGTAGACTATAGCGGACGCATACTGCGAACTGCATTGCACTAAAATGCAGATCATAGAAGCCAAGCTACCGCAATCAGAGTACATTTTTATCAGGAAAAGAAATACTCTGCACTGTTGCTAGAAAGGTGAGAAAGCCTATACTCGTATTAAAAAGGGGGTAAAGGAGCACTCTGTTTTAAAATGTTGAAATATTGTGGCACAAGCTTACTCTGACATTCCATGCCAGTGCCCACGAATCCACTGATGCAAGAGCACCCAAAAGATCCGATCGTATTGTTGCAAGTCGCATTCCTATCGCAGCCTGGATCGAAACTTGCAGTGTTGCACTCGTCAAAATCTAAACAGAAAAGCACGCAATGGAAAAAGGCACACTGGTATTAGAACAAAAAAAAACGTTGCTTGGATGACGACTACACCAATAGCTTATTGGTAGAGCATCGTCGGCCATAAGCGATACACCAGTAGACAGTAGACACACCAGTACAACAATATAGAGGCAGGCATATTAAGGCCATGCCAGAAAGAGGGTAAGAGAGAAAGATGGATTAATGGCTAGAAATAGACGAACCGAGCGTGAGGGCGAGAGAAAGGAGAGCGACAGAGAGATAAGAGATGGGGGGAGGGGAGATAGAGCGAGAGATAGAGAGAGATCAGTATAGAGGTGGAATGCAGCGGTGGATCCAGCGATTCCAGTATAAGTCAAAACTGAATAGCTGATACATATACATGGACATGCCTATAGTTTACAGTAGTAGTGATTTACGAAATTTAGAGGGTTCCGCGGAACCCCTGCAACCCCTCCTGGATCCGCCCTTGGAATGGACCTTCGAGTACATACCTTGGCAGAAAGTACCATTGCCAGTAAAACCAACTCTGCAATTACATTCAAAAGATCCCAGAACTTCCATGCAGGTAGCATCAGGATGGCAGTTGTGTACCATGCTGGCGCATTCATTATCATCTGCAGAAGCAATTCATCAGAAAGATGAGCAGTACCCAAAAGAGTGACATTGAAATTATAACAATCAGCTGGTATATAGGTTGAAAAATGCGGTAGCTGAAGTTTGCATAACAATATTAATGATAGCTTGCATGCCGTCCTACCGGTAGGACCACGGGTCCTACCGGTAGGACCCAAGAAATCGTGCTGCAAAAGTGCTTTTGGCTGAGAAATTTCTTGAAACAATTGTTGAGATGAGGTCTTTGTCAGGCAAAGTAATGGCGCAAAATGCAAGACTATGTCCAGTGCATTGCATACGCGCAATTTTATCAATTGTCAAAATGGCCGCACATACTCCTGTCGGAGCGCTAGCAACTCTGTCCAAAGTGAATTTTGACCATGGCACATCAATCGTGGTGAGGTACTAATGTTTTTATTAGTCTGCCAAGGCAGTGGAATGCATAATTCCATACACCATTTCCATGGTTACCATTTGCTGTTACCATGGAATTTCGTACTATGCCTTGTGCGATCACGTCTAAAATTTGTGGACTCCTTCATTAGCCCCTGAGCAACAGTTTAGGGTCAAGTTTTAGGTCAATGTTAGAACAGAGGCCATGCAGCATGTCTGTGTATGATGGTCCTACCGGTAGGTCCTACCGGTAGGACCGAGGTCTATGCAAGCTATCATTAACTTCCCAGATACTCCATTGGGTTATGATCTGAATGATATACTTTCTAAAGTAATCACCCGCAGGAAGATGGTATTCTTCCTTTTGGCCATAAACTTTGAGTTTTTTTTAGAAACCTTTGCAATCCCCCATGGAATGCTCCTCCAATATTATGTTTCTGAAGTCCATTTTTCCAAAAAGCAAGCCATCACATGAATCGGATTATGGCAAGATTTTATCCCAAAAGCACTGGATAGGGAAAACCATGTAAATCCAGGCCGTTTGACTCCACTTGCACCATGGTCATTTTGCGGTTCGAGCCCCAGGTACCTTCTCGGGCCCTTCTTCAAATTTCACTGAACTGCTCCGTGTTCTTTAAAATCACCAAAATCACCAGATAAGGGAGCTCACTAGACCCAGCTCATCTTTCTTTGAATGGACTGTAGTCCAAAATTATCGAAACAGGGCGGTGACCAAAAATGGAAAATACCACCAGGCTGGATTTTTAGTCGTGATTAGCAAAAAAGAATAGCAACAGTCGCAGAATGTGTTTCAGCGGTCGTGGTATATGTACCTTATAAGGATGTGACAGAATATATTCCATCCCTATTTTGGAGGACTGCCCAAAGTTTGCCATCGCCAAGCCCCCAGAAAACTGTGGCCTGGACGCAGACTTACCAACACAGATCATTTGCGTATTATTGAAGACAAACCCTTGGGTGCAGGGACAGTTGAACGACCCGACTGTGTTGTTGCACACAGTGTTCGGCAAGCTAGCGCACGGTGAGAAGAAAGTACATTCGTTCTGGTCTTGACAGCCACCGGGCAGACCGTTGCCAACGTAACCTGCCATTTGAAACCAACAACAGCATACACACAAACATAAGCACATAGGCTTAGAATCAGGTTTTGTCCTAAGCATACCAAACACAAAACGAACATGCTGAACGTGGCAATTGCTAGTAATTGTACCTGCTTTCACATGGAAATCGGAAAACCCAAACAACATTATTTGTTAACAACTCGAAGAGATGCGTAGGAAGGCACAGTTACAGCATCCAGTTACAGTGAAACCTGTCAAGGAGACCACTCGGATAAGGCAACCACCTGTCCTAGAAGACCACTGAAACCAGCATCAAGGGATGCTATTTCCAGTCAAAATGACCCTGGATAAGGAGACCACCTGGTACCAGAGACCACATCAGTTTGAAGGTGGATTGAGCGGTCGTCTTAGACAGGTTTCACTGTATTTGTAAAATCTCAAGCCATAGCTACAGGAATAGTCGGTAATCTTACCGCTGATGCATTGGCAGAAGAAAGTGCCGGGGATATTGCTGCAGCGTCCCAGAACAAGGTCGCAGTTGTGCGTACCAGCCGAGCACTCATTCACATCGGCGCAAACGAGAGGATCACCTGCACCGCTAGACTGCGTGTATCCTGGTCCGCATGAGCAGAAGAACGAACCAAACGTATCCGTACAGATTGCACCGATTATGGAAGCGCATGGTGACTGTGTGGTGCATTCATTGATATTCAGGCAATCACCGACACCACCGTCACGCTGAAACCCAGGTGAGCAGTCACACTCAAAGCTGGCGGCAGTGTTGCGACACTCAGACACGGTCAGATTGCAGTTGTGTGATCCGCTATCGCATTCGTCCTCCAGCACACAGGTCAGTCCATCACCGACAAACATCGCATTGCAGCGACATTCAAACGATCCCGGCAAGTTGAAGCACGTCGCATTCACGTTGCACATAAACGTGTCACATTCATCAATATCTGTACAGAAAGGGTACCAAGACAAAGAAATTTGGGCTTTCTGAAACTAACATGAGAGACCTCACACAGTTGGGATCAACACGTTGGACGGATACTATAATTGCACATGCTGTAATGGTCTAGCAAAGTGGCTAGGCATAATAAACTGAAGATTGAGGGTTTGATCAACTCTTGATACGGTAAGTTTTGATGTTTGTGAAAATTAATAATGTTGTACATGTAGATGTGTTTCGTTTGATCTGGAAACAACTCTACAAAGTGTTAGAAGCTGATACATTTTACCTTCTTACTATATTCCAAACTCATGATCAAACTTTTGCTTTACACTATTTCCTAGCGTTCAGCAGCAATGAGAACTGTGACGCACTTAGCAAGATCAACCAGGCAGCCCTAATAGCACATACCAACACAGCGCAGATAGTGGCCAGTGAATCCAGGTGGGCAGGTTGTAGAAGAGCTAGGTTGAGCTGGCAGTAGAAGAACACACAGTAGTAAGAGAATACCATTGTCAATAGATAACGACATTGGGGTGCCACATCATGACGTTCCAATCAGAATGATAAAGTTCCACTAGTCCAAGCAAGACGTTGCCTACGGTGTAGTTGCTACAGTACAGTAGCTCGTGCATATGCTATCATCTTCTGCTTACCAATGACATTGTTACTGGTCAAGGTACCGATCGTTGTGTCACACTCGTACTTCCCATCTACACAGGGAACGGAAAAAAGAACATACAAGTCGATAGTATTCACTAGGGACTCAACACGTTGATCACCTTAGCATTAGATATCAAAAACCAGCATCCTGTTTAGAGAAGTAGTCATCATTGTAGCAACTCACTGGGCTCGGTACACGCACTTACAGGGCAGTGTTTACACAGGCTAATATTAATGACAGCTTTAGGGCAAAATGCATTCCATCTTCGCAAAGAACCAGAGATTATGCCCCTTAACTATTCTGAAACATGCTAAGAAGTGGATCAAGTTTTCACCACTCTTACTTTGAACTGGTGCACCACCTGGCCCTAGAACCACCAGTCTGGGCACAGTAGGTATTGTTAGAGGCAAGATCGTTCCATTCAACACGAATCCAATGTCCAGCGGTGCCTGGAATGAAGCGCTTGATATTGGCACGTCCACACCACCCAGGCAGAAGAGTGTCGTTTGAAACGCATCAGACTGCAGCAGCTGGAAGTCAGGCCGGACTGAGTTCTCGGTTGCTGTATGCAGAAAAGGAATACAAAGGCCATGGCAAATAATTCTATCCACCTCTTGCCCAGTTTACTCAAAGTTTTCTACAACCTTAGTAAAGGTAGGACTGAAAAACAAAAGCTCTACCTTGGTGGATGAATGCATAGTTGGCCTGGTGGATGCAACAAGAACATGCCAAGCAATGCTTAGCACACTATACCTAAATTAGATGATATAACATCAAAGTTACCTCCTGGCTGTCAAAGAAGGTTCCTGGTTTCCAACTGAAAACGCGAGTTCCAACTCAACAAAATGGTGTAATCAAATCCATGTCAGCTGTATAGGGTGCGTGTCTATGTGATTGTAGAGTCAATGCCGATTTATGGCTGTATACATTGTGTGTGTGTGTGTGTGTGTGTGTGTGTGTGTGTGTGTGTGTGTGTGTGATTGTGTGTGTGTGTGTGATTGTGTGTGTGTGTCCCATATGGTGCAGTGGTATGTGCAGCGATTTCCAATCGATAGGTTGCGGGTTCGATTCCCGACGATTATGGTCACACACGTCTTTCTTCTCTTTCTCAGACTCTTCCTGACTTTTCTTTCATTCTCCTGGGTGGTTACCAACAGCCAGTGCATGCCGGAGTGGTGTTATGTGTGTGTGGGAAAAAAATAAAAAGACCAAAAAGTAGGGATTCACTGGCCAGAAAAAGCCACTTCATAGCTGTGTGGTGTAGACCAGGCTGAATAGTGGCGGTCAATTCTTCAGCCTTGCAAGCTGTTGAATGGTGCAATCCCAGCACAAGTTGCTATGGCTTCTGCTGTAGCATCGCTATCATCGCCTTCGGCGATGGGCGTCCAATGGTCCAATGGTGATTGTGTGTGTGTGTGTGTGTGTGATTGTGTGTGTGTGTGTGTGTGTGTTAGTCTTCGTGAGTGTGTGTTTTCGGGTGCTTGCTTGTGTTTGTGTGTGTGTAAAATAAAAAATAGGGATTGCTAGAATAAAGGCTGCTTCAATCAGCGGTGTGGTGTAGACCGGGCTAAAATCAGTGGGGGTCAATTCATCAGCCTTACAAGCTGTTGAATGGTGTAATCCCACCACAAGTTGCTATGTCTAACATAGCCGTTCGCTATCATCGCTTCCGCGATGGGCAGGTCTGAGGTCTGAGGTGTGTGTGCGTGTGTGTGTGTGTGTGTGTGTGTGTGTGTGTGCGCGCGTGTGCGCGAGTGTGTGTATGTGTGTGTGTGGGGGGGGGGGGGAGGGTATGCATGCATGTGTGTGTAGGAGTATGTGACACCTAGCATGAAGGACCAGCACACTTACTGCAAGCTATCTGAGGGCAAGTGTTTGCACCAGTTCCAAACAAGTTCAGGTCGTTGCCCATCTCCACTTCATTTGCTGTCAGGTTCAAAAACCTCAAGTGTTCGAACTCCATGCGACGACAAGAGCAGTCATCCATTGGATTCGCTAATAATGATAGATCCCTGTGATAGGACATCACAAAAAAATACATCATATAGAAAGACTCGATTAGAATCATTGTGTGTACTCCACAGGAGAAAGCGATCAGCAGATCTATTATCACTATATTTATCAGCCAGGCAGACAACCAGGCAAGCAGGCCCAGGGCATACGGACTAATGGGATACATATCTTTCAGCTGAGTTGCGGGATCACCACGAATTATTATCAAGGCGAAAAGTGCAACGTGGGTGACTATTGGATTTCGAAGTACGCACATTATATGCGACACAACACATTTTCATTTACTTGATCACACCAATGATATCTCTGCAACATTATAATACAAACAGGATTGCCTTTGCAGCATGTCAGGCACACTCACAGCGACGCAATCTGTGCTACGGTTGCGAAAGGCAAGGCGGTGATCAGTGAGATCTGATTGTTGAACAGGTCGCTGGAACAAGAAGAAAATAGATACAAGGTGATTTAGCAACAAGCTACAGTCTGCGTTGAACATTGCAGGGGAAAATTCCAGCATCGTAATAGATCTCGGTATACAGTGTATTCACATACTTATGCATGGTCACCTATGCATACTGGGTCCACACTGGTCAACAGATGCTTCAGCCAGCCTGGATGCAAGATATCGGACTTGTAACAGATGCAAACAAACTGAAAACAAACTCCTCGAGCGTTTGCTTGTCAAGCGGTCTGACCAGGCCAGCCGGGATTCTGGGTCCAGGCATCCAAGATCCAGTTTGACTGGGCCAGCCAATTTGAGATGTTAACACCAAGCGAGTTCTGGATTTGTTGTGTTCATATAAGACATCTCAGGTGCAGACCACCAGCTTGCTTGTCAGTGAGGCTGTTGACCAGTCTGGGTAAAAGTAGATATTTGTGCAGCCCGTCTTTCAAACGGCCTTGGGCTGGACTTGGACATATAATCGGGGCCTTTCGAGGAGTTTTGAAACTGCCAGATCATGACAATAGTCGCTAAGGACAAATGCTGGTACACTGGTAATCAAAGTTAAAAATGCATTGAGGTTTGTCATCCCAAAAAAGCTGATTCATGTATATTACTTCGGCCTCTATTTATCTATATGTGGCTGTGAGAGTTGTTTTCCTCTACTCATTTCTGGAAAACCACTACTGTGGTGAGGTTGATTGAGTGTGATTGCTCTGGTGGTGGACCACTACCCCATGTGCTGAATAGTCCCTGTGTGAGTGAAAATTTAAAACCAGCACCCAGTGAAATGGGTTTGCTCCCACACTGGAGCTCGCAACCTCTATTTCAGCACCCAGTGATTATACAAAAAGGCCAGATACAAAATAAAAAAACATTGGCGAGACACAGTCCATCTCTACATGCATAATACATGTGACAGTAAGAATACACTTTATTAACCTCATAGCAGTATTCCTGAACCAGCGGCCTACAGTAGTTTAGTTGGTTATGACTCACATGATTTGGAGCTGTGTATTACGAATGAACAGACCGCTTGGCAGGCTTGAAATCCCATTCAATCCCAGATCGCTATCAGAGGCAGGTATAGAAATGCACACAAAGCAATGCAAGAGACATCACAACCCTAACACCACTGCCAATACAGATGTTAGTTTAATCAATGATGTCATTACCCCACGTTTGCACCAAGTGGCTAATGAATAAATTACACAATCACCCATGTTTGCATCATGTGACTGATGAATTCTTGTGAAGCCACCCACATCAATACCTCAAACTTTGGCCGTGTTGAATAACAGCCGATAACCGCAAGTAAAATAGGGTTGTAGTTGCTAGCACTAGAGAAGGTTCATTTCACAGTATATGGCGCCATTGCCTAACCCACAAGCATAATCTAATGAACAGGATTGCAAGATGGTAAGTTAGCTTGGCTCAGTTGGATTACCAGGACATCGGGCAGCTGTAATACTGCCATGGTGGGTTAGTAATGTACTCACTCTCAGTGGGTCATGCTCTCTTGGTTACACTGTCACACTTACATGCTAGTGAGGGCGGTGAGTGGATCAAAGACGGTCGGTGGCAGAGCTGATATCATGTTCTCTCTCACAACCCTACATAAGGATAGATAATTGCAAGAAGAGATGTGCAATAGTCAGAATGTGTAGTCAAATAGGGACTAACAGTTACTGATAATTTTTGGCGGATTCAAATTTCAAAGTCAATAGGGTTTGAATTTGCCATGTCATAGCCAGGCTGGAGTCACACCAACGCTGATTTTGGGCTCACGTGCATCCAGTTTTTGTATGGACCCATCCACATTCGGGTGGTTTCCTTCACAGTTGAGTGACTCATCTGCTAGCAGTGAGTGATCTGGGCCCTCACGAACAGGTAACCACTGCTTGTAAAGACACATTGCACGCAACACGAGTGGCCACCAAACCAAGCGGCTGCACTTCTCTACGGTAAGAGCGGATCCAATTTGACCCCCAGACTTTGGTATTTTGTCGACTGCTGACGCCATCAATTCCAAACCCTTAAAAGCTCCGCACAAAGCTAGGTTGTCTAGTTGTGACATTCTACATTTTTATCCAGATCAAATTTCCCCAACAGAGGCCTTGATATAGAAAACGACATTCAAACACAGATTTTCCGGGGCATCTAAAGGTGCTCACTAACATGCAACGGCAAATTCTAAAGTGGAATAACACTTCACAACAACAGGAAACTTGCAGTAATTGTAGCTGTGGTACTCCGCGGAAGTCATCTGGCCGTAGAGAGGAGATATTGTTTTGATCTAGCAACCTGTAACAAAAATGGCCAAATCACATAGAACGTGCAAACTGTTCCAAGATAACAAGATTCTGATGATATTCCGATATTCAATTTCAAGTGTGTTCCGTCGTTACATCTAGAAAACTTAGATGCATCCTTCCATGTCTATTTTGTCACTCAACGAGAAGCGTAGTTCATTGTAGACGTTGCTTGATTTACATATAATCCATCAATGTACATGTACGTATGTATTTTTAAACTATAGCCAGAAGTGGCCGTAGGGGCGTCACTAGCTGAAGAGAAAACAAAATCATCAATGAGAGACCTGTATTCATGATGAGTGATGTGAGCAAGTGCATGCGGGGAAAGGCCAGTCCAGTCCTTGTTATCGCGCACTCCAGATACTTCTTCTAACTTACAATGACAGAAGACTTGATATATTCAGCCCTTGTGGAACGTCATTCAGGTTATTGGCGCTCAAGAATCTGCACAAAGGACACAATCGTCACATTGATAATCTCAGCTCTGCTTTAATTTCCGGCAACAAACGTTTGACTGCAACCACATGCATTCAAATGTGCATTCTTCGATTTCAAATGATGCCCACCTAAGGGTTAATACCATATGCAGTAGCATCGGAAATTTCACTGAGTTCATAGGTTAATAAGCAGCCAACATTACAGAGACATCAGAGTTGCAAGAATGGTATGTTCTTAAAATTCATTTCTCCCACTGGGAAATCCAATACATGTGTTCAAAGTGCAATGTTGATATCCGTTTCTAGCAAATTTGTTCTTTTCCATGTGTTATCACCCAATCAGAGCATTGGCAAGCCTTACAGTTCCTCCAGACGAATTTGGGATGAGAAGAAGTCTCTTGGCAGACTTCCGATTTGTTCAAAGACACGATTGAACCTGAAACATTTGCACAACAACACATCATAATTAGCAGTTTGAGGACCTGCACATCTAGCTTCAAAGCCTGATGAGCCCCAAGCATGCTGGGCAGCATGTCAAACGAAAACAACTCCATTCAGCTATCATTGAATGATGTCTGAATCGCCCAATACTGGCAATAGATGGGTTGTCACTTCACAACCCTTTTAAAAGTCCTCTCTGCACAGAAAGTGCTTGATGGCCGAAAGGGCACTGTACTTGCATAGTGTCCAGCATCCTATCTGACACACCCTGGCCACTCTCGTCTCCTCTACTGAAGTATGTATTTATGGAAGGATTGAGAAAATTCCAGCATCCAATTATAGAGACACACACGCACCACAATCCACAACCATGTTATAGGCAAAGAACACCAGTGACAAGTCTAGCTACTAACTCTCTAATGCAGGCAGCTTGTGTCATACCACAAACATATCATTACTGAATGATGTTTTAGATCGAGAGTGGAGCCATAGGCTGTGTCAGGACTTGTTTTGTTTGTTTCGTTTGATAGATCAACTATTGCACTATACTTGTCTTACCGTATGGTTTCCAGGTTGGTAAGATTCTTCAAAAGCTGCAGAGAAACCGTCTGCAGAGGAATATCCGTGAGCGTTCTGCAAAGGCATCACATTTGATAAACAGAAACACTCATAAGGCAATCATGGCACATTAACATGTGTCGCAGTCAGCTGCATCTCATTCCCGCCTGCCTGGAGGTAAGAAATGGAATCCTAATGAATGAGTTAATGAGGTAGGTGTAGAACGTCAGTACCGTTGGTCAGTGTCGTGCAATGTTATCACATGAGCTGATTGTAAAGTAACTGGTGGTGTTAGTGGATATTATAGTATAACTTGTAACTCTTTGGTCCTCTTTTCTTCTTATAAATCCTAACGAAGTGCAGCATTTAGCTGAAACTAACACCTGCTCTAAGCCCCTTGTCGTATCCCGATTCAGATGGATGTGCTTTATCAAACAATTCCACATTATGGAAATCACATATGCCTAGACTTTAAAAAGAAGTTAAAAGTGAAAGCATGCCCACTTCACACCGACTTACAAGCTACGAAGGCTTGCAATATTGGCAAAGATACCAGAAGGCAATTCCGAAGTTCGCAGATCCTCGATAGTCCTGATACAACATAAGCAAATAGCAAATGGAACATTGCACAGTGAAATGAACACACAGGGATGCACTAATGCTTCAAAGTGTATCACCCCACAAGATCAATAATTCAATATCCAGCTTAAAAATACTTGAGAACATGACATGCTGTGCTGTGTGACTGCATTGGGTTTTGTCTTATTCAAAGTCCACATTCATTTAAATTCATTTCAAGTGAAGCTTCAATGATTGATCATGCATACAAAAGAACGTTTCCACATGCTCATCTATACATTTACAACCTCAAGCAATAACTTACAGATCTGTTAGAGCAGGCAAGTTCCGGAAAGAGTTCGGGTCAATGAATGTGAAGTTTGGAGTCCTTCCAAGCAGAATGCTGTACAGAAGAATGAGACATATAGCAGGTTTGTAGAGGCAATGCCTTCAGTCACCTCGGATATTATGACTCCCAATCTAGCCAGCTCAAAATGAAACACACACAACATGCCCGGAGCCAACTCTCGAGGGGTGTTACATGCCCCAGTTTGGCTACAGGGCAGGTCATTTTTCCTGCCCAATTTCAGTGCCATGGAATGACTCCTCTCTAGATCGATGCATCATCATCATATCAGGTTTTTCATGTACACATTGCGCCACCAACGTGAGTACAACTAGCGGAGTAGTGGTGGTCCTGCCTGGAGAATATGAATAGTAGAGGAGGGATAGACTCTAGCAAAGAGTGCATAAGGATAGCTTTTTATTATTGCCACATAAATAATAGCACAGTGGACATTCCACGAAAGCTTGAATAGGAAAAAAATGATACATTCATGGCTGTGCCCACTATACCAGTGGCGCAGAACCCATCTTGAGGCTAACGTAGGAATTAGAAAATATGGGTAAGCGAAATATTGATGCACTATGGCCTTACATTGACTGTGTGTCGACTGGGTAGAGGAGTGGAGCGCTGACAACATCATTGCACTCAATTAGAGTGCCAATCTGCTGACAGCCTGGTGGAACATCAACTGCAGCAAAGACGCGGCAATCAACCATGATTACAGTGAGTGTGGCCGATTTCCAGCTTTAAAAAAAATAATTAAGGTTTCCCTGATCATACGGGGCTCAACACCCAGTGGCAGAGAGCATTACAGGTCAAGTGGAGTATAATGCAATTGTAACTGAGATTTGAAACTCGGATGTTGAGTCAATAATAGTATTTAATGTAGAAATGAAAGGGACTCGTATCCATGCATCCTTGTCCTTTTCCTAACTAAGATTTCATGCTCAATATGTTATGTGTGCAGTTTTGATTAGCATGATTGCTTGACTGTGAAGCAACACACACAAACACACACACACGCACATACACACACACACACACACACACACACACACACACACACACACACACACACACACACACACACACACACCATGCAGAATATCACCAGTGTGTGTTAATCATTAGCGTGCAGTCACCTACCTTCACATGTTGTGCCATTTCCAGTGAAGAGAGTGTTGCACATGCAGGTGAACGAGCCGTTGATATTATTGCACATTGCGTTGACATCACAGTTATGCGTGTCCAGGTTGCATTCATCATTGTCTATCACACATGGATGGAGAAAGATAGTAGGATACATCATCACATGATCGACATTGTGCATTACCAGTTCGGCATGGATCAAATGCAGACAAGCCTCCAGGCTACTGTGCTCATAATCTCATGGGATCTGGATCAGTAAGAGAAGCTGTTTCACTTCAATTCAGATATGTGGATGAATTCAAACTTCTGAGATGGCTAAGGACTGCAATATCCTTGGCTAGGGTGAGCTTTTCCAGAAATGCCAGAGAAGTGTGCCCAAAATTCGCCTAATACATTGTTATTTATCAGCCTTTTTGCGTTGACATCACAAAAAGAAGCTTTGCTAGTCTTCGCTTGGGCCAACTGGAATGAAGGAATGGGGAACAAGCGGGGTCAATGAGGTGCACATACTCGTGCAACTGCAGAATAGGCAATACAGAAAATATCAAAGCAATAAAAAAACACACCCTGACTGTCAACTATTTACTTCAACGAATAACTCCCCCCAATAACTGCCGACCCCAATACATGTAGATGCTAACCCTCACCAGTGCATGTAACACCATTTCCAGTGTACCCCAGGATACAGGCACAGCTGAACGATGCCACTGAATTGGTGCACACTGCCACGGCATCACAGTTGTGAGATCTGCTTGTACACTCATCAATATCTGAAACACACACAATACAGTCACACAACAAGAGCACAGTGAACATATCGCTGTCGTACTAGTATCAGTCCTATAAGGAGTATGGCACTACATACCAGCCAGATCACTGAGCTTGCATAGTACAGAGGGGTGACGCATTGAAGGTCTGCCGTTGAACCTCTAATACTTGTACAAGAATATTGGTGTATCGTGTCATCACTCGCAATGTCAAGCAGACAGCAAGTCAGACTTCATGAAAGCGAGGGAGTAACGCATAGCGTAAAGCTGGCGAAGAGCAAGAGAGATAGAAAGCATGGAACTCTACTACATTACATAATGCTTACCAACGCATGACGATGGATTGCCAGTGAGACCCGCTGGGCATTCTGTCAAGCCATCCGGAAGTACTGCGGAAACGCGAAGGGTTGCAGTTGGCCAAGACAATACAAGTTGGGTTTCCAAGGAGTCACCAGAGAATTGGGCAAAGCCTAAATGCAATGACTCTAATTGACTTCACATTGTGTGACAGCACATATGCATTTTCACATCATGATTGTGCAGATTTGGGGCAAAGTTGGCTACTCTTTTGTTCCACACTACTTTAAAAGGCAGTTCTGCTAACGCTACGCATATACACATGCACAAATCAGAAGATAGAATAACACGTCATTGTCACAAAACATCAGTCGTGTATATTTCTGTGCCTCTTTTGGCACCAAACTGTTTACCTGCACCAGCCAGCTCGCATGCATGTATCCGTTTCTGGCTGTCCTGCAGCTCCAGTTGTGCTCCCCTTGCTCCCCTTTATGTGACTTGTCTGTCTGTCTCTGGCTGTGCTCTAGCTATACGCATGTCTAGTTCTGGCTGTGAGTTGACCTCTGTCATGGTACACACAGAGGCTTGACAAAATCTCAAGTCAAACCTGTCTCCAAACAAGTGAGATAACTCTGCGTTGCTGCCTCGCATCAACTAGTCATTACCTGTAACTGTTGCATTCGCACTGCTGCTGTCTCCACTGACAATTTGTCGCTTTCGTCGTTGACCGGTGACTGGAACTGGGACTGACGAAGCTATGCCGACCTCACATGTGTACGTAGCTAAGCACAATTTCATGCACAAGCAGATGCATACCAAGATATGCGCGCGAGCGCGCGCACACACACACACACACACACACACACACACAAGCATGCGGACACACACATACACACATACACACAAAATTCATGCACACACTCGCACATACAAACTCCCACACAAGCGCGTACACACGCACACACGCGCACGCACACACACGCACGCACACACACACACACACACACACACACACACACGCACAAACACACACACGCGCGCACACACACACACACACACTCACACACAAGCGCACACACATACATATATACACACACCAGCAGACACCGTAAATCAGTAAGGTTAATAGTGATATCCGTTCAGAGAATTTTTTATGTGCCGGCACTGCGATTGTTTCTGTGGAAAACTCAAACACACATGTATCACCTAAATCCACGACTTGGCAGAATGACTGTACGGAAAAGGCGTTTGTGAATCCTTAGAAAGCAACTGAAATCCTGCATGAATGAACTCCTTTGAAGTGAGTCAAGTACTTGGCGGGTGTTGTGGAGCCCTAGACTTTCTGGGGATGTTCAGCTGGCGCAGGTCGCAAAGCTGCTTCATTGGATCGGATTTCATTGAGCAGCACGCCGGTGCAGTGTTGGGAATTTAAGTGCTGCACGTGACGTCCCACCATTGCTCAACACTACAAACCCAATAGGCACACTTCACACAACCTGGTGATGCCACGTACACCGGACTCATCCTTCGAGAACCAAAATCCTTTTCTATACCCGGGGGTGCGATATCGTACGTATACACTCATCTACTACGCTCCCTCCACTTGGCTTGATTGAGCACTCTTTCTAGGTGGCATCAGAGGTGTTTGCAGTCGTACCAAGCTCGCAGTGTTATCGCAGTTCGGGCATTGTGACAGTTTGATGCCTTGAGCCAGTTGATAATGCGTTGCTCCTCACAGGACTCAATTGCAACCGGTTTAGCCAGTGGCACAGTGCTCTGCTGATGACACCTGACAAGGTAAAAGTACTGTATAGCAGGAAAATATTTTCGGACGGAAATACCTTCAGACAAAGCCGAATTTCGACCTTTCGTACGGATTTTATTTTCGCACAGTGCTGCATGCTAAATGCACGTGTTCGCAAGCAGTACGCATGTATACCATTGTATAGTGTACATAATTTCACATGAACAAATTTTAGTACAGAATTATTATTTTAATACAGAAGAGGCCATGTACGAAATTGTACGAAAATAGATTCCGTCCGAAAATGTCCTGCTTTACAGTGACTGCTGTCCAGAGATTGAGTATGCAAATCATGTACGCATCAGCAATGATGCATGCTGATGAATAGTTAGTTTATCTTTGGGCTGGGCATTTGGGGAATTCTCAGCATTGACTGCTGCACTGAAGAATGCAGATGTTCGTTTTGACATTCAACACACTACATACCATTGTCCAAATCATTTACGACCAGTGTTGGGCTGCCTGATGGAAGAAGAACACCATCCTTTGACCAGGTTAAAATGAAGTTGAGTGTTTGCAGTAATACTGAGTCCACGTGCCTTCCCAAACAGGACAAGAAGACCCCAGGTGCTGACGGGGTGATGAAGGCCGCCATTGGTTCCACAAACGTGTCAACATCTAAGCACGTAGACAGCACCCAAGCAAGAAAATGGCAAGCGGTCACACGTTTGAGATACAGGTACAGAGAGAAAATACCCAATGGAATTAAGCAACAGACATCTGTATATCAGTCTAAGCAGTCAGAGAGTGCTGGACTCCGGCCATGGTTCGTTAAGATTATGTACATATTAATTAACCCTTTACTGGTCTACCATAAACGAACCGATACTATAGTATCGGTACATTTGGCCCTCATTTTTTTTAGGTCTTGTTGCTAGGACACAGCTAAAATGGCACTGTACGTGTAGCTGAGATTCAAGGCTTTCTGACAGTGTACAAAACAACCATACGCACCATACAAATTGTTACCATATTGATCGACTGAAGTTTGTTGAAATTGGAAAAGACTACCATCCGCCATGGGCGCATTTCGAGAATGCCAGTGTATCTCTTGGGGCCGTGTTTGACAAGCATTCTGAGAGTAGTACCATCACCAGTCCGGGCTGGATCTCCCAGGAGGTTTTGCGGTGTAGTGTGCTGAGAGAAAGAGCTCTGTTGAGTCCTGCTAGTTCAAAATATATCGTCCGCGAATGAAGAAACAAATTCTCCAAACAGAGCGGAACCTTCTTGCTGCCGACACGGCAACAGCATCTCTGACAAGGACTCGTCAAGTGGGATCAGCTGATTCGCCTGGCCATGAGAATCACGGCATGCACGTCATGCGTAAGCTCGCACCTGAGTACTCATCTGAGCGAGAGTGAATCTGACACGAGCAGCGCTGAGGTGAACGAACCGTAACTGTGATATCATGGAATGGGAATTGCTGCTACTGGCGTATTGCTGATGGCGAGGTGTTGGTGTTCAATGGCGGGATCGTAGAGAGCCTACATTTCTGGTAAAGACGTAGCCCTTGCCTGATTGTTTATCTTAGGACTTCAGCTCCATCATGAACTTTGTACGCCCTTCGTGCTGTGATATTCGTGTATTTCATTCGCGATTGTATTTTCTCTCAACTTGAAGGGCTACCATGGTCCGTATCCTTGCCTGGACCTAGTCATATTTGAATTTTCTGAACCCGTTCAGGCATACAAATTTTGAAAATATGGTTTACCCATACCTACATCACATGGTTCGTGAGCTATTGCTGGTTGTGTGTGGATATGTATTTTGCTTGACCACCCCCCACACACATTGAGTTACACCGGCAAAGGGTTTCAAAAAGGGGAAGTACACCCTAAATCAAATTTTCACCAGTTGTAGTCTTCGGGGTGCTGAGTCGAATGGTCTTGGTCCGAGGAAGTTGAGACGCTCCCTTCCTCCTTTATTCCCAATCGAACTCGCGCACTTCCACCGAAACCGTGTGGGTGACTGTGCCCTACTAGATGGGGATTTGTATGCAAAAGTCACTAAAAGCGCCATTTTTTGTTCTTATAAAAGTACCCATGGAATTTGCCCTTAGATATGGTATTACAGGCATTGGCCCACATGTAGTGTTCATCTGAGTGCCCTTCATGATCCAAAAGCAATGTTTGATGTATTCAAACCCAGATTTCATATCAAGCACAAGCCCCCTTATTCATGCTATTGTTCCTGAACATGAGGCCATACGCACTGTTGACTAACAGCCCTCGACTTCTGCTGTTCATTCTTTCCTGGCTATCCAAGACTCAGAGTTGTTGCCCTCTGCTTACCGCACTGAATGTCTCCACAGACTGGTAGTGGATCTAGGAAACGCACAAACTGGGCAATACCTTCGACCTCCGCCCTTACGCATGTGCAGTCATCCAGAGGGTTACCAGAGGTGCTCACCATGACCGGGCTGCATAGATGAAACAAGGCGGAGAATCCAGAATATTATTATTATTTTATCATTATTCTCAATCCATGTATTACATAGTGTCAACCGATATAACGAATGAGGGCTACAAGCCATGGAATAGATGATAGAGACCTTACTGCTGAAGTTCCAGAGAACTATCAATTTCCAAGTAAAACATTTTGAAATGCTACCCATGCAAGCTCTATTGCAACTACTTCATACAAGGCTTGTACAGTGAAACCACCTCAGTATAACCTACCCCCGGATACAACATACTTCTCTTGCATCGGATATAGAGTATTTTCTCACTATCTTTTTGCAGTGACTTGATCTTGGCCTTATAGTGTAGCATGGCTACTTTATGACACATAATTTGTATACACATAAATAGTACACCGTTCAACTTTATGACACGTAATTTGTATACACATAAATAGTACACCGTAGGAATGCATGGATAGCTGTGCGCATACTCGCACTGCCTTGGTCTTCTTCTTCTCCTTGTGAGACAATGAACGAATGACAACTACTTACGTAACTACAAGTATGTGCTTTGAGTGCTGAGTGTATACGAGTTACAATAGTGACTTGGGTGTGAAATACAGATGGTATGGCACCTGGGTGATGTTATAGTGATAGATGCTCCTACTTTTCCCACCCTGGGCAATACCTTGAAGACAGAAATTGATATCTCATGTGTCAGGCCAGTAGACATCACCATGAAGGATTGGTGAGAAACGTGAATGGGGGACCGAATATATGCCACTACACACGGATGATACATTCCCAAGAAAAGCGTGTACAAAATAGTCCTGATTTGACCCCCGGTGGCAGAGGAGGTTAGCTTCTACATTATCCCACCTCGGTCCTGTGGTACAGGTGTCCGATAGTGGAATGAATCCAATACTTGACAATACATGATGTCATCAGCATGTGGCTCACATGAACTAACCCGACAAAGGCCGGCACCCAGACACCAAGCAGCAATTATTGTCACTACTGTGACATGTATAACGTGTGCTTTGACGGGAGAAGACAGCCAAACTACATGTGGATTTAGCGAAAGATATGTGAGAGACGGAGCAAGCAAGGTACTCCACTGCTCAAACAGTACCCAGTGCCTGTATGAACGGAGCAAGCAAGGTACTCCACTGCTCAAACAGTACCCAGTGCCTGTGAGAGACGGAGCAAGCAAAGTACTCCACTGCTCAAACAGTACCCAGTGCCTGTATGAACGGAGCAAGCAAAGTACTCCACTGCTCAAACAGTACCCAGTGCCTGTATGAAGCATACAGTGAAACCTGTCTAAGATGACCGCTCAAGGGACCTTCAAAATGTGGTCTCTGTAACAAGGTGGTCTCCTTATCCAGGGTCATTTGACTGAAAATAGCATCCATTGGTCCTGATTGCAGTGGTCTTCTTGGACAGGTGGTCGCCTTATCCGAGTGGTCGCCTTGACAGGTTTTACTATAGCCCCCTTTTTAACTCCCTTAACTCCTGCATGTTAGGCTACTTGACTATATAACATGGTGTTCTCACCCTGAGCCTTGTACAGCCCGGAACGTGTTTGCTCGGAATGCTCTGATTCTGTTGTTGGCTAGAGACCTAGAAACAAACAAACAAGAATACGAGAGAGGGCATTGTTCTCGCACAGTGCATTGTAAGGCAAGAGAAGAATGGAAAACAGACTCGCAGGAGCTTCCTTCAGCTTCATTTGTCACTGAACAGTGCACTCCACAAATTGCACCACTCATCACTGGAATTCTGGTTCATTGTTTTGTCCAATGACCGCTATCATAATGGTCATGATGATCACAGTCCGAAACATGAAATCTAAAAGGTGTGAAACTTTGAAGAGCAGTGCAATTAAGAGTGTGGTTACTGGCCCATAGTGATGGTGCAAGATAACCAGACGATCAGCACGGTCATGTGACTGAAGACACTGGGAATAAAGGTCACACAGCGGGCCTTCGGCTGCCATATTGCCAACGGCGTACATGAACAGTAGTATGATAGTTGTGGGCTGGCATGGCCAACCCGTGCTGTTCAAGGATGTTTCCACGTAAATACCGTCCTCCTCTTACACAGTGTTCAGATCCAGAATGGATGTGAATAATCCCAGTGGAAGCTCGCTAATGTTGTTGTTGTTCAAGTTCCTGCCAGAAAAAAAGAATAAAAAACCCACACGAAATGGTCAGTGTATGAAGTGGGGATGAATGTGTGCATCGAGTTCAGCTGTGATATGTGTCTGTGTGCACATGACCGGTGTGTGTGTGTTTGAATGCACATAATAAGTTGTTTTGGTATGCCACCTTCATGTATGGCGGAGGTGTATGCTATCGTCGTCTGTATTGGCCCGGTCACCTAGGCTAGGATGCACTGACGAGTTCCGCCATCCCAGGCCAAGCGTCTTCTGTTTGTTGAAGGTCTGAACATACAACCCAGGCGTGGGTGCAAGAAGCATTGAGGAGATGTTGCCCCTGCGAGTTTGGGTGACTAGTGTGAATTGGTCCTGAACAGACAGCACTGGTGCCTTATGTGTGACCATCCAGCTGAATGTTCCAAAGCAGACCGTCATCCTTTAGACCTTGGCAGAGACTTCAGTCGGTCCAATAATCATTTGACTCGTCACAGAAGATACTGCAACTTCTGACGGTAATATTGCACAGAGCGACATCCAAATGTCCAAAGGTGTATGTGTATGTGTGCTTGTGTGTGCACGTGCATGCAAGTGTGCGTGTGACAGAGAGAGAGAGAGAGAGAGAGAGAGAGAGAGAGAGAGAGAGAGAGAGAGAGAGAGAGAGAGAGAGAGAGAGAGAGAGAAAGACACACACGCAGAGAGAGAGAGAGAGAGAGAGAGAGAGAGAGAGAGAGAGAGAGAGAGAGAGAGAGAGAGAGAGAGAGAGAGAGAGAGAGAGAGAGAGAGAGAGAGAGAGGCAGAGAGAGAGAGGCAGAGAGAGAGGCAGAGAGAGAGGCAGAGAGAGAGAGAGACAGAGAGAGAGACAGAGAGAGAGAGAGAGAGAGAGAGAGAGAGAGAGAGAGAGAGAGAGAGAGAGAGAGAGAGAGAGAGAGAGAGAGAGAGAGAGAGAAAGAGAGAGAGAGAGACACACACACACACACAGAAAGAGAGAGAGAGAAAGAGAGAGAGAGACAGAGAGAGGGAGAGAGACAGAGAGAGAGACAGAGAGAGAGAGACACACAGAGAGAGACAGAGAGAGACAGAGAGAGAGACAGAGACAGAGATAGATACAGAGACAGAAAGAGAGAGAGAGAGAGAGAGAGAGAGAGAGAGAGAGAGAGAGCATGTATTTCTATGTGTGTATGCAAATGTGCATCAGCGCACATAGCTATAATCTAGTAAACAACTCTAAACCAAGAAGACGGAAGCTTGAAGCTTCTTCAATGTCCATATTTGTGCACAAGTGAACATACAGGGATACAAGAGCTGGGACATTGGCGAACAGACTTGCTGGCAGGCTTGTCATCCTGTTGTCCTGTAGGCCTCTAGAAGAAGAAACGACACATAGATCATGAGATGTTTCAGCGCCCTGGACATAGTCACACAATCGCACTACTGGGAATCGCATATTACCATAGCAAGTCCCCAAGCCAAGCACTCAGCGGCTTGTGCAATCAAAACGGCTCAGTTTGTATAGTTATACTACCTTATACCATTGGGTGAATGAGCTGTTGCTCAATGTGCATGCTATATTCAAATCTGGCTAGGATCTGGGAAACAAATAGACTCTTCCTTACCTGGCATATAAATGATTGGCAGGACTTGCCATGTTGCGCTCATGGAATTGAGATGTGGGGTTCATTACAAAAGGCCTATACTTTTATTGTGCTGCTTTGCTCACATTTTGATAAGCTACTTGACATGTGTGTGTGGTACTCACAAAGTTGTAACAGAGGTAAGTCCACTGAATACACCAGCTGGAAGCTCATCAATTTGATTAGCAGCCAAAAACCTACAGCAGTGCAGAGGAATATCATAGAATGTGGTAATCAATGCTGGATGCAGGGGAAATATAACATATTCATTTCACTTTTCTTGGCATGTGTTCCGCAACGTTATCCCCCACAATAAGAAGAGTGCTAATGACATTTCTTGTCTTGGAAACATGAAATTTGTTGCATACCCTTCCTTGCACAAGTGGGAGATAACAAAATGGACAATGGAACTGACAAAGTTGAACTACAGAGCAGAAAAATTTGCAAGCACCAGCAACAAGACCGTTAGGGGTCGTCGCAAAAGTTTTCTGTCGTCCCTGAAACGAACATCGTTCTTTTCGTACTCGGACCCCCTCCCCTCCCTCTGAATCGAACACAGCTTGCTATGCTGGACAACGAAAGTCGCATGCATGTACATGACATAATTATGTACAGTGTCGGTCGACTTGCGATTTTGCCTTGCACCCCCCTCCTCCCCCCAAACGAATCATGTTCGTTTCAGGGACGACAAAAAACTTGTGCGACCTCTGTTGGCAAGCGGGATACCATGTTGCTGTCCAAGATCCTGGATATGATAGATAATGAAAAATACTTGCAACGGCTGTCAACCTATGTTTGCTGCAAGTACATCTTCTCCAACGATGTGAGGTTAAACAAGAATGAGGCAGGTTGGGCTCGAAAACATTGTGGATTGAAATTAAGAGTGTATCATCAAAGTCTATAATAATGCTCTACCCACACCGACTAGGACTGAGCTTCCATAAATTGTACAAAATGTGCCCCTGTACCGATTAGTTGATAATCTGTTGGTGCTAGCATCGCCACAGTCACATACCCAATCAGTGCAGCACGGAGAGTACCGAGTGTGGGGAAAGATCATGTTCGCACTGCAGCATTTTCTGATGTTAGAGAGTATAGTTCTCTCTGGACGTCCTGGGTGCCCACCCCAACTTACAAAGTTGTCAAAGAGGTCAGGTCTCCGAAGACTGTAACTGGTAGCTGAGTAAGCATGTTGCCTGATAGTCTCCTGCTCGCAGCATAATATGGATAAAAAATGAGTGAGTGTGCTTTCAACAAGTAGAAGAGAACTAATAGTTAGTTTTGACTCGGAGTTTCACGCACGAGGTGATGATCAGACAAAAGTCCTAGTTGTCTGCTTTCCGAATATCAATGAGCTTGTGCAAGACTCACAAAGGCAACATAATATTACACATAAGCTATTGTTTCTGTAGCCTGAAGGCAGTGAAAGTTGATGCAAGGCTTGTTAATTTTGTGGAAAAAACATTTCCAGAGTGGAGAATCAATGTCTTCCGCACAATGTATTCAGGATGTTTGTGTGTTTGTGTGTACGTGTGTGTGTGTGTGTGTGTGTGTGTGTGTGTTTATGGGTGTGTGCATGCGCGTGTGTGTACATGTGTGTGCTGTGAGCGTGGTTATGTGTGTGTAGGGGGGGGGGCAGCTTTGATCAAGAAGAGACGGTTATGTCGACAACAGTCAAATCGAGCTGTCCAATTGCAAGTGCTGTGCGAGCTCTCGTTAACACTCACAGAGATTGCAAAGTGGACAAGTTTCTGAAGATGCCTGCTGGCAACTCGGACAATCGGTTGCGGTCAAGGGACCTGGAAGCGACATAGCAGACAAGGACGAGTTAGGCCAATGTAAAAGTCCAGTTCTCCCACCTCCTGTCCCATGAACTCAAGCTACAGGTCAAGTGTCTCATTTGCTATCTTGGATTTTTGCTCGTAACTTGATAGCACGTGAAATCATAGCAGAGAGAGAGAGAGAGAGAGAGAGAGAGAGAGAGAGAGAGAGAGAGAGAGAGAGAGAGAGAGAGAGAGAGAGGGAGAGTAGATGATATTGAAGGAATGACAGGATACAGGGTACTATAATATAACTCATCCAAGCCTTGTTATATATAATTATGGCTCAATCTTAAGTGCAGCCATATCGAAAGGGATCTGCTTGCAAAAAGGCAGGAGGTTGACAATTCTGGAAGCACCCAGTATCCAAATGCATTATGTTAACCGGCTGATGAAAACTCCCTGGGCATGAACTTTCCACAAAGCATGTGTGTAACAGTAAAATCTCAACATAGGCCGCGCTGAGCGAAAACCAACCTTAGAGCTTTCCTAAAGAGTTGCTGAAACAGTCTAAACCATGCTGTACAGTGCTACTTGGCTGGGAATGCAGCACAACGCTGCACTCAGCGCCAGAAGTTCAAGGACGTCGCTCTTTATGAAATCTCTGAGGTTTGCTTCACTGAACACGTTACGCATAGGTGGTACATAATGCTGGTCAGGTTCCGCTGTAGACTTACAAAGACACAAGTGGAAGGTTGCTGAGCAGACCATCTGCTAACTGGCTGATTAGATTTTCGTCCAATGAGCTGTATAGATTTAAAAAATGTAGCTCGCAATTTAATGATATTACAATTTCAGAATGTATCGCAATAACATAACCAACGCCTACGCACATAACCTGATAAAGGTTTCTTGGACGATGCTTATGTGGAGAATGGGGGGGGGGGGGGGGGCGTCAGGCGAAATAGCACGTCATCGTACATTTGAGATCAGCGGGAAGAAGATGACGACGTCCACTAATTTAGTATCTGTGCACACGAATCTGCTGTGTGTGTGACTCTGTGTGTCAGCTATGATATCATCTTCTGTGGTTCCATGCCTAGCATGTACGTCTGAATCATCCTGCAAAGTTTGAATGACGTAGGTTGAGCGATCGCTCCGCGAAATATACTTTTTAAAATTCTCTTCATAGTATATCTTCCACCATTGAAATTTCGAATTTCTTCAAAAAAAGTGCTGAGAGGGGTGGCTTGCAACCTCGATATGGCTTGTTCCAGGCATGCTTTGGAGCCATCTTCTGTTGAAGTAGTGGCGGGGATCTGCCCTGCAACTGCTACAACAAAAAATGATTCGATCTGAGAAAGGGTGAGACCGCGAATCTCGGTTGAATATTGAGTATTTCAAGCCTTTTCACGACGAAGATGGAGTTCTTTTTGGAGATGGACGTCGCGGCAAAGGACATGGTGTCCGACGTCTGGCGTCTGGTGAAGCCAGGGATCATTTGTCCAGTCAGGTCGGCAGCCTAACCGTCGGTAAGCTTGTGTTTGGATCCCGTTCTGCTCGATGTGGTAGATCACAAACAATTTGATATCGCACAAATTGATCTCAGCATCGTGCGTACGGTATTTTATATTCAGAAAATCCCAAAGTGTCTCTGTGTGGCCGTCCTATGCCACGAGAAACTCCAATCAGGCTCCTATGTCCTCTGCCTTCATGATTGAATGTCCACTTCGTTTGAACAACGAACACAACAATCGAGGACGGCTTTGCAATGAAAAATACAGCTATACTGGAGCTGAAAAAAAGAAGAAAAAAACGTGCTCAGGATGAGACTCGAGTACACGCATACTCTCCCAGCAGGTGAAACGCAAATTTTTGTGAAAAATGCGTGACGCCGACTGACCAGTAATTTCGCCTGACGAGTTACTGGAGTACCTCCACCGTGGGACACTACTGTCATACCTTGCAAGCAGTGCCAGCAGCAGTAGATTCTTTTGTTAAGTGTAGGATTCATTAGACCCAGATATGCCCCGTAGTCTCTGGTAATTATCATCGGATGCCAATTTAGCAGCAAGAAGCAATAATCCATGCAATCCACCAAATACTCACAGTGTTTGGATGTTTGGTGTGGTCTGAAACAGACCCGCTGGCAGTGAGGCTATACCGGTCCGCATGAAATTTCTGTTGCCAACAGGAAGGTGCAGCAAAGCAAATTTATTGTGAACTGTCGATGCGATAATGCCTAAAATGCCTAAAACCACTAATAGACGCAAGTGGAACAGCTCCACAAATGCATGCGATGATAAAGAAGCTTGATTGCTGTGCCAGACGGGAACCAGTAAAGGTATGCAGCCGGTTGATGGTCAAGACTGGATTCACTGGTTCACTACTATACAGTCGGCACACGCCGTCTATGTCCCAGTGAAGCATATGTGAGGAGCATGCATGCACAGATAAGCACACATATTATGTACACCCATGAGCTCATAGTCAACAACTTCAACAGGTTTCGTTCTTGAAAGAATTAGCCCCAGCCCCCCCCCCCCCACACACATGCACCTGTGACACACATGTGCACACAGTGTGCATAATGCAATCCCTTCCAGAGCACTACTTACACTGTCTCCAGGGCAGGAGTGGTTGCGAAGAGATCTTCTGGAAGACCAGATGCAATGTTACTCTTAGCAAAGTCCCTGTGATGAACGAATAGAAGAAAAATCAATATCCCCAGTGATATCTTCTCTCCGGTACACAACTACTAGATCAAAGGTTCATATTCCAATGTATTGTCCTTGTATGCTATGATTGTTATAAGTCATTCACCTAATGAAATCACAGTATAACAAGACTCTTGGTAAAGAAAAAATCACACTTCAAAAATAATCTTCTCTTCATTTTCCACCCTTTCCAACATGATCAAGTCATTACAGGACCAAATGAAGGTTGCAGCCATAGGCTTCTGTTGCAAAAGAATTTGGGGTGCCAAGAAATTGTCACATAGTGGGGAAAAAGTCTCAAAAAAACAACCAACCCGGCCCCATCTTACTCTCGATACAAATACTAGTTTTTCAAAACGGTTCTCTCTCACTCTCTTTCTCTCATCCACTCACTCGCTCCTTCTTTCCTTTCTCTCTCTCTCTCTCTCTCTCTCTCTCTCTCTCTCTCT